GCTCTATCGCAATCCCTGAGTCAGATAGCTACACAACAAGTGATAGATATTCTGATCACTCTAGGGTGGATAGTCAATCTCAAGAAGTCAGATCTGAGCCCTACTCAGAATCTAGTCTTCCTAGGGGCGAATTTCAACACGGTGAGCGGACTTGTATCTCTGTCACAAGATCGCAGTACCAAGGTCAGAAGTGTTACTTCCCAGTTCCTTCTGTCCGCCAGTCACACTGCTCGTACATGGCTCCAGTTACTGGGCAACATGGCGGCGACAGTGGATGTGGTTTGGCGGGCGCGCTTGAGAATGAGACCCATTCAACAAGCGCTCCGTCGACTTTGGGTGAACTCGGAAGATCTCGAGACTGTTCTCGAGACTCCGCAGTGGCTCAATGCACACCTTCAGTGGTGGACCGAGGTCGGGAATCTGTCCCGGGGGCTCCCCCTCGACACTCCCGTGCCGTCTCTCACAGTTCAAACAGACGCGTCACTCTCCGGCTGGGGAGGCGTTCTGAACGATCACACTGCCTCGGGACTATGGTCCCAGCAGGAGATCAAACTGCATATCAATGTGCTAGAACTGAGAGCGGTCAGGTTGGTGTTCCAACGCTTCCTGGATCTGCTTCGTGGCCAAGTGGTGCGTCTAGAGATGGACAACCAAACGGCGATGACTTACATCCGGAAGCAGGGGGGAACGGTGTCTCCGTCGCTTCTCCAAGAGACGTGGCAGTTCCTCCTATGGTGCGACTCACACGTTATCAGGGTGCTACCTGTTTATCTCCCGGGGGTAGACAACGTCCGTGCGGACGCTCTGTCTCGCCGGATCCTCGCTCCTCACGAGTGGAGGCTCGACCCGGGGATATTCGGGATTATCTCCCAGTTATACGGGTCGTTCCAGGTGGATCTGTTTGCGTCTGGGGTGAATCACCAGACACCAACGTTCTGCTCCCGAGTCCCCGACCCGAGGTCGGTGGCACCGGACGCCTTCCAGCTAGATTGGACGGACAGAATACTGTGGGCATTCCCCCCAGTACCTCTGATTTCCAAGGTCCTGTCTCAGCTAGCCACTCAGCCTGCGCGACTACTTGTGCTCCTGGCACCCCTTTGGTCGGCGCAGAGTTGGTTTCCAGTCATACTCAGGTTTCTGGCTCAGCCTCCTGTTCTATTACCTTTACGACCGGACCTCCTATCCCAGAACGAGGCCCTCCACCCGAATCCCAGGATTCAGTGGGTGGCTTGGCCACTGTCCGGAATCGCCTCCAGGAGAGCGGTATTCCTGCACGAGTTGCAGACACAATACTGGCTTCGCGGAGGGATTCGACAAACGTTCAGTACGAGGATAGATGGGCCTGCTATGCGCGCTGGTGTGTCGATAGAAGGATTGCAGATCCCTTTTCTGCAGATCTCGTAGCCGTACTTGAGTTCCTCCAGTCGCGACTAGATGTCGGCCTGGCCGCATCGACAGTCCGGGGGTACTCTACAGCTATCGCTGCCTTTCACGTCCCCGTCGACGGGGCACTTTTGGGTGCGCACCCATTAGTGCAGCGTTTTTTAGCAGGTGTGGACAGGATCCGACCGCCTGTCCGGCGGATCAGTCCCCCTTGGGAATTGTCAATCGTTCTTGATTGGCTGTCCGGTCCTTCCTTTCGGGATCTGTCGTCTCTCTCTCTTCAGCTGTTGAGCTGGAAGACGGCGTTCCTTGTGGCGGTAACGTCCGGCAGACGGGTAGGCGACATTCACGCAATGTCAGCCGATCCCGAACTAACTGTCTTTCACCGGGACAGGGTCAGTATTCGCCTGCCGGACTCTTACCGTCCTAAGGTCGCACACGCCTTCCACGTGACGGCTCCTATTGAGCTACCTGCTCTTTCACAGCCTTCCTCGTCGGGGACCACTACAAGACATGCTCATGTATTGGATGTCCGCAGGACCCTTAAGTCCTATATCAGCAGAACTAAGGGTATCCGTAAGGATAATCAACTATTTTGCTGTTATGGCGGTAGGAAGGCTGGCTCACCTGCGAGCAAACAAACTATCTCGCGGTGGATAGTCTCTACTATATGTACGGCGTACACGCTTCAAGGCAGGGACCCCCCTACCAAGTTGAAGGCTCATTCGGTTAGAGCAGTGGCTACGACACAAGCGTATGCTGCGGCTCTGCCCATTGAGGAGATCTGCTCCGCGGCTATTTGGAGCCAGCCGAGCACGTTCATCAAACATTACCAACTCGACAAACACTCAAGCGAGCGTGCTCGGTTTGGTCAGTCAGTTCTCCGAACTGGGCAAAGTACTACATCTCTAGCCGATTGAGCCTTCGAGATTTTAGACCGCCCGGACCGGTTATAACACTGCTCAGTAACGGTCCGGATTTTATCTTCTACGGTCGATACAATACCAGCCATTACTAGTCGATAATCATCGTAATTGCACATGCACTCCTTCGATTACGGGGACCCTCTGGCCTAGCTCTGTGCGGGTTTATAGTCTCTCGTGATCTGTGCCCCCAATATCACTTGTTCAAAAAAGTGGGTGGGGTGGGGGGTGTGTGTGTCTCGAGTTCTCGATATGATGAGCCACAAAGAATGGCTCTTTTCATTGTGTATGGTCGATAACGCCCTGTCTCCAGCCCCCGCCTTTCGACGGTGGTGCCTCACGATAAGGTTGGTTCCATTTATTGAACTCTTGTTTATTCATTGAAATAATCAAAATACGATGTATTTTATGCACGCTTGTTGCTGACGGATGCCACTTCCTAGATTATCTTTAGGAGTCTATCTTGATGCAATAAGTGCCCCAAGGAGGATTTAATCTGAAAGAGAATTTTACAAACCTGTAGAGGTTATGAATTCTCTGATGAAATCCTCCTTGGGGCACGGCCACCCGCCTCCCCACATTCCGTCAGCATTAGACATATGGAAAGTGATTTGGGTGAGAGTTGCTTCCCTTGGCGTGACGCGCCGTGGAGGGTGAGGCACCATAAGGGTGGACGTATATCATACAAAAACAAAGTTTTTTGTGTGGTAACAATTTTTATTAAGGAAAATGGTTACAACTATGTCATGTAGATTTTCTTGAGCCAGGAAAATGCAATAAGTGCCCCAAGGAGGATTTCATCAGAGAATTCATAACCTCTACAGGTTTGTAAAAGTTTTGGTCCCTGGTTGTAGCCCAACAGGTCATCTATCTCCGACGCCACTGATTCTCCGATACCCTGAGCGGGGCCCGTCGACCTTTCTGGTGTTTATCACCCCAGACGAGACGGCTCTCTTGCGTTCCGCATTCGCTCTTAGGTCAGTTTTAGTTTTGGGTTACCCGACTCATTCTATTGCTGTCACCTATCCGGGTTTTACTTTTTGCATCAACTCTCGTTTCCTGACGACAGGAATGGTAGTAGATGTGGACACCGGCGCCGACGCCAACGCCGCTGCTTCTATGGTACCTGAGCGGTGCCCGTCGACCTCACCGGTGTTCCTTGCCTCCAGCCTAGAGGGCTCTCCTGCGTTTCGCATTCGATCTTGGGATTGGTCGTAGATTTTGCCGCCGACGCCGCTGATTCTTCGATTCCCCGAGCGGGGCCCGTCGAACTCTCTGGTGTTTATCACCTCAGATTAGCTCTAGGTTCTACTGCGTTTCGCTTTCGCTCTTCGGTAAGTTATATATTTTGGCTACACGCCTCATTGTATTTCGGTTACCTATTCGGGCGTTTCGTTTTTGCATCGACTCTTGTTTCCTGAAGACAGGAATGGTCGTAGATGTTCCGGTCATCACTTGTATGCGGTGCGGATTCATCGGACCTTGACGAGGGTTTAATATGGTTCACATCTGCAAGTATGCCCACCGGCCAAGCCGTCTGATAAAGATGCAATACGGAGTAATGCAGGATAAGTTAAAAAATTTAGTAAAATCTAAATATTTTTTACATTTGTATACTTATCCTGCATTACGAAGTCTAAGTTCCCTCCCTTTCGCTACGCTACCTCCCCACGAAGTTTCAGATGTTATGTTTAAAGCAGTTATGTCTTTTGGTGTGACGTCATGACTTCCGGGTCACGTGCCGACTGTGAGAGGGCGCTGCCTCCTGGGCTGGTTGGGACAACTTTCTTCAGCAGCTGGATCTCACACAGTTCGTCTCTCTGTCAAACATAGCAGTAAATGCAATACGGAGTAATGCAGGATAAGTATACAAATGTAAAAAATATTTAGATTTTACTAAGTTTCCACCCTTGCCGAACTAGGCTGGTATTATGGAGTTACATTTTGGCTGGACTAACGAGTCTATGCATAGTCTAATCAAAATCGCGCAACAAAATCGAAATCCGGTCAGTAAACTGTTGTGTAGATTTCGGTCGATTGCAGGATTTGCAAAGCATGTACATCGCCAACTTGTCAACAAATATTTTCCAAATCTTTTCAGGTTTTTAATCAAGGTGCTCCTGGAATTTAATGCACTTAGCGATGTAAGACCCGTTGTATCACACAATAGAACTTGATTATCGATCAGATCGTCTTGACTGGGCGCCGCCATTTTGTTTGATACAAATGCAAGTGATACGAGAGGTGGAATCTGATTGGTCCATAGCAGAGGCTCAGAAGGGACATGACTCGTAATAACCAATGGTGGCGCTACTATCGAGCCCAGGGATTCCAGCCTAGTTCGGCAAGGATGGAAACTTGACTTTTAAAGTCAGTTAACTCCCTTGCTTGATGTGCCAAACTGCCCAATAGTTAGGTATCATAAGGACTAGTAGAAAATTTGCCATTTTTCAGGGTTTTGCTATATGTTTTCATTATTAGGACTAGTGGAGTAAAAATGTTAGTTTCTACCTCTGTTGTTCATGGTATAATCTTTATAAGTAACATCACCTGCCTTGGAAATGTCTTCTATGGTGTGTCTTAGTACTTTCAACGTGTTCAATTTGAAAGTCCTTGGGCCGACTAGTGACCCCACTAGTGCCATGAGCCCAGCAGAAGGAAATAGTATTGTGACGACTGTTATGACTGTTGCAGTCAGGAAAGAAGAGTGTCAGGTTTGCTGACTTGCAGTATGATGAAGATATCCCCGAGGACAATGACAGTGTTGACAGCAACACCGACAGTGCTACACCTGTCAAGAAGGTCAGCCTGACTGGTAGAAACATCGGACAAGGTAAGTTCCGACAGTAACAGAATGTTATCTCAGCATGCTCAGGATGTAATTCTCAACAACTGTACTTAATAATGTCAGGTAGGGTTGATAGAAAATAATTGTAAATATGTTTTTATGTTAGATGCATTATTGTTGGGTCCTCCTCCGACACTCTACCATGACACACTTGCCCGAAAGAAAGTTACAAAAAGTATATTGTTTGTGTTACACTTCTGTGACCCAGTGAGGATTCCAGGTCCTCGCAACCTGTCCTTGTATGGTGGAGATTTGATTATTTACACGCCACTGTCACTGGCAATGCATTGCCATAATGAGTCCATTCATTAAAACCAAACAAATCTATACATTAATGCTGAAAATGATCCGTTATCTTAGGTTGGTTGGTTTGGTTGGTTTGTTGTTTAACGCCGCACTCACCAATATTCCAGCTATATGACGGCGGTCTGTAAATAATCGAGTCTGAACCAGACAATCCAGAGATAAATATCATGACCATCGATCCACACAATTGGGATCGATGACATGCATCAACCAAGTCAGTGAGCCTGACCACACGATCCCGTTAGTCACCTTTTACGGCAAGCATGGGTTGCTGAAGACCTATTCTACCCCGGAATCTTCACGGGTCTCCCCGTTATGTTAGGAGCCACCAAGGCTGCACAGTGACAGCGCCCTGTCTCAGCCAAATCTATGCATTAATCTTGAAAATGATCCATTATCTTAGGAGCCTACAAATCTGCACAGCGTCAGCGCCCTGTCTCAGCCAAATCTAGCATTAATGTTGAAAATGATCCATTATCTTAGGAGCCTCCAAGGCTGCACAGCGACAGCGCCCTGTCTCAGCCAAGGTGTCGGGATCCAACAGGGTTAACCGGCTGACACGGGCAGCCAGTGCCGGCACTCTCCGACCTGGCCAGCCACAACATGCCCAGGACCGGCCCCGAGCCGCCGCACACATCATTGCTCACTCAATAGAAGGAAATGACTACCTCAGTGGCCACCAAGACAAGAAGGTTACAGTAACTACCAACAACTTCATGGGCAAAGTCCCCGTGGCGATACCGAAACAAGCCGCATCAGCTTCCTCCCAGGGTGTCATCTACACAGCTAACGAAGCCTACACCGACCTGACAGGAGACGTGTCAAGCGTTCTGCAGAAGGCTGATAGCGTAGCTGCTGCCTACCAGACTAAGTACGTGGCCGCTCCCATCAACAGCCACCTCCCTCCAGACTCCGCAACTGACGCCTTCAACAAAAATCAGCCAGTGTACAATGAGAACGGTCTCCGCATTGATCGAACTCCCACTGACGATGAAATCAACTGGCTGTGGGAGAAGGTGAGGACATGCCTCAACCGTGAACCAACACCGTCAGAGAAGAAGACCACGGCCAGTCTTGTCGCAGCTGATCCTACCCAGAGTCGCCAGGCAGCAACAGTCTCCAACAAGTACATAGATGGCCAATCACTCGGTTTGACCGGCAACACGCGGGTGAACACTGTCCTGTTCAGTAACACCGTGCAGCACAGGGCCATCAACAACATGGCCAGCAGGCAGAAGCCAGCTAGTGCTGGCACTGGAGGCTACATGCGCAAGTTTGGCCTGCTGCAGCAGCGGAAACATCAGACCAGCTCGGCAAAGAGGATCACGCAGCCTCCAACATTCAGCCAGTTGGAGCCCCAGGAGAGTGACAGTGTGCAGCCTAATGGTAAGTTAAGTATAGGGCAAGAAACATTGCGGACATTTGTTATTTGTTACTTTCCATCCCTGTGTTGAGGACCTACCGATTCCTTCAAGTTGCTATAGGTGAGCTGTCACACCATGACTGATAATAATATGAAAGAGTACAGTACAGTAAACTACGGTCATAACAAACTCAAAGGGACCACTAATTTTGGTTTGTTTTAACCGTTCGTTATAAGCATTTATTATGCCTCAAAGTAAGATCGACCAATCAGAGAGCAGAACTACTGACCCTATATCAGCCTGTATACCGTCAGTAAAAATCCAAGATGGTTGATACTGACCTAATATGAGACCATATACCGTCAGTACTAGCCATCTTGGATTCCAACAGCCACCTGACCAATTTCACGTGAAAATTCTGGTACCGAAATTCGTTATTTGACACTGTTTTGTGTTTTAATATCATTAATTGTGATGTGCAAGGACATTTATCTGTTTTTTAGATCACATTCTTGACTTTATTGATAAAGATTAAAGTTAAAATTGTCAACAAGGTTAAGCCTCTAAGTTTTGAAGAGTAGTGACTCTTAACGTCAACGTACGGTTGTAGACGTGTAATTTTCATTTTGACATGACATGTGCGATATTGATACCAGAGAGTGTACCCTTTCGGCATAATAAATTCGTTATGGTGTCTTTAGTTGCTGTATACGGTGTCATATTAGGTCAGCAGAATAATATTTTTTTGCTAACCTAATATGACACCGTATACGGCAACGAAAGACACCATAACTTATAATATATAGCAGATACACAGCAAATGGCCTGGGCCCACTTGCACAAAGCGATCTTAGTGCTAAGATGATCATAACTCCCGTACTTTAACATAGGCTAAAGTCTTAGCGCTACGATCGCTTTGTGGAACGGGGCCCTGTTGTACATGTTGATGTATGGATCACACATAAGGACACAGTCCACATTCACTGATATCCTGGCAGACTATGGCGTCATTGTTGTATGATCTCGCTCCAGTGACTGAGAGTATGGCAACATTCCTGGCAGCGGAGCACTTCGCAGGGAAGAGTATGTCCGACAGCCAGGTGCAGCTGGCACTCGAGGAGGCAAAGAGACGGCAGCAGGAGATCCGCGCAGCTGCGTCACGAGGGGTGGCAGGTAACGCAAATATCGGATCATGTTTATTGTGTTCATGTTAGTTATATACCAATAATGGTTATTCATTTTAACTATCATGACTATACAGTGCCAGTTTATGAGCTATGCTTTCATTGTGAAGGTTATATCTATATGGCTTTAAAAAAATATAAGAATTGGTTCTCAGGCAATGTTTTTTGAAAATAAAGTGTGGGCGGGCGGTGGTTATTTTTTCGCTTGTTCAAACTAGTATGTAAGCAAGAAAAAGTTTGTGAACCATCAACCCGGGAAAGGGCCTCGCTACATAAACAAGCATACAAACTCCTATTGCCACAATGACTATAACACGAGATGTGCAGTAAAGCAGTGCGCTTGTAAAGGGAAGTAACTGCGTGCTATATTTGATTGTATTGTTTTTAAGTATTCAGATTTTAGAAAAATATATAAAATGGAAATAAAAACAAAACGTGCGGCAAACTTAATGATGATGCAGGCAGTGCTTGAGAACTAAGACTCTTAATTAGTTCAGGCCGGTAGTAATTCAATCGCAATATTGTTTTCGGCGATCACTGTAGTAAAAATGCCCTAAGAAGTGCAGGACTGTAGGTATGGTCTTATCTCGGACAGGTCCATCGGCGCTGTCCATGGAGGAACAGAAGCTGCTGGAGTCTCTGGAACATCTCAACGACAAACTCAAGAGTAGGTATCACCCAGGAGCTTCAGCATTCAACAACAGACTTAAAGGGGGACTCTCTCGCGCAGTTTGTTGCCCATCTCTAGACATTGAAGTTGTTTTAGGATTTAAATTTGGACATTGTCTCTTCGTAATGAGGATAAACTTTAACTGTTAGATTGATATACATCGCAAAGTTATCAGACCAACAAAGTGTTGTTTGAAGCACTTGTATCACACTTGCTGGGGCTGCCAGTTTTCCTGCGCCAAGAACCCCTATAAACAATTACCACCAGTTAGATCTTTGTCAAACAGTTGTGACATTTATGTCTCCTAATTTCTCCTCTAAGCCTGTCCCAGGATGTCAGATATTAGCATTATGATTATGGGGATACTTCTTACATGTTGGGGGGTGGTCGGGTAGCCTTGTCGTTAAAGCGTTCGCTCGTGACGCCAAAGACCCGGGTTCGATTCCCGACATGGGTACAATGTGTGAAGCCCATTTCTGGTGTCCTCCGCCGTGATATTGATGGAATATTGCTAAAAGCGGCGTAAAACCATACTCACTCACTCTTACATGTTGGGATTCAGTGGAACAGCCTAACTGCTGAAATATTGCTAAAAGCGGCGTAAAACCATACTCACTGACTCTTACATGTTGGGATTCAGCGGAACAGCCTAACTGCTGAAATGTTGCTAAAAGCGGCGTAAAACCATACTCACTCACTCTTACATGTTGGGATTCAGCGGAACAGCCTAACTCTTGTTTAGTTGGAAGTCAGTATGCAATTGGAGGTAACATTTTGTTTGAGGACAGTCTTTTCTTTTCCTAGACGTAAATACTGTAAATCTTGAAATTAACGCGAGCGTGAATTAAATGCGAAAAATGCGAGTGGTCTTTGCTTGCATTATTAAACATCACATTTATATCAACAATAAGACATTTTGGATAGCAGAAATACCAACTTAGACATACGCTGAAAACAAACAACTATGTTTTCCACATCACTGTTTATTGAGCAGCACTTGTAACAAGTATATAAAGAATGTCATTCAAACACTATTTACATCCTGTGAATTGTCACTCATATTTGTCATCACTGATCACACCTGCAAGTCAAGACAGACGCCACCCACCCAACACAGTGTCTTTGTTCTTTGCGACTACGTCAAAGGCTGACATGAGCCAGCACGCATGTATTGTTTTAGCGAAGTACTCTACTCAGCGCTAATAAGCGGTGCTATTTGGTGTGTGATTGGATTAATATAAGGTTGGATTAAGGTGAGGATTCTCCTGTAAACCTGACATAGGACATTTTGTTTAGATATAAATCCACTGAAACTTGAGAGGAGGGGGTGTCGCATTCATATTGAGTCGCATTTTTGGCTAGGGGCCAGCGTTCGCATTCTTTTGGAGACGCATTAATTTCACGTTTTTCAGTATGTGATGTTCTGTTTGTAGTTTCGGAGAGCAAGCACCAGCCTGGCAGCTCGGCCAACACTGCCAAAACACCTGGTGTTCATCACTTCGTCCATGTAAGTAGTAAAGTCAGCAGCTACATCTCAGTTTCAGTTTTCAGTTTCACAGCCGGGTTACTTGTAGTTCTTGTCAATTGTTTTTGTACTGAAGATATTGATTTCATCAATAAGTACTCAAGTTATGTATGTTGTACCAGTTACAGTGATGTGAAGATCTTACATGTGATCATTATTGTAGTTATTCCCGTTTCTGTCTCAGGTCCATGGTCGCCCCCCTGTCTGATGTCAAGTATGTCTCTTACATGTCCTCTCTCTGCCTCACTACATGTCTGTCTCATCACGTGTTTCACTCTGTCTCTCTGCCTGTCTCACTCTGTCTCTCTGCCTGTCTCACTCTGTCTCTCTGCCTGTCTCACTCTGTCTCTCTGCCTGTCTCACTCTGTCTCTCTGCCTGTCTCATCACGTGTCTCACTCTGTCTCTCTGCCTGTGTCAGCACTAATCACATCAGTTGTTGTGATGACAGGCACTCCACTTCCTGCTATTTTTTGTGTTTTTGTGAAGCTCGATGTGTGGGCACAGAAGAGAATTGCAGTAACATGCTAGTGTGTGTGTAGTGTGCAGTATGTAGTGGAGTACATGTAGTGCTTGTGTGTTTAGTGTGTTCTGATGCAAGTAATTCATCTAATCGGGTTGGAACACTGCATATGACAGTGCACAAGCCCCTACCTCTCACAGCTTGATGGGAGAGGTTGGAAGGGGTACGGAAGTAGATGGAATGGGTAGGGAATGGTAGGGGTAGGACAAGGTATAGATATATGAAGGGGTAGGAGACTGAGATGGAAGGGGTAGGGAATGGTAGGGGTAGGACAAGATATAGATATATACTACTCAAAAGAAGTTAAGGATCACCCGATTCTTTCATATTGGTAAAGTTAATCTGCCATGGCATGAGAGATTAACTATAGTAATATGAAAGAATTAGGTGATCCTTAACCCCTTTTGAGTAGTATATAAAGTGGTAGGAGACTGAGATGGAAGGATAGGGCGGGGTAAGATGGGGTAGGACAAGATATGGATATATGAGGTTGTAGGAGACTGAGATGGAAGGGGTAGGACAAGATATGGATATATGAGGGGGTAGGAGTCTGAGATGGAAGGGGCAGGCCACAAAGTTCAAAAAAAATTCAAAGGAGCCACTTGTCTCCTAATTTTTTTTTCAAGGAGCCAAATAGAATTTCAAGGAGCCAAGGCAAAATGTAAGGAGCCAAAAGTAATGACTTGTAATTTAACTGAGCTTCTGCATAACAAAACACAAAAAAATCCATTAGTTTAAATAATCAGTTTTATATCATGAACAACAACTGTTGTTGAAGCTTTTGAGTTTTTCAGACAAACAAGCTTTAGAACATTGTGTCAGGAACATCATCAAACAAGCTTTAGGACATCGTGTCAGTAAATCCATCAGTAACATCATCTGACAGTTTACCGGTGCCAGTTGCAGGTTTTGGTTCATCGAACGTGTCGACAGACGATGAAACTTCCGTGTCAGCTTCGCCATTCAAAGCATTCCGTATTTTCTTTAGTATACTGCGCATTTTTTTCCAAAAAAAACCACAGCTGTGTAGAAGGGGGTGCGCATTATACACGAAATAATGAGTTTTGATGTTTTACCCCCTTGGAAAGACCGTGAGCACGTAACACCGGAAATACCATGTCAACAAATCCATACTGAAGTACGCAAATTAATCATGTAATTACACTGTCTGACTATAAAAAGTGTTCTTTGTATATCTGGACTTATGTTTGTAACTTATTTCATTAATTTTATTCAAAATTACTTTTAATATTGTTTTAATTAATTTCGGCGAAATCGTGTGTGAAGCGATCGGAAGATCGCACAATTCACCGTTATTAACAGAAACCACGGTCAGATTACCGCTATTGACGCCTTGAAACGAACTTTAGTTGACAGAGAATGGATACATATATGTCATAAATGCCATACTTTGACTCGTTAAAAGTCATATTTGTTTTTGTTGGACGATTCTATGTCAACACGTAATTCACGCAATCACGTGCGCGGGAGCCTTGATGGTGACTGGTCGGACTGGTTCCATGTAAAACCATGTAATACCCAGTAATAGCAATCAGCTGCTTCGCTTAGGGTTATTATTATTTCAAATATGTTTAGTAAAAGCTGCATCTAAATTAACAAGATATTGGAATATATTATTTCTGATAAAAAAATAGTTTCAGGTACAATTTTTGCCGATCCTTGCATTAAAACCCTGTAAAGTTATATCATTGGGTGTGTCTTGACTGAATCACCGGTAAATTCCAAGAAAATGTGTGTACAGCTGATTGCTGCGTCCGGCTTAGTTTACGAGAAGATACACATGGTAATCTTAATCCCTGGATATAAAACAATGCCTAGCTAGCAGAACAAAAAATACAATTTAAACGGTAAATCAACATATCTGGTGATTTTTTCTCTCAAATCTCGAATTTGTACTGACCATGTTTCTCATCACCCGTTCGTTTGCCGGACTTCGCTAAAGGGGTAGATATATCTACGGTGTAATTTTTTTTCTGCGCTTGGAAGATCTATTCGAATTTTTTTCCCAAAAAAATTCTGAATCCGCTAGAGAGGGGTGCGCACTATACTTAAGAAAATACGGTATACATCATTTGCCGATTGACAACGATTTGTTGTTGTTTGGACTTGCGCAAATATGGAAAAATACTTCGTGTTTTTGAAAGGCGAAACGACCACCACAGCTGTCACCTGGGCGGATGTCGTACAGCGCATGCGTGGGTACTAAACTCTTAACACCGTTAGTGCATTACTTAATAACGGAAAGTGCTTCCTTCATTCCAGGTATGGAGCTTCATATCGAAAGCGAAAACAGTACACATGGCCTAGCAGGGATCTAGTCGATGTTATTATGTTCTGATATCGATTTTTTTTCACTGAAGTTACCGCACTTATATTAAAAACGATCTTTTTTAATATCTTATGACAAGAGATATTTAGTCGCCAAACTTAATTAAAGACAAGGAGCCAGTTGGCGACTGACATGAAAATACCAGTCGCAAAATACAAAACTAGATCGCCATGGCGACCAATTTAGTCGCAACTTTGTGGCCTGAGGGGTAGGACAAGATATGGATATATGAAGGGGTAGGAGACTGAGATGGAAAGGGTAGGAAATAGTAGGGGTAGGACAAGATATGGATATATGAGGGGGTAGGAGTCTGAGATGGAAGGGGTAGGACGGGGTAGGAGTCTGAGATGGAAGGGGTAGGACAAGATATGAATATATAAGGGGTAGGAGTCTGGGGTGGAAGGGGTAGGATGGGGTAGGACAAGATATGAATATATAAGGGGGTAGGAGTCTAGGGTGGAAGGGGTAGGAAGGGGTAGCACAAGATATGAATATATAAGGGGGTAGGAGTCTGGGTTGGAAGGGGTAGGAAGGGGTAGCACAAGATATGAATATATAAGGGGGTAGGAGTCTGGGGTGGAAGGGGTAGGATGGGGGGGGGGGGGGGTGGGGGTAGGACAAGATATGAATATATAAGGGGGTAGGAGTCTGGGGTGGAAGGGGTAGGATGGGGGGGGGGGGGGGGGGTAGGACAAGATATGAATATATGAGGGGGTAGGAGTCTGGGGTGGAAGGGGTAGGATGGGGTAGCACAAGATATGAATATATAAGGGGGTAGGAGTCTGGGGTGGAAGGGGTAGGATGGGGTAGCACAAGATATGAATATATAAGGGGGTAGGAGTCTAGGGTGGAAGGGGTAGGATGGGGTAGGACAAGATATGAATATATGAGGGGGTAGGAATCTGGGGTGGAAGGGGTAGGATGGGGTAGGACAAGATATGAATATATAAGGGGGTAGGAGTCTAGGGTGGAAGGGGTAGGAAGGGGTAGCACAAGATATGAATATATAAGGGGGTAGGAGTCTGGGTTGGAAGGGGTAGGAAGGGGTAGCACAAGATATGAATATATAAGGGGGTAGGAGTCTGGGTGGAAGGGGTAGGATGGGGTAGGACAAGATATGAATATATGAGGGGGTAGGAGTCTGGGGTGGAAGGGGTAGGATGGGGTAGCACAAGATATGAATATATAAGGGGGTAGGAGTCTGGGGTGGAATGGGTAGGATGGGGTAGCACAAGATATGAATATATAAGGGGGTAGGAGTCTGGGGTGGAAGGGGCAGGGGTAGGACGGGGTAGGCAGGGTAGGACAAGATATGGATATGTAAAGGTAGGAGTCAGATGGAAGGAGTAAGGGACGAGAAGAGACAATAGGCAGGTGAAGAGAAAGCATCAGGTGGAAGATGCTATCATCACTGCCAGGTCTTGGTCGGTCTCCTCTGAAAGGGCTTGATAATAGTGTGTTTGAACTGTGAAGAGAAAAAGAAAATATTTGCATTGGTTTATATCGATCATGTTCTTGGTCCATCTGCAGAAACATTTCTCTAAACAATACACCATTTATGTTGCATGACACTTCAGCCTTTGAATATGTAATGAAGCATGATGCACTTCAAAACATTATGAAGCATAATTCAATTCATTTACTTTATGAAGCATGATATGCTTTAATGCATTATGAGCGTGATATACTTCATTAATGATAATGAATCATAATTCAAGTAACTACACCTTATGCTTCACTGCCCCTCTGCAAAAGACATCTGATGGTGAAGTTGTTCATGTGGTTCATCGGTGTCTCATGACTGCTTTGATCCATGTTTTCAATGTGACATATTGATTAGGGCTGGGACGGGTAACTCGGGTCCTCGGGTCGAATGGGTCATGAGTAGGACCTGGGTACCCACAGGACTATCTGGACCCATGGTTAGTCAAGTGATGTATAGTTTAATGACAAAAGCTCACTATAGCTCAATGGTTACACTACAAGTCACAAGTTCGCATTTCTTTATGACTGTGAACCCATTCCTTCTGACTTATATATGTTTGAATAAAGATAAAACTTCAGGCAACTTCAGTGTATGCATGACCAGATCGTTTTATTGTTGTTTCTCAACAGTTTGCCAGGTGTACTGTCAAACTTTTCCCTATCGGACTGTTTGTGCCCATCTCATGAGACCTACAGTGGGTACTTGGGTAGGGTCAGGTAATAGTGGGGTGGGTACCCGGGTAGTAAATTTGGACTTGTCCCAGCCCTAATACCGTCCATCTCCAGTTATGATTGTCCCACAACAGAGCTCCAGATAACTTTTTTAGCAACTGAGTTTTTACTAGACGGTTTCTATTTTAATTGGGATATATAATTTTCATTGGATTACCAATTTTTTTTCACTCATCTATTCATCACTCTATTGTTTTTTTCCAAAAATGAGTAAACATTTTGAGATTTAAAAAAAATACGAAAAAATGTTTTAGATGTAATATAACGGTTCTCAATATAGGCTTGACTCGGAAAGTAAATAAGCTCGTAAATGTGTTGCAGATATTAGCACCGTTGTTCGCATGCTGAAAAAGCTTCATTGGGTATTTACGTATGCTGTTTTCAAACAAGTTTTCCATTTAATGCATGCGATTCCGTACGCAAGTTAATTGAAAGTAATTGGGTTTTGAATAATTTTTTTGGGTATTTTATGCAAATACGCAGCTTATCTGTAGCTCTGCCCACAAGTTATGATGTCAGAGATTTATGTGCAGCTAGTGAGTTGACCGATGCCCAGATTGCTCTTGAGTTACACATGGGAGGAATATTGGCAATATTACAGTAGAACACGGATATAGCGAACAAATGGATACAACAAACTGTTAAACAATCCCCGATTTATCTCCTATATAATATCATATAAAATGTATGTATATAACAAACTCTCTACAGCGAACTGTTATCTGATCACCGACAAGCCCATCTATCACTAATTAGTGACGAGTATAGCGAGCTAAGAAATCTCACTCAGTGTCAAGTGTCACTGACAATTGGCTGTACGCAATCAGCGGTGAATCAACACAATCGCGGCGAATCAACACAATCAGCGGTGACGGATCAACCTTGTTAAACTTAAATGAATGTTATGAAATGTTATCATTTGAATGCTATGAAGTGATCACTGCTAATACAAGTCAATGCTGCAATTACGTGTATTGGGTTTTGTTTTATCCAAGATGGCGGACGTTTCCGAGCGAAAACGCATATAAAGAACAACGGATATAACAAACTGATTTTTCTGGTCCCTTGTAGTTCGTTATATCCATGTCCTACTGTACATACAATTTCACGTTGTGTTGATGGTTATTGATGTTTGTGTAATGCATATTTTTATGGTCCTAATTACCTACCATTTGTGTTACAGTCTGGAGGGTTTCGAGGTCATCCACCAATTTCACAGCTACAGCGTGGCCAAACCTCTAGCAACAGTGTACGGCAGAGGGCCCAGTCAGCCAGACACTACCACTAGAGGGCGCCATTGCATGAACACGTAGCCGAGTAGTTCTTCAGATGAGACAAAAGGGGATATTATGATGAACGTTCCTATGGAACTCAGCTAGAGGCGGAACTTGCTGTGTTAATACACGACTGGTTTCTACTCACGGTCATGTGACTGTCATGTGACTGTCATGTGACCTGGTGTAATGTGTTGTACCTTGTTGTTTTCGACAGAACAAGGTGTGTAGACACAGCAGTAGGTCGTGGAATGACGAAGATGCTACACTATAGTGATTAGCTGGACTCTGCTGCTACTGTAAGCCCCGGCACGAGACTGGGAGACGTGTTCAAGACAGCTGATGTAACTGTGCTACATCAGGCAAAGATCTGTGATAATTTATTATTGTTGTAGTATAGCCATTTTACTAGTTACCAAATTAATGTATCAACGCTTCTGGCAAGTGAAGCACTGTTGGATTGAGCTGATTCAGACACTGGACGTCACTTGATGGTTCTGTGATGTCCCATGATGCAGTGCCATGCAGGACCGATCTAGGATGCCCTTGAATGACGGAACACATTTGTTGTCAGGGTAAAGCGCTCTCCTTTTAATTAATTCTTAATGTACAAAGCCTGTTTACAGAATCTAAAGCTTTATGCAGTATCAGCCTCCGATCATATGACCTTAGATTTACTCCGTCCATTGTTATTTTACACGTTGTTATGTTACAAAGTTTGTCCATGTTTATGTTGAGTGATTCTGTTTCTACGAATCAATGCTAGTTGTCTTATTGTAAGCCAGATTATCATTCCGTCCACTTTATTAGCAATCTCATTAAAATCAGACCTTAGTTCTCGCTACCGCTAAACAAAGATCTGAAGACATCCCATTAGGGGTCACGTCAGAACAACCTTTCATCCGACCAATGAGAGCGTTGCTTACCAGATCAGGAAAGTGACAGTCGGAATGTGATTTCTAATCACACAACCTCGAAAACTTCAACACGGGGTATTCCGAAAGATAGTTACAGGTTTAATGCCTGATTCCATACAATCTAGACCATCTTTAGCCATTCCAGAATGTTCTTTTGTTTAGGTTTCAAATTTGTAATCAAGAATTTGTCAAAATATGTTTCGAAGCGTAGTTGCCAATTTGAAATTAGTGCTGTAAAGCACGAGAAAGCTGCCTTCTGATTGGTCATTCTATTGGTCGGTCAAAGTTCGCGCAAGGTCGGTCTTACGTGACCCTTAATGGGATGTCCTCAGATCTTTGTTTAGCGGTAGCGAGAACTGAGGTCTGATTTTAATGAGATTGCTTTATTAGAGAAGTATTTATTTTGTTGCTGCAGTTTATGTAGAATGTATTTTATTGTTCCAACTTTATATTTTCTACAAGTTAGCTAGATACACCATATCCAGGACAGCCTTGAAAACATTTGTAACAGCTTCATGATATTTTCAATGTTACCTCAATTCTACAATTTGATTAAGTGCCTTGAAAGTGTTCTTAATGAATCTGTGTTGTTAATGATATCACAATTGATAGTAGTCTGTATTATTGATGTTAACCAGGATAGAAAAAACATTCCAGTATTGCAGTACATGTTTGTTGAAGATATTTCCAAATTGTCTTGTTCCCCTTTTTTTGTTGACACTTATTGAGACTGACAGAACTTGTAAATCATGTCTTTTCAAATTAGGTGCTTTCTAACATTCCTGAGAGCTGCAATAAACCGAGATTTTTGCTAACTTGTAGACTTGCTAGTTTTGGACAGGATAATGAGGGACAGGAGGGACAGGATAATGTGTCCCAGGAGGGACAGGATAATGTGTCCCAGGAGGGACAGGATAATGTGTCCCAGGAGGGACAGGATAATGTGTTCCAGGAGGGACAGGATAATGTGTCCCAGGAGGGACAGGATAATGTGTCCCAGGAGGGACAGGAGGGACAGGATAATGTGTCCCAGGAGGGACAGGATAATGTGTTCCAGGAGGGACAGGATAATGTGTTCCAGGAGGGACAGGATAATGTGTCCCAGGAGGGACAGGATAATGTGTCCCAGGAGGGACAGGATATGAAATCCTACACTCCCTGGCAATCAATACATATGATCATTCGAGATACAGATATGGTCACAGTGCTTGATTTAAGGAATTTAACTTGTACCAGGGGCATGTTTACATGAAAACCAAGTTGCACCAATCAAAACCAGGTTGCACCAATCAAAACCAAGTTGCACCCTGATCCCATAAATTTAGCAAAGATAGGCCTCTCAGCTGCCAATGTCACTTAAATTAATGACACATTTCTGTAAAACGTAATAGGAGCAAGTTTGTAGTTTAGCACCACACTCAGCAATATTCAAGCTACATGACTGCGAGTCTGACCACCTGATCCTGTTAGTCGCCTCTTACGACAATCATGGGTTGTTGAGTGAGTGAGTATGGTTTTATGCCGCTTTTAGCAATATTCCAGCAGTATCACAGCGGGGGACACCAGAAACGGGCTTCATACATTGTACCCATGTCGGGAATCGAACACGGGTCTTCGGCGTGACGGGAGAACGGTTTAACCACTATGCTACCCAACCGCCCCTCATGGGTTGTTGATGAAACTATTCTACCCTGATCTTAACGGGTCAATGGGAATATGTGCACATAATCTTCCAGTACCCACAGATTGATGTCAAGCCTTAGAAAGCATGACAAATTACATGTAACACAGGGATTAGTGATGTAGTATGGTAAATAAACTTTAGAGGTATTGAGTGTGTTCAAAGATCAATTTTGTGCGGACAAGTAAGGGCAAGTCACACAAATATGAATTTTATTTGACATGCACATATAAATATTAGGTTACATTTTCAATAATAGGTTGCACTTTTGCATGTTTTATTGAGCACTGTGATCAGTTATACAAAAAACAAAAACACGGAATTTGTTTTCATGTTTACTTTACAAATACATGGTATAACAAAATAAATATATATCTAATTATAGTACACAATATATATTGGTAATATACAGGTGTATACATACTGACTTCTAGTACACCCGCGTTTGGCTGATCAGGATCAACTGCCTGACAGTGGTTAAGACTGGTCAAGACGTGTCATTATTGAATATGAACGTTGGACTGGTAGATTACAAATTGTACAATCTGCCGCCAGCTTCTGACATGCACCCCTCGGTGTGTGTGTCCAGCCACTGAGAGACCTGTTGTCATATAATTCCATGTCATGGGGATCATGCAATCTCATTAAAATCAGATCTTAGTTCTCGCTACCGCTAAACAAAGATCTGAGGACATCCCAATACGGATCACGTCAGCACGACCTTTCATCCAACCAATCAGAGCGTATAAGTCATTCCAGACTGTTGTTTTGGTCAGTTTTAATTTTTTTTAATCGAGAATATGTCAAAATATGTTTCAAAGCGTAGTCGCCAGTTTGAAACTAGTGCCGTAAAGATTGAGAGAGAGCTGCCTTCTGATTGGCAAATGTCGATTTCTTGTCAGTCATTTCATTGGTCAGTCAATGTTTGCGAAAGGTCGTGCCGACATGACCCATAATGGGATGTCCTCAGATATTTGGTTAGCGGTAGCAAAAACTATGATCTGATTTTAATGAGATTGGGGGATCATGTACACTGGCTTGTTTCAAGAACTTACATGCTACATGAGTGAGTGAGTGCCGCTTTTAGTAATATTCCAGCAATATCACGGCAGGGGCCCCAGAGAAATTGGCTTCACACATTTTACCCATGTGGGGAATCCAGGTCTTCAGCGTGACTTGTGACAGATTAACCACTCGCCTACCCCACCATCCCTACATACCACATGTAATAGCTACAATTCTTGACTATAGTGTAAAACACCTTTCACCAGTTCACTCACTACATCACTTTTCTGACTGAATCATAACTGTTGACATCTAACACTGGTCTGATGCAAGCAGTGTGTTAATTTGACTCCCTAATAGCAGTGAGTGAGTGAGTATGGTTTTATGCCGCTTTTAGCAATATTCCAGCAATATCACGACGGGGGACACCAGAAACGGGCTTCACACATTGTACCCATGTCGGAAATTGAACCCGGGTCTTCGGCGTGACGAGCCAACGCTTTAACCACTAGGCTACCCGACCGCCCCACCTAATAGCAACTGCAGCCCTTTGAGAGTCAGATTTCATTGAGGTGATGACAGTGAGAGTTAGGATTATCTCATGCATGGTACTGCCCTGGCTGTGTGCCATGGCTCCCTGAGAGCACATACAACACCTGCTGAACAGGTTATCACAGTTTAAAGTTTGATATTCCTCAAAACATCTTGTCATGAGACCCTGAGCTAATGTCACGACATGTTTCTGGATGTCATGAGTGAATGGAGCTGACCGGTAACATGACACCTTGTTTCTGGAGGAGGCGCAGAACGTCCAGGATGGAGTCCAGCTCTGCCCGAAACTTCTCGATCTCTTTGTTCTTCACTTCGACAATCTTCCTCCATTTCTCTCCTTCCTGGTCGAGCTCAAGGGAAGCAACTCTCTGAGTGTTGGCTATGATCTGCTTCAGTTCAGATTCCCGCTGCTCGTGGCGGTTCTCCATCTGAATAATCTTCTCCTGCAGGGTCTCGAAGTGACGCATTTCCTGTAATAGATAAAACGTTAGATCTCAGGTGTTGCCCATCCAAGAAACTTCAACAGTGAGAGTCAAACTGATCAAAATGAGATCACAGTAAAGTGAGTAGGTTTGGATACGATTGCTTTGAACACAAAGTGTCAGCTTGATGAGGGAAGACAGCCCTGATCACAGTCAGCCAACAACCAGCAGGACGTGTCATCCCTGATCTGCCACACTGAAGCCCATGTGTACAGTGAGAAGGCTAAAACTTACAGGAGAGTGACTCTTCTTGGCCTCTTGCAGCAGGTCCTGGAGCTTCTCAATCTGATTCTGCTTGGCAGCTTCCCGTATCTTGAGGATGGATATCTGCTCTGCATCAACCTCCGACTTGGCCAGCTGCTGCTGTAGGTGCTGGATCATCACCTGGAACAGAAGAGAGATTGAGGTGGTGTACTGGGAGAGATCAGTCGGTTGGTGAGGGATTGAGGTGGTGTTCTGGGAGAGATCAGTCAATTGGTGAGGTGAGGTGGTGTCCTGGGATAGATCAGTCAGTTGGTGAGGTGAGGTGAGGTGGTGTTCTGGGAGAGATCAGTCAACTGGTGAGGTGAGGTGGTGTTCTGGGATAGATCAGTCAGTTGATGAGGTGAGGTGGTGTTAAGGGAGAGATAAGTCAGTTGGTTAGGTGAGGTGGTGTTCTGGGAGAGATCAGTCAGTTGGTGAGGTGAGGTGGTGTTCTGGGAGAGATCAGTCAGTTGGTGAGGTGAGGTGGTGTTAAGGGAGAGATCAGTAAGTTGGTGAGGTGAGGTGGTGTTCGGGGAGAGATCAGTCAGTTGGTGAGGTGAGGTGGTGTTAAGGGAGAGATCAGTAAGTTGGTGAGGTGAGGTGGTGTTCTGGGAGAGATCAGTCAGTTGGTGAGGTGAGGTGGTGTTAAGGGAGAGATCAGTAAGTTGGTGAGGGATTGAGGTGGTGTTCTGGGAGAGATCAGATAGTCGGTGAGGGAATGAGGTGGTGTTCTGGGAGAGATCAGTCAGTTGGTGAGGTGAGGTGGTGTTCTGGGAGAGATCAGTCAGTTGGTGAGGTGAGGTGGTGTTAAGGGAGAGATCAGTCAACTGGTGAGGTGAGGTGGTGTTCTTGGAAAGATCAGTCAGTTGGTGAGGTGAGGTGGTGTTCTGGGAGAGATCAGTCAACTGGTGAGGTGAGGTGGTGTTAAGGGAGAGATCAGTCAGTTGGTGAGGTGAGGTGGTGTTCTGGGAGAGATCAGTCAACTGGTGAGGTGAGGTGGTGTTAAGGGAGAGATCAGTCAGTTGGTGAGGTGAGGTGGTGTTCTGGGAGAGATCAGTCAACTGGTGAGGGATGGAGGTGGTGTTCTGGGAGAGATCAGTCAACTGATGAGGGATTGAGGCGGTGTTCTGGGAGAGATCAGTCAACTGGTTAGGGATGGAGGTGATGTTCTGGGAGAGATCAGTCAACTGATGAGGGTTGGAGGTGGTGTTCTGGGAGAGATCAGTCAACTGGTGAGGGATTGAGGTGGTGTTCTGGGAGAGATCAGTCAACTGGTGAGGGACTGAGGTGGTGTTCTGGGAGAGATCAGTCAACTGGTGAGGGATGGAGGTGTGTTCTGGGAGAGATCAGTCAACTGGTGAGGGATTGAGGTGGTGTTCTGGGAGAGATCAGTCAGTTGGTGAGGGATTGAGGTGGTGTTCCGGGAGAGATCAGTCAGTTGGTGAGGGATTGAGGTGGTGTTCCGGGAGAGATCAGTCAGTTGGTGAGGGATTGAGGTGGTGTTCTGGGAGAGATCAGTCAACTGGTGAGGAATTGAGGTGTTCTAGGAGAGATCAGTCAATTGGTGAGGTGGTGTTCTGGGAGAGATCAGTCAGTTGGTGAGGGATTGAGGTGGTGTTCTGGGAGAGATCAGTCAGTCGGTGAGGGATTGAGGTGGTGTTCTGGGAGAGATCAGTCAACTGGTGTGGGATTGAGTTGGTGTTCTGGGAGAGATCAGTCAACTGGTGAGGGATTGAGGTGGTGTTCTTGGCAAGATCAGTCAACTGGTGTGGGATTGAGGTGGTGTTCTGGGAGAGATCAGTCAGTCTGTGAGGGATTGAGGTGGTGTTCTGGGAGAGATCAGTCAACTTGTGTGGGATTGAGGTGGTGTTCTGGGAGAGATCAGTCAACTGGTGAGGGATTGAGGTGGTGTTCTGGGAGAGATCAGTCAGTCGGTGAGGGATTGAGGTGGTGTTCTGGGAGAGATCAGTCAACTGGTGAGGGATTGAGGTGGTGTTCTGGGAGAGATCAGTCAACTGGTGTGGGATTGAGGTGGTGTTCTGGGAGAGATCAGTCAGTTGGTGAGGGATTGAGGTGGTGTTCTGGGAGAGATCAGTCAGTTGTTGAGGGATGGAGGTGGTGTTCTGGGAGAGATCAGTCAACTGGGGAGGGATTGAGGTGGTGTTCTGGGAGAGATCAGTCAACTGGTGAGGGATTGAGGTGGTGTTCTGGGAGAGATCAGTCAACTGGTGTGGGATTGAGTTTGTGTTCTGGGAGGGATCAGTCAACTGGTGAGGAATTGAGGTGGTGTTCTGGGAGAGATCAGTCAATTGGTGAGGAATTGAGGTGGTGTTCTGGGAGAGATCAGTCAGTTGGTGAGGGATTGAGGTGGTGTTCTGGGAGAGATCAGTCAACTGGTGAGAGATTGAGGTGGTGTTCTGGGAGAGATCAGTCAATTGGTGAGGGATTGAGGTGGTGTTCTGGGAGAGATCAGTCAACTGGTGAGGAATTGAGGTGGTGTTCTGGGAGAGATCAGTCAATTGGTGAGGGATTGATGTGGTGTTCTGGGAAAGATCAGTCAGTTGGTGATGGATTGAGGTGGTGTTCTGGGAGAGATCAGTCAATTGGTGAGGTGGTGTTCTGGGAGAGATCAGTCAGTTGGTGAGGGATTGAGGTGGTGTTCTGGGAGAGATCAGTCAGTCGGTGAGAGATTGAGGTGGTGTTATGGGAGAGTTCAGTCAATTGGTGAGGGATTGAGGTGGTGTTCTGGGAGAGATCAGTCAATTGGTGAGGGATTGAGGTGGTGTTCTGGGAGAGATCAGTCAACTGGTGGGGGACTGAGGTGGTGTTCTGGTAGAGATCAGTCAATGGTTGAGGGATTGAGGTGGTGTTCTGGTAGAAATGAGTCCATAGGTAACAGATGTGCTGTGTTTTTGGAGAGATCTGTCAATATGTAACAGTTTTGACTGTTCTGGGAGAGCTCAAATCAGAGAGCAGACAGGAACACCAAGCCCTGGGAGATGTTGCCCAAGAGATGTGAGGTTTCCAGCAGTGGGATTTAAGACATTTTTGTTCAGTCATATCACTCAAATCAGTACATTTCAGTTTGAGTTTGACGGATGGTTTGGTTTAGCAGGCTTGTATTCAGACAGAGTATTAGTTGGCATGGTGGTGCTGAGTGGGCTGCGTGAGGCTGGGGAGGGATTAGGGTACTAGTTTACGGAGGTGGATTGGATGTGTGATGTATGGAAGAAAGCAAGGCCTACCTCCTGACTGTCACACTTGCTGTGTAGCTGAGCCAGTTTGGAGGAGTAGTGTTGGAAGGCCTGGTCACTGAGGACTCTCTGCAGCTCTTGCTGGTGGGACAGTCGCAGGCTGTCAATCTGAAACAGGGGAAACAACTCTTCGTTGATTACATCCCACAAACTTTGGCTCAAAGTCAATTTCATTAAAATCAGATCTTAGTTCTCGCTATCGTTAAACAAAGATCTGAGGACATCCCATTAAGGGTCACATCAGAGCGATCTTTCATCCAACCAATCAGAGCTGCGCTTACCAGATCATGAAAGTGACTGTCGGAATGTGTTTTCTAATCATGCAACCACGAAATATTTAACACAGGGTATTCCGAACGACATTTACGGGTTTTATGATTATATCCATACAATCTAGGCCATATATAAGCCATTCCAGAATGTTCTTCTTATCAGTTTAAATTTTTTTAATGGAGAATACGTCAAAATGTTTCGAAGCGTAGTCGCCAGTTTAAAACTAGTGTCGTAAAGCTCGAGAAAGCTGCCTTCTGATTGGCTAATGTCGATTTCTTGTCAGTCATTTCATTGGTCGGTCAAAATTTGCAAATGATTGTCTGACGTGACCCGTACTAGGACGTCCTCAGATCTTTGTAGCGAAAACTCAGATCTGATTTTAATGAGATTGCTGGCCCAAGTTAAGCCTTCAACTTACTACAACATCTAACAAACGTACCATTGGTAATATCAGACCTTATAAGAAAAGATCTTTAACAATTTATATAAAATGTCAACACCTGAGAATAATCAGTCTTGATTATCTGTCAAAATATTCCATTCAGCGTAAAAGGCAAAATAGAGACGACAATTATATGAATGGATCACTGAAAAGAAGTGATGACACCAGGTGTTCTCAAAAAAGGTAATAATGTCCTCTGCATGTGGCATCCTGAATGTCATCCTACTGCTGAGAGTGAGTGAGTGAGTATGGTTTTACGCCGCTTTTAGCAATATTCCAGCAATATCACGGCCGGGGACACCAGAAATGGGCTTCACACATTGTACCCATGTCGGGAATTGAACCTGGGTCTTCGACGTGACGAGCGAACGCTTTAACCACTAGGCTACCCGACTGCCCCCTAATGCTGAGAAGATATGCTCACCTGGTCTTGGTAATCCTCCCTGTGTTTCCGTGCTACGGCTTCCGTCTCCGCTAGAGACTTACGGAGGTCAACTCTCTGTTGGTCCAGTTCCAGCTGTAGGCTCTCCACCTGACACAGTGGACATGCAAGTTTAATGGCTTGGAGTGAATGAATAGCATTTATGCATTGTCAGCTATATTAAAAAATTCCTCGACTTGATTAAACACGAAAGAGGAACAGAGATTGATTGTCAGCAACATCTGTTTGTAACACTCTTCTTACCGTAGTTCTCAGATCTTGGTTTTCATGCAGGACTTGTGTGATGTCCGAGTCTGCAAACGTCTGGGGCTCGTAGCTCCGGTCCGCTGTTGGAGGGAAACTGTCAAACTGAGACTCGGGAGTGGAGAGCTTCTTCCTGGTACCCTTGCCCTTAGTTTTTGATTTCTTTGTGGTATCTGTGAACAAACCGGACGTAAGTCTTGTGATTAACATCTTTCATATTCAGCATAAGACTATTTCTAAGGCTCTTTAACCTCATCATACATCTATTTAACCTCAAAATACAACTAATGCTGATGGTTCTTTAACCTCAGCATACAACTATTTAACCTCATTCTATGGCTCTTTAACCTCTAATACAACTATTTAACCTCATCATACAACTCTTTAACCTCATTCTATGGCTCTTTAACCTCTAATACAACTATTTAACCTCATCATACAACTATTTAACCTCACTATACAACTATCTAACCTCATCATACAACTCTTTAACCTCATTCTATGGCTCTTTAACCTCTAATACAACTATTTAACCTCATCATACAACTCTTTAACCTCATCATACAACTCTTTAACCTCATTCTATGGCTCTTTAACCTCTAATACAACTATTTAACCTCTAATACAACTATTTAACCTCATCATACAACTCTTAACCTCACTATACAACTATCTAACCTCATCATACAACTCTTTAAGCTCATCATACAACTCTTGAACCTCATTCTATCGCTCTTTAACCTCTAATACAACTATTTAACCTCATCATACAACTCTTTAACCTCACTATACAACTATCTAACCTCATCATACAACTCTTTAACCTCATCATACAACTCTTTAACCTCATTCTATGGCTCTTTAACCTCTAATACAACTATTTAACCTCACCATACAACTATTTAACCTCACTATACAACTATCTAACCTCATCATACAACTCTTTAACCTCATCATACAACTCTTTAACCTCATTCTATGGCTCTTTAACCTCTAATACAACTATTTAACCTCTAATACAACTATTTAACCTCATCATACAACTCTTTAACCTCATCATACAACTCTTTAACCTCATTCTATGGCTCTTTAACCTCTAATACAACTATTTAACCTCTAATACAACTATTTAACCTCATCATACAACTCTTAACCTCACTATACAACTATCTAACCTCATCATACAACTCTTTAAGCTCATCATACAACTCTTGAACCTCATTCTATCGCTCTTTAACCTCTAATACAACTATTTAACCTCATCATACAACTCTTTAACCTCACTATACAACTATCTAACCTCATCATACAACTCTTTAACCTCATCATACAACTCTTTAACCTCATTCTATGGCTCTTTAACCTCTAATACAACTATTTAACCTCACCATACAACTATTTAACCTCACTATACAACTATCTAACCTCATCATACAACTCTTTAACCTCATCATACAACTCTTTAACCTCATTCTATGGCTCTTTAACCTCTAATACAACTATTTAACCTCTAATACAACTATTTAACCTCATCATACAACTCTTTAACCTCACTATACAACTATCTAACCTCATCATACAACTCTTTAACCTCATCATACAACTCTTTAACCTCATTCTATGGCTCTTATAACCTCTAATACAACTATTTAACCTCTAATACAACTATTTAACCTCATCATACAACTCTTTAACCTCACTATACAACTATCTAACCTCATCATACAACTCTTTAACTTCATTAACAACTCTTTAACCTCATTCTATGGCTCTTTAACCTCACCATACAACTATTTAACCTCATTATACAACTATCTAACCTCATCATACAACTCTTTAACCTCATTCTATGGCTCTTTAACCTCACCATACAACTATTTAACCTCATCATACAACTCTTTAACCTCATCATACAACTCTTTAACCTCATTCTATGGCTCTTTAACCTCTAATACAACTATTTAACCTCATCATACAACTCTTTAACCTCATCATACAACTCTTTTACCTCATTCTATGGCTCTTTAACCTCTAATACAACTATTTAACCTCATCATACAACTATTTAACCTCACTATATAACTATCTAACCTCATTCTATGGCTCTTTAACCTCACCATACAACTATTTAACCTCATCATACAACTCTTTAACCTCATCATACAACTCTTTAACCTCATTCTATGGCTCTTTAACCTCTAATACAACTATTTAACCTCATCATACAACTCTTTAACCTCATCATACAACTCTTTTACCTCATTCTATGGCTCTTTAACCTCTAATACAACTATTTAACCTCATCATACAACTATTTAACCTCACTATATAACTATCTAACCTCATTCTATGGCTCTTTAACCTCACCATACAACTCTTTAACCTCACCATACAACTCTTTAACCTCATCATACATCTCTTTATCCTCATCATACAACTCTTTAACCTCATCATACAACTCTTTAACCTCATCATACAAAAGCTTATGCTTCTAAACCTCTTAAGATTATTATTGAAATGTTTCTCAGCCTCATAAGATTATCACGGAATGCTTCTTGACCACATACGATTAAGACCGAAGTCTTCTCAGCTACATAAGATTAATGTTGAAGGCTTCAAACCCTCATGAGACTAAATATGAAACTATCTGAACCTCATAACAACACTTGTGACAACTAGTCGGTCCTGCTCACCGCCAGTCTTCTCCTTGCGGAGTCTCTCCAGGGACGTGTAAAGGACATGGAGGTCATGCTTCTTCTCATCCAGTTCCTGCTGCAGCAGCGCCACCTGCTGGTTGAGGTCTGACTCAGGGGTTCGAGAGGTGTCATTCTTCATCAGGTCTAAAGATAGGATAATGCAATAATGACAGCATTCACGATTTCTGTTGTATAACATGCCCAATCTTAATAGCAAAATGTGTTGTGATCTTCATACTTAATAATGGCCATTATTTCTGTTTGGATGTATGTGTAAGGCTTTGAGTGTGATCAAATGAGTCATTGTACTATACAGCTAATGCTGACACTGACTGTGTAAACTGTGTGTAAAGCTTTGTGTGAGACTGTGTGTAAGTGCTGGTACTGACTGTGTGTAAGACTGTGTGAGAGTGCTGACACTGACTGTGTGTATGACTGTGTGAGAGTTCTGGTACTGACTGTGTATAAGACTGTGTGAGAGTGCTGGCACTGACTGTGTGTAAGACTGTGTGAGAGTGCTGGTACTGACTGTGTGTAAGACTGTGTGAGAGTGCTGACACTGACTGTGTGTAAGACTGTGTGAGAGTGCTGACACTGACTGTGTGTAAGACTGTGTGAGAGTGCTGACACTGACTGTGTGTATGACTGTGTGAGAGTGCTGACACCAACTGTGTGTAAGACTGTATAAGAGTGTTGGTACTGACTGTGTGTAAGACTGTGTGAGAGTGCTGGCACTGACTGTGTGTAGGACTGTGTGAGAGTGCTGACACCAACTGTGTGTATGACTGTATAAGAGTGCTGGTACTGACTGTGTGTAAGACTGTGTGAGAGTGCTGACACTGACTGTGTAAGACTGTGTGAGAGTGCTGGTACTGACTGTGTGTATGACTGTGTGAGAGTGCTGACACTGACTGTGTGTAAGACTGTGTGAGAGTGCTGACACTGACTGTGTAAGACTGTGTGAGAGTGCTGACACCAACTGTGTGTAAGACTGTGTGAGAGTGCTGACACTGACTGTGTAAGACTGTGTGAGAGTGCTGACACTGACTGTGTGTAAGACTGTGTGAGAGTGCTGACACCGACTGTGTGTAAGACTGTGTGAGAGTGCTGACACCAACTGTGTGTAAGACTGTGTGAGAGTGCTGACACTGACTGTGTAAGACTGTGTGAGAGTGCTGGTACTGACTGTGTGTATGACTGTGTGAGAGTGCTGACACTGACTGTGTGTAAGACTGTGTGAGAGTGCTGACACTGACTGTGTAAGACTGTGTGAGAGTGCTGACACCAACTGTGTGTAAGACTGTGTGAGAGTGCTGACACTGACTGTGTAAGACTGTGTGAGAGTGCTGACACTGACTGTGTGTAAGACTGTGTGAGAGTGCTGACACCGACTGTGTGTAAGACTGTGTGAGAGTGCTGACACTGACTGTGTGTATGACTGTGTGAGAGTGCTGACACCAACTGTGTGTAAGACTGTATAAGAGTGTTGGTACTGACTGTGTGTAAGACTGTGTGAGAGTGCTGGCACTGACTGTGTGTAGGACTGTGTGAGAGTGCTGACACCAACTGTGTGTATGACTGTATAAGAGTGCTGGTACTGACTGTGTGTAAGACTGTGTGAGAGTGCTGACACTGACTGTGTAAGACTGTGTGAGAGTGCTGGTACTGACTGTGTGTATGACTGTGTGAGAGTGCTGACACTGACTGTGTGTAAGACTGTGTGAGAGTGCTGACACTGACTGTGTAAGACTGTGTGAGAGTGCTGACACCAACTGTGTGTAAGACTGTGTGAGAGTGCTGACACTGACTGTGTAAGACTGTGTGAGAGTGCTGGTACTGACTGTGTGTATGACTGTGTGAGAGTGCTGACACTGACTGTGTAAGACTGTGTGAGAGTGCTGGTACTGACTGTGTGTATGACTGTGTGAGAGTGCTGACACTGACTGTGTGTAAGACTGTGTGAGAGTGCTGGTACTGACTGTGTGTATGACTGTGTGAGAGTGCTGACACTGACTGTGTGTAAGACTGTGTGAGAGTGCTGACACTGACTGTGTGTAAAACTGTGTGAGAGTGCTGACACTGACTGTGTGTAAGACTGTGTGAGAGTGCTGACACTGACTGTGTAAGACTGTGTGAGAGTGCTGGTACTGACTGTGTGTAAGACTGTGTGAGAGTGCTGGTACTGACTGTGTGTAAGACTGTGTGAGAGTGTTGGTACTGACTGTGTGTAAGACTGTGTGAGAGTGTTGACACTGACTGTGTGAGAGTGCTGGTACTGACTGTGTGTAAGACTGTGTGAGACTGTTGGTACTGACTGTGTGTAAGACTGTGTGAGAGTGCTTGTACTGACTGTGTGTATGACTGTGTGAGAGTGCTGACACCAACTGTGTGTAAGACTGTATAAGAGTGTTGGTACTGACTGTGTGTAAGACTGTGTGAGAGTGCTGGTACTGACTGTGTGTAAGACTGTGTGAGAGTGCTGACACTGACTGTGTGTAAGACTGTATAAGAGTGTTGGTACTGACTGTGTGTAAGTCTGTGTGAGAGTGCTGACACTGACTGTGTGTAAGTCTGTGTGAGAGTGCTGACACTGACTGTGTGTAAGTCTGTGTGAGAGTGCTGACACTGACTGTGTGAAAGACTGTGTGAGAGTGCTGGTACTGACTGTGTGTAAGACTGTGTGAGAGTGCTGACACTGACTGTGTGAAAGACTGTGTGAGAGTGCTGACACCAACTGTGTGTAAGACTGTGTGAGAGTGCTGACACTGACTGTGTGTAAGACTGTGTGAGAGTGCTGACACTGACTGTGTGAAAGACTGTGTGGGAGTGCTGGTACTGACTGTGTGTAAGACTGTGTGAGAGTGTTGGTACTGACTGTGTGTAAGTCTGTGTGAGAGTGCTGACACCAACTGTGTGTATGACTGTGTGAGAGTGCTGACACTGACTGTGTGTAAAACTGTGTGAGAGTGCTGACACTGACTGTGTGAAAGACTGTGTGAGAGTGCTGGTACTGACTGTGTGTAAGTCTGTGTGAGAGTGCTGACACCAACTGTGTGTAAGACTGTGTGAGAGTGCTGACACTGACTGTGTAAGACTGTGTGAGAGTGCTGGTACTGACTGTGTGTAAGTCTGTGAGAGAGTGCTGACACCGACTGTGTGTAAGACTGTGTGTAAGACTGTGTGTAAGACTGTGTGAGAGTGCTGGTACTGACTGTGTTGGTTCTTGTTGATCTTGGTCAGCTCCCCAGTGAGTCGGTCAACCTGGGCCTGCAGCTCAGCCACCTGCCGCGTGTAGCGTTGCCGCAACTCCTTCAACTCCAGCTCCATCGCAGCACCATGGGTGATGGGAAGATCCCCGCCCGTCCCGTCCACCCGCTGATAGATGGACAGCTGCTTCTCCAGGTCAGACACTCGCGACTCAAACTTGTACTGCAACACAGAGTTTACCACATGATCTCCACAGCGATTGACACATGATGTCAATGGAGACTGGCACATGATCTCCACAGAGACTGGCACATGATCTCCACAGAGATTGACACATGATGTCAATGGAGACTGGCACATGATCTCCACAGAGACTGACTCATGATGTCAATGGAGACTGGCACATGATCTCCACAGAGATTGACACATGATGTCAATGGAGACTGGCACATGATGTCAATGGAGACTGGCACATGATCTCCACAGAGATTGACACATGATGTCAATGGAGACTGGCACATGATCTCCACAGAGACTGACACATGATGTCAATGGAGACTGGCACATGATCTCCACAGAGATTGACACATGATGTCAATGGAGACTGGCACATGCTGTCAATGGAGACTGGCACATGATCTCCACAGAGATTGACACATGATGTCAATGGAGACTGGCACATGATCTCCACAGAGACTGACACATGATGTCAATGGAGACTGGCACATGATCTCCACAGAGATTGACACATGATGTCAATGGAGACTGGCACATGATGTCAATGGAGACTGGCACATGATCTCCACAGAGATTGACACATGATGTCAATGGAGACTGGCACATGATCTCCACAGAGACTGACACATGATGTCAATGGAGACTGACACATGATGTCAATGGAGACTGGCACATGATCTCCACAGAGATTGACACATGATGTCAATGGAGACTGGCACATGATCTCCACAGAGACTGACACATGATGTCAATGGAGACTGGCACATGATCTCCACAGAGACTGACACATGATGTCAATGTAGACTGGCACATGATCTCCACAGATATTGACACATGATGTCAATGTAGACTGGCACATGATCTCCACAGAGATTGACACATGATGTCGATGGAGACTGGCACATGATCTCCACAGAGACTGACACATGATGTCAATGTAGACTGGCACATGATCTCCACAGATATTGACACATGATGTCAATGTAGACTGGCACATGATCTCCACAGAGACTGACACATGATGTCAATGGAGACTGGCACATGATCTCCACAGAGACTGACACATGATGTCAATGGAGACTGACACATGATGTCAATGGAGACTGGCACATGATCTCCACAGATATTGACACATGACATCAATGTAGACTGGCACATGATCTCCACAGAGACTGACACATGATGTCAATGGAGACTGGCACATGATCTCCACAGAGACTGACACATGATGTCAATGTAGACTGGCACATGATCTCCACAGATATTGACACATGATGTCAATGTAGACTGGCACATGATCTCCACAGAGATTGCCACAAAATCCCGGATCTTAAAATGTAAAGAGTCCACCTCCGTATCTGAAAAGACTAGTGCAGTCTACCTATGTACCAGAGCATTAAACAACAACAAACAACAAAGTCCCCAAGAAAACCACCTTGATGTTGTTGTACTTCTGCTCCATGGCCCGCAGCAGGGTGTTGGAGGCTTCGTCCTTGCTGGCCAGTTCCTCCTCCAGCTTCTTGATGCGGTTCTCCAGCACCGTGACACTCGCGGACTTGATGGGGGGAGCCTGGTCCTCGCCCACGCTTGCAGCTGCAGCCATCATCAGCGCCGGGAGGGAGTTGGGGTGGCGGCGACGGATGATCTGCTCCATCTCCTTCACCTGCATCAGCACCAACGGAGACATTTAATTGGGGCTCAACACTTTCGGAATAGTCCAGATAGGAGGACAACATCAAGAAACAATCAGGACTCACAAAGCACACTTGATTAGGTATTGTCCAGTTGGAATAAAAAAACCATCATCATCATCATCATCATCATCATCCATCATTTGCATATACATAATGCGCCGAATACACGCTAAAGCATGTTCAAAAGGCTGCATTATTACCCTGTAACCTTCGACCAGAGGTTAATATGGTGACTAGCTAAAGCCAAGTCATCATCATAGAACCTGAAGCATCTGCTTCACTTGAGATTTCACAACTGATGATGTTTTACTGTGCTACCTGTAATGATGAAAGAAGATGGAACCTACCTGTCTTTGGAGGTCCTGAATCTTCTTGGCATCCGAGGCTCGCTCTCTCGCCCTCAGCTTGTTCTCCTCTAACTTGCGCCCAGTCTACAAACAAGACAGACTGTCACACATAGACACCTTGAAGATATTCCAAAACCATTCCAAACTCACGAACCAGTCAGTTTTCCATGTCCTCACACCATTCCCCATAGTCTATCTCCTCACTTAGCCCGCATCTGTTCCATTTAGCCCCACCCAACTGTCCTCACCATCCTATCTGTCCTGTATAGTCTGTCCGCCATGTCGTCACCCACAATCTGTATGTCCAGCATCTGTTCCATTTAGCCCCACCCAACTGTCCTCACCATCCTATCTGTCCTGTATAGTCTGTCCGCCATGTCATCACCCACAATCTGTATGTCCAGCATCTGTTCCATTTAGCCCCGCCCAACTGTCCTCACCATCCTATCTGTCCTGTACAGTCTGTCCGCCATGTCGTCACCCACAATCTGTATGTCCAGCATCTGTTCCATTTAGTCCCGCCCAACTGTCCTCACCATCCTATCTGTCCTGTACAGTCTGTCCGCCATGTCGTCACCCACAATCTGTATGTCCAGCATCTGTTCCATTCAGTCCCGCCCAACTGTCCTCACCATCCTATCTGTCCTGTACAGTCTGTCCGCCATGTCGTCACCCACAATCTGTATGTCCAGCATCTGTTCCATTTAGCCCCGCCCAACTGTCCTCACCATCCTATCTATCCTGTACAGTCTGTCCACCACGTCGTCACCCACAATCTGTATGTCTAGCATCTGTTCCATTCAGTCCCGCCCAACTGTCATCACCATCCTATCTATCCTGTACAGTCTGTCCACCACGTCGTCACCCACAATCTGTATGTCCAGCATCTGTTCCATTCAGCCCCGCCCAACTGTCCTCACCATCCTATCTATCCTGTACAGCCTGTATGTCCAGCATCTGTTCCATTCAGCCCTGCCCAACTGTCCTCACCATCCTATCTGTCCTGTACAGTCTGTCTGCCATGTCATCACCCACAATCTGTATGTCTAGCATCTGTTCCATTCAGCCCCGCCCAACTGTCCTCACCATCCTATCTATCCTGTACAGTCTGTCCACCACGTCGTCACCCACAATCTGTATGTCCAGCATCTGTTCCATTCAGTCCCACCCAACTGTTCTCACCATCCTATCTGTCCTGTACAGTCTGTCCACCACGTCGTCACCCACAATCTGTATGTCCAGCATCTGTTCCATTCAGTCCCGCCCAACTGTCCTCACCATCCTATCTATCCTGTACAGTCTGTCCACCACGTCGTCACCCACAATCTGTATGTCTAGCATCTGTTCCATTCAGTCCCGCCCAACTGTCATCACCATCCTAGCTATCCTGTACAGTCTGTCCGCCATGTCGTCACCCACAATCTGTATGTCCAGCATCTGTTCCATTCAGCCCTGCCCAACTGTCCTCACCATCCTATCTGTCCTGTACAGTCTGTCCACCACGTCGTCACCCACAATCTGTATGTCTAGCATCTGTTCCATTCAGTCCCGCCCAACTGTCATCACCATCCTATCTATCCTGTACAGTCTGTCCACCACGTCGTCACCCACAATCTGTATGTCTAGCATCTGTTCCATTCAGTCCCGCCCAACTGTCATCACCATCCTATCTATCCTGTACAGTCTGTCCGCCACGTCATCACCCACAATCTGTATGTCCAGCATCTGTACCATTCAGTCCCGCCCAACTGTCCTCACCATCCTAGCTATCCTGTACAGTCTGTCCGCCATGTCGTCACCCACAATCTGTATGTCCAGCATCTGTTCCATTCAGCCCCGCCCAACTGTCCTCACCATCCTATCTATCCTGTACAGCCTGTATGTCCAGCATCTGTTCCATTCAGCCCTGCCCAACTGTCCTCACCATCCTATCTATCCTGTACAGTCTGTCCACCACGTCGTCACCCACAATCTGTATGTCTAGCATCTGTTCCATTCAGTCCCGCCCAACTGTCATCACCATCCTATCTATCCTGTACAGTCTGTCCGCCACGTCATCACCCACAATCTGTATGTCCAGCATCTGTACCATTCAGCCCCGCCCAACTGTCCTCACCATCCTATCTGTCCTGTACAGTCTGTCTGCCACGTCATCACCCACAATCTGTATGTCCAGCATCTATTCCATTTAGCCCCGCCCAACTGTCCTCACCATCCTATCTGTCCTGTACAGTCTGTCTGCCACGTCATCACCCACAATCTGTATGTCCAGCATCTGTACCATTCAGCCCCGCCCAACTGTCCTCACCATCCTATCTGTCCTGTACAGTCTGTCTGCCACGTCATCACCCACAATCTGTATGTCCAGCATCTATTCCATTTAGCCCCGCCCAACTGTCCTCACCATCCTATCTGTCCTGTACAGTCTGTCTGCCACGTCATCACCCACAATCTGTATGTCCAGCATCTGTACCATTCAGTCTGTCTCTGTCCTCACCATCCTACCCACAGTATGTCCTCCTCATGATGACCTCACCCCTCATCTTATTCCCTACAGTCTGTCCTCGACGTTGTCCTCCCACCTATCATCCCTCACCTCAGTTGTGAGTCCTTCCAGTCTCAGTTTCAGCTGTCTGATTTCTTCCTCTTTCTTCTTCATACTTGCCGCCCCCTTGTCCAGCAGCTGCTGGTTCTCTGCATACCACTTCAGCTTCCTCCTCAACTGGGACACTTCCTCCTCATGCTGGGCCTTCAGCTCCTACACAACAGAGGCCAACTTTCAGCTCACATCAATAGCTCACAAGAGATGCTCTGTGATCCTACTGGCCAGGTCAATCTCTGGGATGCTTCCAAACCCCTAACTCAACCTGGCTGTTACAGTACGATCTTCCTCAGAACGACACTGACAGAGATCCAATATCTCCAGAACCCACTCGGGCCTAATTGCTGTGATAAGTGCTTCCTCACAAGCCCCTCACTGATGTCCTCCGAAACACAATTGACTGGCTTGACTGAAGTACCCTGAGGCCCTCCAATCTAACCTGGCCTGCAATTCTGGTGTGACCTTCCTCCCAAGACCCTCACTGATCTCCTACCAACCCCATCTCTCCCTGGCCAGTTCTAAGAACATCTTCGTCACAAGACCCTCACTGATAAACCAACCCCATCTCTCCCTGGACAGTTCTAAGAACATCTTCGTCACAAGACCCTCACTGATCCCCTATCAACCCCATCTCTCCCTGGCCAGTTCTAGCAACATCTTTGTCACAAGACCCTCACTGATCTACCAACCCCATCTCTCCCTGGACAGTTCTAGGAACATCTTTGTCACAAGACCCTCACTGATCTACCAACCCGATCTCTCCCTGGCCAGTTCTAGGAACATCTTTGTCACAAGACCCTCACAGATCTGCTACCACCCCCATCTCACCCTGACCAGTCCTAGGAACATCTTTGTCACAAGACCCTCACTGATCTCCTACCAACCCCATCTCTCCCTGGCCAGTCCTAGGAACATCTTTGTCACAAGACCCTCACAGATCTCCTACCACCCCCATCTCTCCCTGGCTAGTTCTAGGAACATCTTTGTCACAAGACCCTCACTGGTCTCCTACCAACCCCATCTCTCCCTGGCCAGTTCTAGGAACATCTTTGTCACAAGACCCTCATTGATCTACCAACCCCATCTCTCCTTGAACAGTTCTAGGAACATCTTTGTCACAAGACCCTCACTGATGTCCTTCATCAACCTGAACTTACCTTGGCCTGTTCTGGTGTGATCTTCTTTGCAGCGTCGAGGTCCCGACTGAGATCTTCCCGCTCCCGCACCAGCTGGTGAATGTGAAGGTCGAGCTCCTGCTTGGTCTGCTGCAAGACCTTCATCTCCCGCTGCTGGATCTCACTCTGCCTCTGAACACAGACCATACGGTATCACCCACAGGCTTAGAAATAACCGACTTCATACATATCGTATGTGCAATGCAAATATCATCTGGATGGCATTGTGACGTCATTCAAATCTTATTGTGATGTAAGGTCGGAATGACGACACACTATAAACGAGTTCATAGCAGAAGATTGCTGATGTCATTCGACAATAGTGGTTTTCTAAGATGACAGTCGCGATCAGTAAGAATTCATGTATTAACCTCACTTTAGCTCGAGAAATACAAAAATTCTGACATTTATTTGTTAAATCAGTATAACACACATGCTGGCATAATAATCTCTATGTATTTTGATGTAAGGGAGCTAACTCATTCCAAGAAGTGCTTATTCTATGTTTACACATGAATCAGATCAACATTACTGTCAATAGTAAGTATAGTATTGTTATGTGTGGTAGCTATGAGTAAAGTAATGTCACTGTGTAACAGTGATTAGTCAGTTGTATTAATTGATGCTCACGAAGAGCAATATTTACTTGACGTAGCAAGCTCTGTATCAGTAAAAACAAGGCTCACATTCAGAGCTGCAACACTCTGGGTCATATTACAGCTGACACAGCAGCTATTTGATCTCTTTATCATCTAAAACAGGTGTTCTCTGGTTGCAAAGTAATTTCACCTTAGCCTCTGTCAGTTCAGCCTGTAGCTGGACAAGCTTGTTGGCGCCGAGCTGGGCATCTGCGTTGCCAGCAGCTATCTGCTGCTGTGCTGCGAGACTTGTGATGATGCCCTTGTTCCTCAGCGCAAGGTCCTTCTGCTCAAGCTGGGATCTACAACACACAGATTTCTCTTTAACTGGAACAAGAGTTTGCCACTAACCTTTTTTAACCGAGGTGGAACTTGTCATGGAAATTGTGAAAAAAAGAAGAGTTTGGAACCTAGGTCCATCTTGTTGCCATGGAAACGTAAAAAATAAAAATTTCTAAAATTTCTAAATAGCAAAAGGCACCATTTCAGCATGTACCTGACAAACCTGCAAAGTTTCATGAAAAAATATTGAACGGTTTATGAGTTATGCTCCGGAAACAAAACGTGACGGACGGACGTATGGACGGACGGTGTCGTTTCTATATCCCCCGCCAACTTTGTTGGGCGGGGGATAATAATGACAGACAGAACAAGTTCTACAGTGACCTATGACACACAGATCATGCTAAACTTGGATCTACAGAAAATGTCTGATGTCTCTTCAGAATTGAAACATATTTGGGGGCTCTATGACACAGATCATGCTAAAATTGGATCTACAGAAATTGTCTGATGTCTCTTCAGAATTGAAACATATTTGGGGGCTCTATGACACAGATCATGCTGAACTTGGATCTACAGAAAATGTCTGATGTCTCTTCAGAATTGAAACATATTTGGGGGCTCTATGACACAGATCATGCTGAACTTGGATCTACAGAAAATGTCTGATGTCTCTTCAGAATTGAAACATATTTGGGGGCTCTATGACACAGATCATGCTGAACTTGGATCTACAGAAAATGTCTGATGTCTCTTCAGAATTGAAACATATTTGGGGGCTCTATGACACAGATCATGCTGAACTTGGATCTACAGAAAATGTCTGATGTCTCTTCAGAATTGAAACATATTTGGGGGCTCTATGACACAGATCATGCTGAACTTGGATCTACAGAAAATGTCTGATGTCTCTTCAGAATTGAAACATATTTGGGGGCTCTATGACACAGATCATGCTGAACTTGGATCTACAGAAAATGTCTGATGTCTCTTCAGAATTGAAACATATTTGGGGGCTCTATGACACAGATCATGCTGAACTTGGATCTACAGAAAATGTCTGATGTCTCTTCAGAATTGAAACATATTTGGGGGCTCTATGACACAGATCATGCTGAACTTGGATCTACAGAAATTGTCTGATGTCTCTTCAGAACTGAAAGACAGATCATGCTTAATCTGATCCAACTACAGTGAGTGAGTGAGTGAGTTTGGTTTAATGCCGCTTTTAACAGTATTCCAGTTATATCACGGCGTGTCAGCTTAATGTGGGAGGAAAGCCCAAAGTGATGCAGGTCTCAGACGTTTACCAATTCGGTGAAACCCCCGAGGACGGGTATGGTGCTGACAAACCTAAAAACATAATCGGGGCGAACCGGGATTCGAACCCACAATCATAGGTTTCTGGTGTGCCCAAGGGACGCAACTCTGCACAGCAAATCGCGGCGCCTTATACAACTGGGCCACCCGTGCCCCCTCCAACTACAAACACTGTCTGATGTCTCTTCAGAATTAAAAGATATACGGATACAAACAATCGACCTACTTTAGGTTGGTGACTTCTGTGATCAGTCTCTGGTTCTCAGAGAACATTTTCTCCTCCGCTGAGCGTGTGTTGGCACGGAGAGCCTTCATTTCGCCATACAGTCGTTGGTTCTCTGTTTGGAACCCGGCAATGAGAGACTCCTGGTCCTTGATCTCCCGTTCCAACATTGTCAGCTGCTCCCTCGTAACAGCATCCCCGCTCAATACCTCTCCCAGCTTCCTCCTTGCAGTGCTCTCCCCCTCCCCCTCGTTCAGCTGGGGAAATAGGAATGTATACATAAACATCCGCATTACAAGCAGATAGCCTCAAGGCTGAACTAAGGTGGTGTTGATGCTGAACTAGGGTGGTGTTGATGCTGAACTAGGGGATGTCCATGCTGAACTGAGGTTATGTCTATGCTGAACTAGGGGACGTCGATGCTGAACTAGGGGATGTTGATGCTGAACTAGGGGATGTCGATGCTGAACTAGGGGATGTCGATGCGGAACTAGGAGGCGTTGATGCTGAACTAGGGGATGTCTATGCTGAACTGAGATATTGTCTGTGCTGAATTAGGGAATATTGATGCTGAACTAGGGGATGTCTATGCTGATCTAGGGGGTGTAGATGCTGAACTAGGGGGTGTAGATACTGAACTAGGGGGTGTAGATACTGAACTAGGGGGTGTAGATGCTGAACTAGGGGGTGTAGATACTGATCTAGGGGGTGTAGATGCTGAACTAGGGGGTGTAGATGCTGAACTAGGGAATGTCTATGCTGAACTAGGGGGTGTAGATGCTTAACTAGGGGGTGTAGATACTGAACTAGGGGGTGTAGATACTGAACTAGGGGATGTAGATGCTGAACTAGGGGGTGTAGATGCTGAACTAGGGGGTGTAGATGCTGAACTAGGGAATGTCTATGCTGAACTAGGGGGTGTAGATGCTTAACTAGGGGGTGTAGATACTGAACTAGGGGGTGTAGATGCTGATCTAGGGGGTGTAGATGCTGAACTAGGGGGTGTAGATACTGAACTAGGGGACATCGATGCTGAACTAGGGGATGTCGATGCTGAACTAGGGGGTGTCGATGCGGAACTAGGAGGCGTTGATGCTGAACTAGGGGATGTCGATTCTGAACTAGGGGGTGTAGATACTGAACTAGGGAATATCGATGCTGAACTAGGGGATGTCTATGCTGAACTAGGGGGTGAAGATGCTGAACTAGGGGGTGTAGATACTGAACTAGGGGGTGTAGATACTGAACTAGGGGGTGTAGATGCTGAACTAGGGGACGTCGATGCTGAACTAGGGGATGTCGATGCTGAACTAGGGGGTGTAGATGCTGAACTAGGGGGTGTAGATGCTGAACTAGGGAATGTCTATGCTGAACTAGGGGGTGTAGATGCTTAACTAGGGGGTGTAGATACTGAACTAGGGGGTGTAGATACTGAACTAGGGGGTGTAGATGCTGAACTAGGGGGTGTAGATGCTGAACTAGGGGGTGTAGATGCTGAACTAGGGAATGTCTATGCTGAACTAGGGGGTGTAGATGCTTAACTAGGGGGTGTAGATACTGAACTAGGGGGTGTAGATGCTGATCTAGGGGGTGTAGATGCTGAACTAGGGGGTGTAGATACTGAACTAGGGGACATCGATGCTGAACTAGGGGATGTCGATGCTGAACTAGGGGGTGTAGATACTGAACTAGGGGACATCGATGCTGAACTAGGGGATGTCGATTCTGAACTAGGGGGTGTAGATACTGAACTAGGGAATATCGATGCTGAACTAGGGGATGTCTATGCTGAACTAGGGGGTGAAGATGCTGAACTAGGGGGTGTAGATACTGAACTAGGGGGTGTAGATACTGAACTAGGGGGTGTAGATGCTGAACTAGGGGACGTCGATGCTGAACTAGGGGATGTCGATGCTGAACTAGGGGGTGTCGATGCGGAACTAGGAGGCGTTGATGCTGAACTAGGGGATGTCGATTCTGAACTAGGGGGTGTAGATACTGAACTAGGGGACATCGATGCTGAACTAGGGGATGTCGATGCTGAACTAGGGGGTGTAGATACTGAACTAGGGGACATCGATGCTGAACTAGGGGATGTCGATTCTGAACTAGGGGGTGTAGATACTGAACTAGGGAATATCGATGCTGAACTAGGGGATGTCTATGCTGAACTAGGGGGTGAAGATGCTGAACTAGGGGGTGTAGATACTGAACTAGGGGGTGTAGATACTGAACTAGGGGGTGTAGATGCTGAACTAGGGGACGTCGATGCTGAACTAGGGGATGTCGATGCTGAACTAGGGGGTGTAGATGCTGAACTAGGGGATGTCGATGCTGAACTAGGGGACGTCGATGCTGAACTAGGGGGTGTAGATGCTGAACTAGGGGGTGTAGATGCTGAACTAGGGGACGTCGATGCTGAACTAGGGGGTGTAGATGCTGAACTAGGGGGTGTAGATGCTGAACTAGGGGGTGCAGATGCTGAACCACGGGACATCGATGCTGAACTAGGGGGTGTAGATGCTGAACTAGGGAATATCGATGCTGAACTAGGGGATGTCTATGCTGAACTAGGGGGTGTAGATGCTTAACTAGGGGGTGTAGATACTGAACTAGGGGGTGTAGATACTGAACTAGGGGGTGTAGATGCTGAACTAGGGGGTGTAGATACTGAACTAGGGGTGTAGATGCTGAACTAGGGGATGTCCATGCTGAACTAGGGGGTGTAGATGCTGAACTAGGGGATGTCCATGCTGAACTAGGGGGTGTAGATGCTGAACTAGGGGGTGCAGATGCTGAACAAGGGGACTTCGATGCTGAACTAGGGGACATCGATGCTGAACTAGGGAAGTCGATGCTGAACTAGGGAATATTGATGCTGAACTAGGGGATGTCTATGCTGAACTAGGGGGTGTAGATGCTGAACTAGGGGGTGTAGATACTGAACTAGGGGGTGTAGATACTGAACTAGGGGGTGTAGATACTGAACTAGGGGACGTTGATGCTGAACTAGGGGACGTCGATGCTGAACTAGGGGGTGTCGATGCTGAACTAAGGAATGTCGATGCTGAACTAGGGGACCTCGATGCTAAACTAGGGGATGTCGATGCTGAACTAGGGGGTGTCGATGCTGAACTAGGGAATATCGATGCTGAACTAGGGGATGTCTATGCTGAACTAGGGGGTGTAGATGCTGAACTAGGGGGTGTAGATACTGAACAAGGGGACGTCGATGCTGAACTAGGGGACGTCGGTGCTGAACTAGGGGATGTCCATGCTGAACTGAGATTATGTCTATGCTGAGCTGGGTTAAATGAAGGTTGAATCATGCTGGTTCTGAGAAGGTTATCGTACCTTGGCAGCCAGGACAAAGTTTTCCTGCTTCAGTTTGAACATCTCCTGCTCATGTTCCACCTTGACCTGGTCCATCTCCTCCTTATGCTGCTGCTGGAGGGTCCGCATCTCACCTGGATAACACACAGCGAATTATCACCTGGATAACAAGGAGGAAAATATCACCTGGATAACAGGGAGGAAATTATCACCTGGATAACATGGAGAGAAATATCAACTGGATAACAAGGAGGGAAATATCACCTGGATAACAGGGAGGGAAATATCACCTGGATAACAGGGAGGAAATTATCACCTGGATAACATGGAGAGAAATATCAACTGGATAACACACAGGGAATTATCACCTGGCTAACAAGGAGGGAAATATCACCTGGATAACTCACAGTGATTTATCACCTGGGTAACAGGGAGGAGTTTATCACCTGGATAACATGGAGAGAAATATCACCTGGATAACTCACAGTGATTTATCACCTGGGTAACAGGGAGGGGTATATAACCTGGATAACATGGAGGGAAATATCACCTGGATAACATGGAGGGGTATATAACCTGGATAACATGGAGAGAAATATCACCTGGATAACTCACAGTGATTTATCACCTGGATAACAGGGAGGGAAATATCACCTGGATAACATGGAGGGAAATATCACCTGGATAACATGGAGGGGTATATAACCTGGATAACATGGAGAGAAATATCACCTGGATAACAGGGGCAGGTATATCACCTGGATAACATGGAGGGAAATATCACCTGGATAACATGGAGGGGTATATAACCTGGATAACATGGAGGGAAATATCACCTGGATAACAGGGGCAGGTATATCACCTGGATAACATGGAGGGAAATATCACCTGGATAACAGGGGCAGGTATATCACCTGGATAACATGGAGGGAAATATCACCTGGATAACAGGGGCAGGTATATCACCTGGATAACATGGAGGGAAATATCACCTGGATAACAGGGGCAGGTATATCACCTGGATAACATGGAGGGAAATATCACCTGGATAACAGGGAGGAGTTAATCACCTGGATAACATGGAGAGAAATATCACCTGGATAACTCAGTGATTTATCACCTGGGTAACATGGAGGGAATTATAACCAGGATAACAAAGAGGGAAATATCACCTGGGTAACAGGGAGGGGTATATCACTTGGATAACATGGAGGGAAATATCACCTGGATAACATGGAGGGATTTACCACCTGGATAACATGGATGGATATCACCTGGATAACAAGGAGAGATTTATAACATGGAGTGAAATAACACCTGGATAACATGGAGGGATATATCACCTGGATAACAGCGGTAAATGTGCCTAAATATAAAGGAGGGATATTTCATATGGATAACATGGCTACATATATATCAACAGGGGATACATACTTCACCAAGGTACTTTGGACAAATATCTAACCTGGATAACACAGGTAGTTATATGTGTTCACATGGCCACACAGGGAAGTTGGACTTACCCTGCAGACTAGCCAGTCTCTTCCTCTCTTCACCCAGCTCCTGCTGCAGCTCTCGCTCCACACTCGATGTCTTCTCCATCCGCAGACTGGCCGACACTGAAGGCTCCTCAGACGAGTACTTTACCTGACAAAGGAGAATGGGGATGGGTGTATGTTGATGTGTGCACATGTGCTTAAAGACTGTAGCAAGGGAGTGGCTGAGAGGACTGTGTCCAGCGCAACACCAACCAACCAAACAACCAGGTCACATTTGATAATCATAACCAATGCACTTTCAGCAACTGTGCCAGCAACAGACAATATATAAAATTCCAATACAACATACATATGGCTTCCTTATACAACATAGATGGAGGCGTAGCTTCCTGCTACGAAATGTATGGAGCCCTACCTTCCCATTGCAGCAGGAGTGGAGCCCTAGCTTCCCATTACAACATGAGTGGAGCCTTAGCTTCCTATTATAACATGAGTGGACCCCTACCTTCCCATTACAACACGAGTGGAGCCTTAGCTTCCTATTATAACATGAGTGGACCCCTACCTTCCCATTACAACACGAGTGGAGCCCTAGCTTCCAACACAACACGAGTGGAGCCTTAGCTTCCTATTATAACATGAGTGGACCCCTAACTTCCCATTAGAACACGAGTGGAGCCCTAGCTCCCCATTACAACACGAGTGGAGCCTTAGCTTCCCATTACAACATGAGTATAGCCTTAACTTCCCATTACAACACGAGTGGAGCCTTCACTTCCCATTACAACACGAGTGGAGCCTTCACTAACCATTACAACACGTGTGGAGCCCTAGCTTCCCATTACAACATGAGTGGAGCCCTAGCTTCCAATTACAACATGAGTGGAGCCCTAGCTTCCAATTACAACATGAGTGGAGCCCTAGCTTCCAATTACAACATGAGTGGAGCCCTAGCTTCCAATTACAACATGAGTGGAGCCCTAGCTTCCCATTACAACTCGAGTGGACCCCTAGCTTCCCATTACAACACGGGTGGACCCATAGCTTCCCATTACAACATGAGTGGAGCCTTAGCTTCCTATTATAACATGAGTGGACCCCTACCTTCCCATTACAACACGAGTGGAGCCCTAGCTTCCAATTACAACATGAGTGGAGCCCTAGCTTCCAATTACAACACGAGTGGAGCCTTAGCTTCCTATTATAACATGAGTGGACCCCTACCTTCCCATTACAACACGAGTGGAGCCCTAGCTTCCAACACAACACGAGTGGAGCCTTAGCTTCCAACAAAACACGAGTGGAGCCCTAGCTTCCCATTACAACACGAGTGGAGCCCTAGCTTGCCATTACAACTCGAGTGGACCCCTAGCTTCCCATTACAACACGAATGGACCCCTAGCTTCCCATTACAACACGGGTGGACCCATAGCTTCCGAATTTCAATCTTGACTCAAACCTACCTCTGGGACTCCCTTCCCTGTAAAATGGTCTCGGATGTAACTTGCAAACGACTCCACAGACTGCAGCAGACGTGTCTCAGGCACTTTCCCTTGAAGATTGTGGTGGGCGGTCCTTGGAGACTGGGTGCCTGGCAGTGCAGAAAAACACAGTCCAAACTCAGTACAGATTAGTTCCTTTGCAGTAAGCTAAGTCACAGAGCCTGCCTACGTATCGGAGTAGAAGATCTGATGGTAATGTTTCTGTCCATGTACTGGGAACAAACACCATATCCAGGGATGAGAATGGATGTTTTCCTTTTTAGCTGAAACTTCTTTGCAGTGGACCGTGGTCCAGAATTTGGGAATGTTTATTGGGGAAGCCATGAGATTTGAACAAATTTGTGGTCACTAAATTCGCGGAAATTCACGGATCCGCTGAAGACTTTCACCCCTGTAGGGTATGACCCTCCCTTACTTGGTGTAAACTTGGTCTTGTGGTTGAATAACCTTGCATTTAAGGAAGTTAGTACGAAGACTCAGAAGACTCCTCAATTTTCTTTGAGAAAGTCAAACCTATTGGGTTTGAAGACCTTGCATGGTAGGATGCGCCCCCGATATGGTCACACTGACACACTACTAGTACCTGTAACTTTGTGTCTGCTGACGTCTGCCGGGGACCAGGTCTGGTTGCCAGGTCGTGTTGATTTGCCAGGTGACCTTGATGGTGAATGTGAAGGCGACCGGCTAATGGAGCGCTTCCCATACCCTGAACTCTGGATGTGGGAAAATCTGGATCGGGACTTCTTACCTGAAACAAACACGAAAGTTGTAAGTCATGAGTTTGTTTGTTTTGTTTGTTTGTTTGTTGTTTAACACCGCACTCAGCAATATTCCAGCTATATGACGGCGGTCTGTAAAAAAATCGAGTCTCGACCAGACAATCCAGTGATCGACATTATGAGCATCGATCTACGCAATTGGGATTGATGACATGTATCAACCAAGTCAGCGAGCCTGACCACCCGATCCCGTTAGTCGCCTTTTACAACAAGCAGTCGCCTTTCACGGCAAGCATGGGTTGCTGAAGACCTATTCTACCCCGGATCTTCACGGGTCTGTAAGTCATGAGACTGTGGGTACACGTTGAATATATTCTCATATTTAGGGCAGCACCAACATATACATTTATTAATACACATGTCTTTTAGTCCCTGCACCAACTTGTCAAATCTTTGTTGTCAAGTTTTGTTCATCTGCTTTGTTTTCAGTTACACTAAATTTTGTGTGAAAACAAAATCAAGAACGCAGGTCATGTTGTTAAGATCCTAACAGAGATCAATGAGAACCTGATTGATTTCACTGACCTAACATATTGACAAAAGACTACCTTCCTGATTCCACGATTCATCAGATGACAAAAGATTATATAATACAGTAACCATGGTAACCTGACTCACCTTTAACCTCATCTGTCCTGACATTGGTGAAGGTACCACTGGCGCCATCTGTCTTTTCCTTCACAGACTGCCAACAGACATGGTGTGTATGTTATACTGACATGTAGGCAAGGTAGTGTAGCTGATGTATGTGTGAGCATGAGAGTAGTCGTCATATGTTATCCAGCCTTAGAAGTTAGTCATTTTTAAGAGTGAGCGAGTGAGTATGGTTTTACACCACTTCCAGCAATATCGCGGCAGGGGACACCAGAAATGGTCTTCACACATTGTAACCATGAGGGAATCGAACCCGGGTCTTCGGCGTGACGAGCGAACGCTTTAACCACTAGGCTACCCGACCGCCCCCTTTTTAAGATGAGTGTAGACCTTATTTCACTAGTCCTCAAGGTTTGTAGCTGGTTCTGTTTGAAACAGACAAACATGTCTATGTTCACATTTTCGGTCAGTTTTACTCAGTTCCAATTTGAAGCAAACTTGAGTGAGTGAGTGAGTGAGTTTGGTTTAACGCCTCTTTAAGCAATATTCCAGCAATATCACGGTGGGGACACCAGAAATGGGCTTCACACATTGTACCCATGTCGGGAATCGAACCCGAGTCGTCGGCGTGACGAGCGAATGCTTTAACCACTAACCACTAGCAACGAGCAGTAGAACAAGGTGTGTCTCACTTCTGATTGCTTATATTGGGTTTTCCATGTGCAGGGGTAGACACCTTTGGTCATACACAACTAGTCTGCAGTTTTTTTCGGACGATGTAAACAACAAGTTTTGCTAGATTTTCACTAGTCTTGGAGTAATGGACAAGGTAAGGTGAAATGGGGTTTAGCGTCACGTCCAAGATAATTGCACTTATATAGTGACGTGCATGTGTGTGTGTGTGTGTGTGCGTGCGTGTGTATGGGTGTGTGGGTGGCTGCTTGTACTAGCCCAGACTGATGCCAATTTGTAGTGCTTGCCCACTGAGATACCAGGTCGCAAATGAACACGAATACCCCAATCAGACACAGCATACTGATTCCAAGCCGACCAGTCCTTGTTTTAGCCCCTTAATGCCGAGAGCGCCAGACAGGGTAACAACAAGTACCATCTCATAACGTCTTTTGGTATGACGCGGCCGTGGATCAAACCCGGACCTTCCGCTCTCCGGGCGGACGCTCTACCACAAGACCACGGAGGCAGTCCTAACTGACAAGTAGCCGTGTTTAACCCCGCAGTATATCACATTCTCATTCCTAATTTACCAGAGTCAACAACAGCCATGAGGTTTGTCGTCAGGGGCAACAGCTACCTGCCTCAAGGTGTGAGGTGACTTGGATCATAATGACGTGTCAGTTATTGCACAGCACATGACAGAGCTCCAGATAAGCTTTTGGTGTTGTGGGTATTTTACCCATGCATTTTAAAATCATTGGTTATCAGTAATTCTATCTGGGTATTCAAATTACCCACTAGTTTTTACACATGTGGGTATTTAAGTTAAATATCTAAAAACACTATTCATTTAGTCCCTGCAAACTGGTGTCGTGTGGGTTCGACATTTTATAGGACTCAAAAATACCACGATACTTCCACAAGAAATTGTGATGGCAAATGATCATGATGTAACTGTCCTCGTGGAGTTTGGCAAGGTTGACGGAATGCCTGTTTATAATTTCAAAATAAGTTGCTGATTTGCTAAACAAATACGCAGGGTTACTTCACAATTTTTGATGATACGCACAAGTTTTATTTTTGTAGCGTATCTGTAATGTAATTTTACTGCATATTTCTGCATTTCTGATGCGTATTTTACGCAGATGCGCAGCTTATCTGGAGCTCTGCATGATTTGGTACACAACATTCACCTGTGACACACATTAGTTAGGTTAGACAGCAACTGTTGACATTAGCAAACAATACACAGCAAACTATATGTGTTATTATACATGGGAGAGATCACGGTCAGGCCGATGGGACATAAATGGTGGATCTTGTCCCAGTTCTACAAACTTAAGCGATCTTAGGACTAAGACGATCTTAACGCCAATAGACTTACAAGAGTCAATGTGCCAAGGTCGCTTTGTGGAACGCAACCCTGGTCGATAAAACATTGGATGGTTTCACTCCAGGAATTTTCAGACATTGGGCCCATTATGTGAAAATTTCAAATATTCCAGAGGTACACCCACACTTGCCCATACAGCACAATGTCAAAATGCCCCATGGTATTTGAAAATGTGGGCCTTTTCAAACATTTAGGGGTTAAACATGTTAAAAGCACAAGGTCCCACCCTAGAATTATCCCTGCATAACAATGCTGTTTGTTTCTTGTTCAACGCTGCACCCAGCCATATTATGACTATCTGGTTGCAGTCTGCAAATAATCGAGTCTGGTCTAGTCAAAAGGTAACACAGTGGATCAAATATACTACATGTATTTGTTCTACAGGTTATATATTGGAATACACCATCTATTCTATCTGGCAAACATGCTATATACTGGATATTATAGCCTACAGCTTATACATCGGATAATATATAGAGTTTTGGATAACATTTGCATGACAGTTCTAGTGTCTATAATATGGTGTCTACTGGTCTTCTGGTATTCTAGAAGACAGGGACACTTATGGTATGGTATATATTCAGTGGCTTACACAATTGGTGTTCGTGATATCATGGGAATGCGAACATGCAAAATTTTGATTAGAATAAATTAACTAAATGCAAGACACGCTCACTACTCTTGCACATTCCACAAATGAGTGAGTGAGTATGGTTTTACGCTGCTTTTAGCAATATTCCAGCAATATCACGGCGGGGGACACCAGAAATGGGCTTCACACATTGTACCCATGTCGGGAATCGAACCTGGGTCTTTGGCGTGACGAGCGAACGCTTTAACCACTAGGCTACCCGACCGCCCCTCCACAAATGAAAATAATGTTAAACAACCCACACCTGCTGATCTTGCACATTCCACAAATGAAAATAATGTTAAAAAACACACTTGCTACTCTTGCACATTCCAAGCATGAAACAATGTTTAAAAACACGCTCGCTACTCTTGCACATTCCAAGCTTGAAAATAATGTTAAAAAACACGCTCGCTACTCTTGCACATTCCATGAACTTGAATACTGTTAACCAACCCACACCTGTTGGTGTAGCACACACGTGACATGATGGAGACAGTGTTGTAAAACCCATGCATTGCACACAGACATGAAGCTCCTGGCGACACATGCAGTACTTACATACAGGCGCTGGATGCTGCGGCCTCTCGATCCCTTCAATAGTCACAGGGTTTATACAGTAAACAAATACATATATGACAAACAAATTATTGTAAAGAAATAATCTTGAACCAATAGTTGTATACATGTTTCACCATGATAGATTCTTGTTGTACAGAAAGAGCCACTTACGACGGCGGTGACGGGCTGGTACACCTCTGTGTCGTCCGTGTGGGAGTGGTCGAAGCCCCCTCGTTGGTCCTCCTCCATGTGCTGCTGATGTGATAGACCTGAGAGAACAAGGTTAATGCTGATGTGAGTCAGGTACAAACTACAACAGTAATGTTACTTGTCAGTTTAAACCTAGCTCATATTGCTCAACACAGCTGGGGGCGCCATGGTAGTCACTCAGGTTGAACATCCCTTCCCCTCCATCCAATCTACCGTATGTCACCTCACCACTAACCAGAGCTAGGGGTGCCACGGTAGTCATTCAAGTTGGACATCCCCTCCCCTCCATCCCTATCTTGTGAATCTGCCCTTACCTCTGAACAGAGCTGTTACTGTTGGCACTACGGTAGTCAATCAGGTTGAAAATCCCCTCCCCTCCATCCTATCTACTGTATGTCACCTCACCACTGACCAGAGCTGGGGGCACTACGGTAGTCACTCAGGTTGAACATTCCCTCCCCTCCATCCTATCTACAAAGCCTCACCTTTCCCATGACTGTTCGGGCTCCCAGAGCTGTGACTGTGGGCGCTACGGTAGTCACTCATGAGTCGAACATCCCCTCCCCTCAAACCTATCTACAAAGCCTCACCTTTCCCATGACTGTTCGGGCTCCCAGAGCTGTGACTGTGGGCGCTACGGTAGTCACTCAAGTTGAACATCCCCTCCCCTCCCCTCAATCCCATCTACCAAGTCTCACCTTTCCCATGACTGTTCGGGCTCCCAGAGCTGTGACTGTGGGCGCTACGGTAGTCACTCATGAGTCGAACATCATCTTCTCTGTCCTCCTTCTCCTTCACTCGTTTCTCCAGTTCACCCATCTCCCGGAATATATCATCCACTGTCCGGTCTGCAACCATTGATCAACAAACTGATTCTTCCGACCATGCAGGAGTCGTAGACCTAGCACACATTCAGTAGTGCTGTAGCCATTTAACAACAGGCTAGGGCTGGGCTGGCAACTTGGGTACCCGAGTCAGGTGGGTACTTAATAGGACCCATGTACCCACATGACTATCCGGACCCTAGTTGGTCACATGATATACTGTTTAATGACAAAAATTCACTATAACTCCTTGGTTACAGAACAAGGCACTAATGTTCCGATTTCTTTCTGACTATGCACACATTCCTTCTAAATTTTACAAGTTTGAATTAGATGAAGCTTACTCAACTTCGGTGTATGCATGACCAGATTGTTTAAATGGGAATCTAAATACTTCTTGCCAGAGCTCGAATAAAACAGTTCCCATTTGGACATTTTGTACCCAACTCTTGAGACCTACAGCGGGTACTGTGGGTTGGGTAACCGGGTAGTAAATTTGGACGTGTCCCAGCCCTACACCACTCAAAATGTGTTTTATCGATGATGACCAACAAGGGTAAGAACAAGAAGAGATTTACCCTCTGGCCCATCCCACAACCTAACCTTCCTGAAAGACTAACTCTCTGGTACAACTGTGTCCAGTAGAAGTTTAATCTGGGCACCTTTAAGTCTTTAAGTTAACCTTAGGATTATCACAAGGACCCCTTGACTTCCATATTTCAAATGGGGGCACGGGTGGCGCCGTGATTCGCTGTGCAGAGTTGCGTCCCTTGGGCATGCCAGAAACCTATGATTGTGGGTTCGAATCCCAGTTCGCTCCTGGTTTATCAGCACCATACTCGTGCTCGTGGGTTTCACCGAAGTGGTAAACGTCTGAGACCTGCATCACTACGAGCTTTCCTCCCACATTAAGCTGACACGACGCGATATAACTGGAATACTGTTAAAAGCGGCGTTAAACCCAACTCACTCGCTCATATTTCAAATACTCAGTACATGCCCTACATTCTAACACGATCCAGTACCTGATCTCTCCTTCTCTCGCTGCTGCTTTGCTGTGGCCGGGTCTGGCAGGCTCCCAGTGTGGGAGTCATGTCCGAGGACGCCAGTGAGAGGGTCGTCCTGTTTGATGGTGGGGGAGAGTCCTACCACTCGCAGCGCCTCCTGTAGAGCCTCCATCTCTCTGCTGGTGTTGGTGCCCATCATTCCTGGGTACACAACAGATGCATCAGGGGTCGATTTAACTGCTGACCCATTGGTCTGTGGCCAGTTAAAATTACAAAAGGCATGATTGTCAAAATTTCACCCCTTCTCCATGTGCTTTTTTTTTTATTTGACAATGCTGGTAAATCATGTAATTTTGATGAGAAAATCTTTAGGGGGGGTGAGGTCGTGTGAAGGGTTAACTCAAAGAGAGAAATATGTCGATCATCTCGGGAGAATGACAACTGGACGCCATTTTGCAATGTTGTGTACAACGTCTCTATTTGCTCAAAAATCACAATACAATGTGTGAAGCCCATTTCTGGTGTCCCCGCCGTGATATTGCTGGAATATTGCTAAAAGCGGCGTAAAACCATACTTACTCACTCATAAATCACTTTAAAATGAGGCAAATGGAAAACAAGATTTAATCTCAGGGTGTGGGAAAAGGTATTTCAGGGGTGAGGAGTTATTACATTTTCAGAGACCCGCTGGGTGGCTACACGACCACGGGTTCGGCCAATTGTCTGCCTCCCCCATTTAGTTGGAGGCCAGTTAGATTGGAGAAGTGCCAGTGACTTTTAAAAAGAGCATGCCCTGTTGGCTACATACAAATTTGTTGTTTAATGTACCCTTGTGTATCCCTGTGACTCCTCTTACAACTCACGATACAACTACGTATCACTGCTTACTATCACTAAATATAACAGCATACAGCACACATCACTGTCACCACTTAACATCATCTTTTATCACAATTTACTGTAAATAAACATATTCGACGTAATTCGCGCCCCGCTCTAATAAGCGCCACGGCGATATTGGCTAATATATTGACTAGTGAACAATACCAATTAGCATCCCTTGTGATCAATGTACACAAGACTTATTTTTTCGCGTATAATACGCTCTCGTGTTTTATGCACCCTTACTTATAGGCAATTAAATTCTTGAAAAATGTATCTGTCGAAAATAAACATTTCAGGCTGTTAGCATAAACCATGAAATTTATCTTTCAACTCTGTTGTTTTTGACCAAAATAATATTCTAATAAGAGCCCCCTATTTCTAATTTTGAGAGCGCCCTGGGCACTTATTACGTCGAATATGGTAAACATAATAAATAATGACCCTTCTCACTAAACATCACATAACACCATAGATCATGTTGATTGTAAATACATAACATCATGTCCAGACAACATATCACCACAGATCGTTGAATAAATAAATGAATTGTACTTGTATCAGAAGTTACCTGTGCCGGTCCGTGTCTTCAGCGTGTCAGGAAATGTTTGACCCAGGTTGTCATGGTTACCCTCCCTGCTGCCATCAAATGGCACGCTGGCCTTGGGGGAAGTGGTGGTGTTGAGAGTGGAGTCGAGGGAGTCGAGCAGCGAGACTGCAGGGGAAGCGTGGTACATAGAGCGATGTACATCATGTATAGCTGGTGGGTTGGTGTTTGTTTGTTTGTTGTTTAACGCCGCACTCAGCAATATTCCAGCTATATGATGGCGGTCTGTAAATAATCGAGTCTGGACCAGACAATCCAGTGATTGACAACATGTGCATCGATCTATGCAATTGGGATCGATGACATGCATCAACCAAGTCAGCGAGCCTGACCACTCGATCCCGTTAGTCGCATCTTACGACAAGCATGGGTTGCTGAAGACCTATTCTACCCGGCTCTTCACGGGCCTGGTGGGTTGGTGACAGCTGTTGCCGTATTATAACTCACAGCATCAGTATTAGTATCAGCAGTCAACATTGAGGGGGATCCTGGAGGTCTTCTCCCATGGTGAGTGAGTGAGTGAGTGAGTGAGTGAGTGAGTACAGTTTAAATAATAAAAAACGTCAGCAACATACCTTTGGACAGCATACTCGGCTTTTGTTGTGATGAGTCCTACAATGGGAAAAAAACAAACCTTATTTCCAGAGGCATGGCAGTGTTAGAAATTGGCACTAGTTCTGTAGTCCTTGCCAAACTGCCCAATAGTTAATGTATCATGAGGACTGCCCATGCATGCAAACAATGACATAACAATGACAAAACAAAGAATATAAGTAAAATATTTGTTATTGAAGTATATACAGGATTGGGCAATTTGGAGGACTGATTGCTAATGACACTGGGGGGGGGGCGGTCTGGTAGCCTAGTGGTTAAAGCGAAGGGTCCTTGAGGACATTTGGGGTGGGGGGTGGGGGGGTGTATAGAAATACACATAGTTCATTGAGCTGGTTGCAATGTGGAGTATGCTACATCAATATATCGGAGAAAACATTCCGATTTCCACTGTCCGAGTGTGGTGTGGTTCTTAAATAAACTAATAATCAACTTATGTACAATAGCTAAGGTATCATTAGGACTAGCAGAAATTTGCCATTTTAATGGGCTTTGCTATATGTTGTCATTATAAGGACTAGTGGACTAACACTGTTAGTTTCTATTCGCTGCATGACAATGTATTACAAATTGTCTTAACACATGACAACTAATCTCAACAATCATGATAATGTATCTCAATAATCATAATAGACCTCTCGTTCAAAGCCTGAGTCTTGTAAATACATGTTTGGTCTCGTAAGCTCAGCTCCTTATCACGCTCATAGTCAATACACTACATTAAACTCTTGTTAGGCTTGAAGACTCAGACATTCTTGTCACTGCCTGAATGATGCCACTGTATCTCAACGAGTGAGTGAGTGAGTATGGTTTTACGCCGCTTTTAGCAATATTCCAGCAATATCACGGCGGGGGACACCAGAAATGGGCTTCACACATTGTACCCATGTCGGGAATCGAACCCGGGTTTTCGGCGTGATGAGCGAACGCTTTAACCACTAGGCTACCCGACCGCCCCGTATCTCAACGAGAATAACAAGTTACCTTGACAAGCATGAAACTTATCTCAAAAAGCTATCAATTTATCTTAACAAGCATGACAAAGTCTCTCAAGCATGACAAAGTCTCTCAAGCATGACAATGTCTCTCAAGCATGACAATGTCTCTCAAGCATGACAAAGTCTCTCAAGCATGACAAAGTCTCTCAAGCATAACAATGTCTCTCAAGCATGACAATGTCTCTCAAGCATGACAAAGTCTCACAACAAGCATGACAAAGTCTCTCAAGCATGACAATGTCTCTCAAGCATGACAAAGTCTCACAACAAACATGACAATGTCTCTCAAGCATGACAAAGTCTCTCAAGCATGACAAAGTCTCTCAAGCATAACCATGTCTCTAAAGCATGACAAAGTCTCTCAACAAACATGACAATGTCTCTCAAGCATGACAATGTCTCTCAAGCATGACAAAGTCTCTCAAGCATAACAATGTCTCTCAAGCATGACAAAGTCTCTCAACAAACATGACAATGTCTCTCAAGCATGACAAAGTCTCTCAAGCATGACAAAGTCTCTCAAGGATGACAAAGTCTCTCAAGGATGACAATGTCTCTCAAACATGACAAGGTCTCACAACAAACATGACAATGTCTCTCAAGCATGACAAAGTCTCTCAAGCATAACAATGTCTCTCAAGCATGACAAAGTCTCTCAACAAACATGACAATGTCTCTCAAGCATGACAAAGTCTCTCAAGCATGACAAAGTCTCTCAAGGATGACAAAGTCTCTCAAGGATGACAATGTCTCTCAAACATGACAAGGTCTCACAACAAACATGACAATGTCTCTCAAGGATGACAAAGTCTCTCAAGGATGACAATGTCTCTCAAACATGACAAGGTCTCACAACAAACATGACAAAGTCTCTCAAGCATGACAATGACTCTCAAGCATGACCCTAAAGGAGACTTACCCTCTCTGTTGGACCTCCATGACTACCGGAAACCCTGGAGTGATCCAGCATCGCTGCACTTCGGGAGTCGTCCACTGCCACACCAGCTAACTTGGGGGACAGCGTTGTGGCAGTCTGACTCAGCTCCCGGTTCAGCTGTCCGTAGTCTATTGTGCCCTCAGCTTCAACCTCCTGGAGAAAGCAATGTCTGCTGTAACTTGGGAACTTCTCACATCTCATAGTAAAGAAAGTTAACGTGTGATACTCGCCTAATACTTTAATAGAACATATTTATCAAATGTCTCACAGTTGGCGAAAACTCACACTACAGAGCCTCTGGATGTCCATAAAACTCAACAATGGAGATAACTCACATCATAGAACCTCTATTTTATTTACTAACTCACATCATAGAACCTCTATTTTATTTACTAACTCACATCATAGAACCTCTATATATTTACTAACTCACATCATAGAACCTCTATTTCATTTACTAACTCACATTATAGAACCTCTATATTATTTACTAACTAACATAAGAGACCTATGTTTATCTACAATCTCAATCATGGAGATAACTCACATCATAGAACCTCTATTTTATTTACTAACTCACATCATAGAACCTCTATTTTATTTACTAACTCACATCATAGAACCTCTATATATTTACTAACTCACATCATAGAACCTCTATTTCATTTACTAACTCACACTATTGAACCTCTATTTCATTTACTTACTCACATCATAGAACCTCTATATATTTACTAACTCACATCATAGAACCTCTATTTCATTTACTAACTCACATTATAGAACCTCTATATTATTTACTAACTAACATAAGAGACCTATGTTTATCTACAATCTCAATCATGCAAATATTTCACTTTATAAAACAGCCCCTGGAGGATCTCATGACACTGTATGAGGTGGGGATGCACACTTTTTTCACCTTACACCTTGCCTGTGTCAACTGCCCTATCATGTGTATTAGGGGTAATGGGTCCCCACTCCCTGTCTGCAAAGTCTGGACCAGCAGCTGTGAATTACCCACCATCTCACCAACAGGGACTACTCACGTTATAGAACCTCTGTTTATCGGCTAATTCATCAAGGGTGTCCATGCCAACTTTTTCAGGGCTGTCTTGTCGGTCAGTTAACATGTCTGAAGGAAGATGCATGTTATTATCACCAGACACATGGAGGACTACACAATAATACTTTCCTAACTACAGTCAAGTCTCGTTAATCAGACACTCGTTTATCCGACATTGTCACATGATCAGTATTGTTGTTTGTTTGTTTGTTTGTTTGTTTGTTTGTTTGTTTGTTGTTTAACGCCGCACTCAGCAATATTCCTGCTATATGACAGCGGTCTGTAAAATAATCGAGTCTGGACCAGACAATCCAGTGATTGACATCATAAGCATTGATCCACGCAATTGGGATCGATGACATGTATCAACCAAGTCAGCGAGCCTGACCACCCGATCCCTTTAGTCACCTTTTACGACATGCATAGTCGCCTTTTACAGCAAGTATGGGTTGCTGAAGACCCATTCTACCCAGGAATCTTCACGGGTCTGATCAGTATTGACCTGACATGTGATGTATATTGACTCGTCTGCTAGAAAACAAGATGTCGTTTGGTACAAACATTTTACAGGTTGCAGCTAAGTTACTGTAACGAAACAGAGGATGGTTTAAAGACTTCTTAAACTGAAAGTGAATTTCGGTTTCACAAAATGAATAATTACTCGTGATGAGGTTAATATGTGAAAACTAGGACCCTCATACCATACGGGGGCACGGGTGGCTCAGTTGTCTAAGGCAACTGTGCTCGTGGGTTTCACCGAAGTGGTAAACGTCTGAGACCTACATCACTTCGGGCTTTCCTCCCACATTAAGCTGACACGCCGTGATATAAATGGAATACTGTTAAAAGCGTCACTAAACCCAACTCACTCACTCACACCAGACCCCTTCGGCGGTCTGACCATCTCAGGGATCGGATTCTCGGGTCCTTGTTTTCATATATTGACCTCGTCAAGAGAAAATATTTGTAAAAAGTGACATCACTTACTGAGTCCCTGTTACCATGGTGACCATGGCCTCATTTTGACATACAAATCACAATACCAAGTCAGCAGGCCCCAAAACAAATCAAATTGTCAAACAAACATATTTCATGAAAATATACAACTGAACAACTTTAAACAGTCTGTTGCACATGTTGTATACATCAATACAATAGCAGGGTGTACAAGAAGTCAAGCTACATGATCATGTACAGCCCTGTACACACGTGTACTACAGATGATCCTGTCCAGAGAGTGAGTGAGTGAGTTAGGTTTAACGCCGCTTTTAACAGTATTCCAGTTATATCACGGCGTGTCAGCTTAATGTGGGGGGAAAGCCCGAAGTGATGCAGGTCTCAGACGTTTACCACTTCGGTAAAACCCACGAGCACAGGTATGGTGCCGACAAACCTAGAAACATAATCGGGGCGAACTGGGATTCGAACCTACAATCATAGGTTTCTGGCGTGCCCAAGGGATGCAACTCTGCACAGCGAAACGCGGCGCCTTAGACGACTGGGCCACTCGTGTCCCCCTGTCCATCAGAGGTCACCCACACAAGCCTCACCTGCTGTGCAACTGTCTCGTGTCGTGTCCAAGCTGGAGTCAAGGCCAACAATCCTACAAAAGAACACAGTATCAGGGATGACTACTGCAGGATTTAACTGAAGCAATTGCTGCAAATCTATACCAAAAAATGATTCATCTACTCTAAAACACAGGTTTCATGGCTTTATTTCACATAATGACATGGGCATACATGCACTACTTTCAAGATTCGGTACATAGGCTAAAACATATAATAGTCTTGGTTCTCAGGCACCCCTGCATCATCATAAAGTTCACTGCATGTTTTGTTTTTATTTTCATTTTAAAAATATATATTAAAAAATCCTTAAATATTCCAATATTCCATTAAATAATGGCAGTCAAATACTATATTGGAGTAATTGACTCATCAAGGAATACATTTATGTAGGTTGATTGTATTTGGTTACACAACAGTTTATTTGGTAACATACTAGTTTGAGCAATTAAGAAAAAAAACAACACAACGCCCGCCCTCACTATATTTTCAAAAGCCATTACCTGAGAACCATTTCTTATATTTTTTTAAGCCTAAGGGGTGCTGTTTGAGGGTTAAAAGAGGTTCCCAAAACAGTCTGATGGAAAGTTACAACTGTGAATGTCATGTCATTTCAAACAAGGAATATTTTGAAAAAAAGCTAATGATGAAATATTTAATGGAACCTGATAGAACTTAACAGTCTGATACACAGTTATAACTGTGTCTTGTCATTTCAAACAAGGAATATTTTGAAAAAAAGCTAACGATGAAATATTAAATGGAGCCTGATAGAACTTAACAGTTTGAAACAAAGTTATAACTGTGTCATGTCATTTCAAACAAGGAATATTTTGAAAGAAATCTGACGTTAAAATACTTGATAGAGCTTTTGATTATCAATATTGTGATGGTATTACATAACGGAAACCATCAAACCGTCTAACATGGTATCAATGTCAACTATTGATAGTTTAACTGGTGATCAATAAATGTCACTGGACCACATCACTGAATTAAAGTTCACTATTTTGTAATGTCTGAGTCCTATAGCATCTACCCAAATGTCGTGTTGAGATCACACCCACCTGGCAGCTTCTCCTGCGTCATTCTCCTCCGACTTCTCCGATACTGGAACAAGATTACAAGTATACTGTATCTCTACTAACAGTGTTTGATATAAAAAAATATTTGCCATGCTGCCATCAAGACACACAGACTCTAGAAGCTGCAGGCTAGGGCTGGGAGGAGTCCAAATTTACTACCCGGGTACCCGATCCCCTATTACCCGGTCCTGCCCGGTACCCACTGCAGGTCTCAAGAGTTGGGAACAAAATGTCTGATTGGGAATTGTTTTATCGCAGCCCTGGCCAAAACTATTTAGATTTTTGTATCAAACGATCAATACACTGAAGTTGACTGAAGTTTTATCTTTACTCAAACATATACCTGCCAAAAGGAATGTGTGCATCGTCAGAAAGAAATGCGGACATTAGCGACTTGTGGTGTAACCAATGTGCTATGGTGAGTTTTTGTCATCAAACAATATATCACGTGACTAACCACGGGTCCGGGTAGTCCTGTGGGTACCCGGATCCTACTCAGGACCTACCCGACCCGAGTACCCAAGTTACCCGTCCCAGCCCTACTGCAGGCCCTGACTAAACTCGCCCTCATTTAAAAAACTGCAGCTTATTGTGACAAATAAATCAACACATAAATTTACCGCAGGCCAAAAAGACCAATACAAATTTGAAACTATGGGCCCAACACAAGATCTACCTTCCATGGGCCTATGGGCAGGTGCTGTTTTTTAACACTGTTTACTATCTGTACGGTCTTTCTATTTTCACTGTTCACACTTCACAAAGTGAGTGAGTGAGTATGGTGTTACGCCGCTTTTAGCAATATTCCAGCAATGTCACGGCGGGGGACACCAGAAATGGGCTTCATACATTGTACCCATGTCGGGAATCGAACCCAGGTCTTCGGCGTGATGAGCGAACGCTTTAACCACTAGGCTACCCGACCACCCCCCATGCTTACTATCTCTCAAGAAGTAACTATGTGCAAGTACACAGAGGAGAAAAGTCCATTTGATTCGACATGGTTCTTCAACTAACATGATGAGGATATCAGCACATCACAGTGTCATCAGGACCGCATCTTTGGCACGTTCAAACTCAAGTCTGACACATGAGTGAGCGAGTTGTATTTTACGCCGCTTTAGCAATATGCACCACACTGTGCCGTGTGTATAACTGAGTCTACCACATCATGATTGTGTGAGCAGTGTGTGTTTTCTAAACATACTACACACTTACTGTCTTCCAAGCTGTCTTTACTCATGGAAGCTTCTGTCCGCCCTCGACCGGGTCGTTTCGGGGACACCTAAAGCAAAACACTTATATCACCAAACAATTAAACTGTTTTTATATACTTATTCTATCTCACACTGTGCATTTCTCTTTCTTCTTCCGATCTTGGTGTGGAAACGCTCTTGAACAAAGTTTCCAGCTTTAAAAAACATTACACCCGAACACATACCAGTATCACCATGATCACGACCAAAACATATGGGTCACATACTATAGTCCTGTGCATATCAACCAAGTCAAACTGACCACCTGACACAATCTGTGATATCATTCTTCTTAGAGTGGACAGGCTAGTGCATTCTGATGTGGGTATGGTTGGGTGGGCATTTAGCGTGTGAGATAGGGTAAGTATATAAATATACAATTGATTGTAAAATTTTCAAATTTTTAAACTTATCCTACCTCACACAATGCATTTTATTCCACAGTTGGACAATGAGGCGCTGAAACCCTAGCCTGTAATTGACTGCAGCCTTGAGATGTACACGAGGAAGCTGGTTCTTAACAAAGCTCCAACCATTAAGATTGTTACATAGTTAAGTGTGAAAAAAGACATGAACTTGTGAGTGGGTAAAACACTATAAAAAATGCAAAAACCCTTTATCATTACCAGGACACAACATCATGAAATTGGGTATAACATCTGTGTGTGTGTCTTCATGTAGAACATCAATTCAAAAACAAACACATAGATTTAAAGAAGTGAACGTATTCAACCACAACTTCTAACCAATTCGGAAGGGGTCTCCAGTCCATTAGTTCAAGACAAACACCACATACTCTCTCAGACACAAGGCAGATCAGCTTGGCATCTCTGTTTAAACTTCGTCAAAGCTGACAATCACGCTGTGTGGTTGATTCATGCTAACTGAGGAGAGGTAACGATCAATAATATCCATAAGAGGCTCTTCAAACCAATATTCAACAACACATGCTCAAGGCAGAGATGCTCTGAATCGGCCGTGCCTTGCAAAGACTTCAGTGTTGAAGACCGGAGTGTCTACAGATGAGTTAGCCGTGTGCGAAATAAGCATAATGACGATAAGCACATGTTAAATCTCCAATAGTAAGTAAGTAAGATGAGTTATTTCCCCTTCAAAAGGGTATCCAGTTCAGGAACCCGAGTCTAAATGGAGGTGGAGGTGACAGTTCGAGTCTCATGTGGATTGGATGGTAGGAGGCAGTCTAGTCAAGGTATAGGCCTGCAGAATCACTGAATGGAGCCAGGAGACCATGAGATGAGGTGAGGTGAAATTGGGTTTACGTCGCGTCCAAGATTATGGCACTTATATAGTGGGGGGCACGGGTGGCCCAGTCGTCTAAGGCGCCGCGATTTGCTGTGCAGAGTTGCGTCCCTTGGGCACGCCAGAAACCTATGATTGTGGGTTCGAATCCAGGTTCGCCCCGATTATGTTTCTAGGTTTGTCAGCACCATACCCGTGCTCGTGGGTTTCACCGAAGTGGTTAACGTCTGAGACCTGCATCACTTCGGGCTTTCCTCCCACATTAAGCTGACACGCCGTGATATAACTGGAATACTGTTAAAAGCGGCGTTAAACCAAACTCACTCACTCACTTATATAGCGACGTGCATGTGTGTGTGGCTGCTTGTACTAGTCCGGACTGATGCCGATTTATAGTGCTAGCTCACTGAGATACCATGCCGCAGTTTAACATGAATACCCCACTCAGACACAGTATACTGACTCCGAGCCGACCAGTCCTTGTTTTAGCCCCTTAATGTCGAGCGCCAGACAGGGTAACAACAAGTACCATCTTTTAAACGTCTTTTGGTATGACGCGGCCGGGGATCGAACCCGGGACCTTCCGCTCTCCGGGCGGACGCTCTACCACAAGACCACAGAGGCGACCAGGAGACCATGATACATGATACTTTCATGGAAGCTGCCGTGGAGAGTGGGATGTAGAGTCTCTTCCTGGAACATTGTAGTGTTGCAGAGGCCATCGGGTAAATGTGGAGGGCTCTGACCGGGTATAAGGATGGATGCCAACAAAGGCATGGTGAACAGCTAATCTGGTGGGCCCAGAAGTTAATTCTTTGCAATGAAGTCCCAACGAAGTTGCAGGTAGACCTTCCCATGGTGCAGCCACTCAAACTGGACTTCCATGACGTCAAGAGAATGTAACTTGAGCAACTGTAGCAAAGGCCTGGAGAAAAATGTCTTCAAAGTGACATGTTCAAATCTCTTTTCTTCCAAGAGTTCATAGTCTTTTGAAGTCAGATGGAATAGAATTACATTGAGGTCCCAAGTAGGAGGACTTGTAACAGTGGGTCAGTGACATTCGTGTTGATTGCAGTAAATGTTTCAAAATCGACATTGTTGTTTCTTTTTATTTGATATCAAATTCCATCCATTTTAGCTATAATAACGGTAACGCTATTTTTCAGGGCATTATCATTTGCAGAAGCCCTCGGTCTTTTCAACTGCCCTCCTTCGTCGGGCAGTTAATGGAAGACCTCGGGCTTCTGTAAATGATAATGCCCTGAAAAATAGCGTTACCCTTATATTAGTGGAGGTGCGATACACTCCAGTGATGGCTGCACTTTTTGAATAACCAACCAGTGAGTGAGTGAGTGAGTGAGTGAGTATGGTTTTACGCCGCTTTTAGCAATATTCCAGCAATATCACGGCGGGGTACACCAGAAATGGGCTTCACACATTGTACCCATGTCGGGAATCGAGCCCGGGTCTTCGGCGTGAACCAACCAGTGACTTCTGGAGTGGAGGCAAACACAGAGATGGAGGATGTCCGGCGATAGGTGCAGCAGGTGTGAGGGAGGCTGGAGAAGATCAGCTCGCAGGGGAGAGGATGGAGTCTTCTTTCTGCGGTGTTTACCAATACTGTGAACCAACTTCCAGCTGGCCAATGAGGTGTAACAAAAAGCAGTTGAAGTTGGTTGGGGGTTGCTGCCTTTTGAAGTACCCGAGGAAGAAGGTATTTCAGGGGAAAGGCGTAAGTGTTGAGATTCTTCCACGAGATGGCCAGAGTGTCATGGTGGATCACATATTGATGATGTACCAAACTAATGAGATGTTGTCCGACTGGATCATGAGCTGCGATGCACAGAGTGAGTGAGTGAGTTAGGTTTAACGCCGCTTTTAACATTATTCCAGTTATATCACGGCGTGTCAGCTTAATGTGGGAGGAAAGCCCGAAGTGATGCAGGTCTCAGACGTTTACCACTTCGGTGAAACCCACGAGCACGGGTATGGTGCTGACAAACCTAGAAACATAATCGGGGCGAACCAGGATTCGAACCCACAATCATAGGTTTCTGGCGTGCCCAAGGGAGGCAACTCTGCACAGCGAATCGCGGCGCCTTAGACGACTGGGCCACCCGTGCCCCCTGCGATGCACAGAGGATCTCAGCCAGAATTCTAAGTTGTTGATATGGAGCCTCTTGGGTTTCTTAGATGAAGAAGGCCCATGTTCCTTATCTCTAGGCAGAAAATAATTAGTTGCGAAAAGCTTCCTCTGGTGAGTGGGAACACTGTAAGAAGCAATGAGTTACACACACCCCGGCAGTCACAGCAAAGATCGTGTAGATCTGCTGCAGAACTGGTTTGTCTGCAACTTTTTACAGGCCGGGCGTTTATCAATGTCTGTTACCATAATTCACCACAGAATGTTGATTAGGTGTACAAGGAAGCTAAGAAAGAGAATGACCTGGCATAAGGTGATCAAAGTGCTTAGGTCAGGTTGTACAGTGTGTGACCCATTTGTTTCCGTAGAGACCATGGTAATACTGGGATGTGTTTGAGTGCGACGTTTTTTGAAGCTGGAAACTTTGTTCAAGGGCGTTTCTACACGAAGATGGAAAGAAGAAGGAGAAATGCATAGTGTGAGATAGGATAAGTTTGAAATGACATTATTTATCTTAAATCAAAGATTTCATATCTGAATCTGTAAATATCAAACTACCAGGACTATAACAGTTGACTCGTTTGGTTTTCCCGGGCAGGAAATCATTGCTTAGCATCTGTACCCCAAACTCACATCTTTCTTTCTGACACGTGTCTTCTCCTGCTTGGATTTCACCTTCCCAACTCCAGTCTTTCCACCTTTAGCCGACTTCTCAGATGAACTCTTTTTTTCAGGGCTTTTCTTTGTCTTCATGAAACTCTTCCCACTTGCTGTCAAACCTAAAATTGATAATCCTCCTTAATAACAGAAAGAAGTCAACTCTAGTACTATCTATCGCACTGTCATTACAAAGTATATATGTCGCGGGTTCAGCCAACGATGTAATTGAGGGAACTGAGGTGGTGAAGATGGGTTATGAAAGGATTTATCACCTGTAAAAAGATATAAATGACATCAACATGAATTGATGAGCTAAGGGAGAAAGAATGTCTCCCTCGGCAATGGCGTGACATAAAGTGGCATTTGAAAGTGTCCACGTCACACCCCAGGTATCAGCACGAGATACTGCTGGTAAGACAACCAGGAGGAAGATTGAGAGATGAAGCGTCCGGAAAATGAAACAAAGATAACTCTTGGCAAGTAACCCTAAATATATCTGGCGACATATAATTACCGTTAACACAATAAACAGTTAATTACCATGATTAGTATATATTTCAACTAAAATCTCCTAAAAATGAAGACATGATTGGGCTAGCAGACTCTATAAAGTTTCTCGACTGTCACAGTTTTGTTGAAATTGAAAATATTTTTAAATTTATTATGATAATTTTCTTTCACTGGTCATAGCTCACCTGATGGATGAATCCTATAATTTCTTTTCAATTATCACATATCACTGGAGGTGTAATGATACGGTGGGGGTCATGCTACAATACCTATCCTGATACTACTTGTGCAATGCGCTTCATAACCTGAAGTACTTTTATTTCAAAAGTTGATATTCCTTATTGTATTTTACTCCTAACTTTTAGAGATCAAAGAAAGGGTATTGTAGGGCAGAAACATATAGACTTAAGGGCAATGAATTATGTTATTTATACCTGGAAATACTAGAGAATCTGCATAAGCTGGTTGTTGAACATTTCTTTTGTTATTATTCACAGGTTTTAAAAAATCGACACCACTACAGCTTGTACTGTAATTATATATCTCAATACTGGGATTATTTACCAATAGATTTATTGTATTGTATCCCTGTCTCAGGATACAAACCTGTATCATAAATACATTGTACTGAGCAGCAACATCCTGTGTCTGACCTGAGCCAAGTTTCTTGTCTTGGTCATCTTCATCCAGCCACCACGGCTTGGCCTCCCTCTTCTTCCTTGCCTCAGCTATCTTGGAAGACTTCTTCTGCAATGTCTCAAATGACTCATCTGAAGAAACTGACTGAAAAAGAAAGACTTGGGTGTAACTTTAAAATCCAATTTTGAACAGTATTTCAGTCAAGTGAAGCATGTCAGCATATTTTTGCAGGGTTTCATCTAGGCTGCGTTCCTGTGGCATTTATGCATCATTGTAATAATTAATGCATCAAAACCGGATATTGTGGGCCCTTGGGCGCATTACGTATGTGTGATGTCTAAATCGTTTTACACAATCACTTTCCAATTAAAAGTTAGTCTGAGTTTAAGTTAACTTCCGGGTCACACATAAGCTTGGTTTGTTATATGTTTTTCTGATTGATTAATAGTCTTTCTAATGACCAATGAAATGCTTTCATAAAGTTTCGTATCATTCTGAGATTGTGCAGTAACAAACGTCATTGTCCTGTTTTTGATAAGTGTTCTCAGCATCATGCCATTATTATTGTTCATGACAAGATGATATTATATCAGTGTTCCCGTTTACCGGTAATAACCAGTAAAATTAGGCTTGGGCTGGTTTAGAGTTGCCAGTCCATCGGGACTGACATAATGCTTTAACATGGGTTTGTGGCAGTATTGCCCCAAGACCCGGTGGGTAGCCAGGTGTGCGGATGCTATGGCCGATTTTTTTAAAGTACTTATTCAATAAAGGTTCTTGGTGATTCAGATTTCAAACCAGCTTCCCAAAGTTCCCAGCATGACTTATTGACACAACTCTGCACAGTCAATTGTGCATGTATGTAAAACAAATTAATCTTGGTAAGCAATCCAACAAACTTATTTAAGGCAATGGTTAAGATATTTAAGGTGTAATATTGTAAATTATTACCATGCGCAATAAAACCATTCGATTTCTTTCGTACAAAGTTACCATTTCGAGTTGCTCACATTTTATTAAATTTAAGTTTACAAATTAATTTTCAGGACATTAGCTGAAAGTGGGAGAAGGTTACTGCCAGTCATGTTTTCAGACAATATTGAAAAAAGTTATTGTCTTTCAGTTCTCTCAACTAATTTTTCATTCAAAATTAGTATTATAAAAAAACCCAATCTAATTGCCATTAACATGATTTAGGCATTATCACTACATATTGTTCATGTTGCAGTGAAATATCTGTTGAAATGTAATTCATGTCCATCACACATGCATCTAGGTATAAATTGATAAGTTATGTTTGTATCCTGCTGTCCAGCATTGAATGCCCAGTTCAATCTTTATTTCAACCTTCATAATAAATGAATGCCTAGTTAATTAAATTAACCTCCAAGTTTGTCACAAAACATTTCTCTTCTGTCAGAATTCACCATTTAGTTTTTACCCCTAATGTTTACAAGTTGTAATACGGATTGTTATTAATATCAATAACGAAGCAATACGACAGTCTGGTTTAATGATAAGTGTTCTCAGCATCATGCCATTTTTATAATGCGTACCTGTTTCAGGAACACTTCAAACTGGTCATCTAATTCCTCCTTCGTGAATCTCCGTGACATGGTGAAATCTAGCTTCCAGAGTATACTTCTTTTAAGATTTTATACAAAAGCCTCAAAATCGAGAATCTGCATTGCCTAAAGCTTGGTTGCTTATTTCCATGACAGTGCGTTGTAAATAAAATTCAACTGTGTGTATCAAACGTCTCGTTTACTAATTGTTACTAATGCTTAAAATTAAATAAATGTTTTAAACCCAAAACAAATCAACGGAACTCAAAATGTGTCGGTGCTTGTCTTAAAACTTTCCGCCATTTTGAAACAAGCGTCCCAAAGCTCTAAACACTGTATATCATTTTCATCTACAACATTGAAGGAGATGCGAAGCCTATGCAATGAAAAGAGCTGACATTGGTTGCTGGCAAGCCAATCTCCACGCAGTGTCACGCTAAAGCGATCGTAGCACGCGATGTAATAGAGTCTCCCTCCGATCGTGCTCAGAAAGAGCTTTACCCACAGGACCATGTGACTAATTATAACAATAAAAAATTTAAAAAGTCGCAAAAATAATGACAGACGAGGCTCGTCTATGATTTTTTGCGACTCTTTTTATTTTTATTGTTATAATTAGTTAGATGGTCCAGTGCTTTACCCTACTATGGTTTGGATACTTGCCTATAGATTGTCTATGGAATGGGATCACTGGAATGACTAGACAGTAAACAATACACAAATGAGTTTTTTTTTCAAACAAAACGTGTGAAGAATGTTAGAAATAAGAGATATACCTCTGAAATAAAATGGAATCAGTATGTGGGTTCTCGATGATACCGAAATCATTTGTTTCACTTCAATTTTGTATTTTATTTATTTATTTCAAATCTGACCGAATGTTTAAAACAAGCCCTATAGAACCAATATATTGGTCTTCTTAGTTCCTTCAACCAGTTCATCATATCTATTATATACTATGTAACAAATGTTATATTTGGGATATCACAAAGTGACGATTAGGTGTCTCGCTCTGGCAGTGTTGGTTGAAATCCCGGATCGGACTCAACCCCAAAAGTACAGTACTTTACTAAGAAAGTGTTATCCCAAACATAGCATTTGTTACATTTGACCACTTTATAAATGGCATAGTGCGTTCAGATATACTATGCATTAAATCTTCAGCTTTACACGTGACACAAGACCATGTCTGCGTTTAGTGAGATGAGGCCTATATATTCTTTTGTCTGATATATCAATAGGTAAGACCACTACAAACTAATAAATTATTCTTGGTATTTTTCGTGTATGTATGCTAGTGTGGTGGTTTTAGCTATGTTTGGGTCGGTTTGTTTGTTTATTAGGCTAGCTAGTGTTGTGTCTATTTTGTCTTTTTTTGGTATTTTAAGTTTGGGGGTTAATATATTTGATTGTTTGCAGTTTTGTTTAAGATTGTTTATTTGGTGTTCGTTTAGGTAGTTGGTTATCCTTTGGGATATTGGGGTAAGTAGGGGGTGTTTACGAGCTAGAGCTTGGTTATTGGGGCTGATGTTTTTGTTTATTAAGTTTTGGATGAGAGGGTTGGATTGGGACGCGGCCCAGAAGTTTAAGCTTAGCTGTTACCTACGCAGACTTAGTGGCATTTCTCCTGTTAAGGCCTGAAGTGAAGCGTAGGAGGTGCCATGTTGGGTCCGTGTGTCGTTGTTTTAGAGCCTGATATTGGATTGAGTCTAGCTTTTTAGATAGAGAGTTGTTTAGGGTGTTGGAAATGGCGCAGCCGTAGTCTAGTTTTGATCTTTCATTCTTTGATATGCAGAATGAGAGGAGGGTATCTTATCTTTGGAGGCCCCCAGTTAGAGCCAGTTGGGCATCTTATCGTGTTTAGGTCTTCACTGTATTTAGTTGTTAGGTTTTGGATGTGAGCATCCAAGGAGAGATGTTCATCGAAAATAAGTCCTAAGAATTTGGTTTGTTTTTGAAATTTGATTGTTTGGTTGTTCAGCTGGGGGATTGGAGAGGCGGGTTTCATGTTTTTATGTTTAAATACTATTCCTGGGTTTTTTTCTGAGTTAAGGGAGAAGCCCCAATTGTCAGCCCATTGTTGTATTTTGTTAAGAGATTTTTGGAGTACATTTTGGGCCATTTTGATGCCTTTAGTGCGGATCCAGAGGTTTTCATCATCCGCGAATTTTGATGTGTTTATTTTAGGGGATAGGCCCTCGAATAGATCATTTATCATTACAATGAAGAGTGTGGGGCTGAGGATACTGCCCTGGGGAGTGCCATTTTGTAGGGTTCTATTGGTCCGATAGCGTTTAGTCTATACCCACGGTTATTTTACGATTGTTCAGGAAGTCCTGGATGTAGTTTATTATCTGACCTTTGAGTCCTATTTTTTAAGTATTATTATTCCTCCTGCGGCTCTTTCTGTTTTGGGTTTGGCTCGATCAGTTCTGACTGAGTTATAGTTCGGTAGAGTGAATTTTTTATTTTTTGGCGAATTTAGTTTCCTGTATACAAGCAATATGCGGGCCTTTATTTCGTTTAAATTTAGCTTTTAGTTCATGGCCGTGGGAGTTTAGTCCGTTGGCATTCCACTGAAATATATTTAGACCTTCCATTACTTGGGGCTAAGCGGTTGGTTGTTTGGATTTGATTTTTAGATTTAGGTTTAGATTTTCTCGGTTGCTACCGTTATGCCTAGGTTAAAGGCATTGTAGTTTAGTGTTGTTGATTTAGCCTATGTGGAAGGATTTTGAGCTAGCATTTGGATTTATTTCTTTAAGCATGTAAGCGAGAAGGAGTGTTAAGTTATTTAGTTTGTTGTTTGTTAGCGTATCTTATTTTGTTGTTGTTGTTGTTGTTGTTGTTGGTGTTTTTTTTGTTTTTTGTTGTTGTTTTTTTCGGTTTGGTTAGTTTTAGTTTCGTCACACTCCATGGGGGTGGTTTGCGTGCTTGGTTGCGTTTGTGTGTTGGGTCTGTCTGTGGTATCCCTGCTGTCTGAGTTTTCGGGTTGTGCTTGCTTGGGTTTGGTTGTAGCTGCCATGGTGGCTGTGGCCATGGTGTGTTTGGTGTTTTGTTGTGTTGTTGGTGGTGGGGTTGCGATTTGGTTTGCGTGCGGGTGTGGATGTAGTGGCTGTTGGTGGTAAGGGGGAGAATTGGGAGTGGGTGTGTGGATGGTGCGAGGGTTGGGTGTTTTGAGTGCAGGGCGTGGTCATTGCTAAGCTTGAAACGACGGAACAGAAACATAAACTCCTGAAGGCGAAGAAAAGCCTGAAGAGCAGTAAGGACTTCCCCCGTGTGTATATTGACAGTGCTATGTCGCAGGAAGATCTCATCGAGCGGTCGAACCTTCAGGCGGTCATCAAAGAGATTGGGGTGGACAAGAAGCTGAGATTCCAGGGTAGGAGGCTGGTGAATATCCGAGCATAGGACAGATTGCGGCTCGGGCTATGGAACAGTTGTGGGTGGTCGTTAAATGACTCTGTAAATAAACAGTTTAGGGAATCTGTGCTGGAGAAAAGTAACTGCGATGTGTTCGGGGTCTGTGAAACTTTCTTAAAGGATCTGAATAGTATCTCTGTGAAAGGATATTCCTGGTTTGGTAAAAACAGAGGCCAGCGCGACCCTAGGGCGACACGGGCCTCGGGAGGAGTCGGTGCCTTTTTTAAAAAGTCACTTTTACAATGTTTTAATGTGCACATTTTAGATGATGATACGGATGATATTATCTGGTTTAGACTATCGCATAAGTCTGTGAAAGCTTTTATTTTGGTGTTGTGTGTGTGTTATTTACCACCCACTGGTTCATCCAGGCTAAGCGATGCTGAAAGTTTTTTCGAAACATTGCTTGAAAAGTATTATTTGTATCAAAATGAAGGTTTCACAATTATTTGTGGGGACTTTAATGCACGGGTGGGGTCACAAAGAGACTATATAGCCGGGGTAGACGAGGTGCCCGACAGAGATGTCATAGACCATACCGATAATTCTCATGGTTCTCTATTTTTAGATTTTCTCATTAACTGCAATCTGTGTATGTTAAATGGCCGTATTGTAAATCATGACTATACAATATCTTAAAAATGGATGTTCGGTCGTAGACTATATTGTGACCCCACATGAGAACTTACCTTTGTTTACTGATGTTAATGTCACGAGAATGACACGCTTTGTTGACGCCTGGTTTGTCCCTGGTGTCATCCCTGATCACTCCGTTATTACTTGTGATGTGAGGATTCCTAGTGAGGTCAGAAGTCCTCGGTGTGATGAACCTTTACCTGATTACTATAGCCGTAAGAAATATAAACAAAGTGGGATTGATGACAATCTTTTTGACGATACGAGTACAACACTTGTCTCTGATTCTATCCGTAGAATTGAGTTTAATTTATCAGTACAACAAGATGTTAATGCTGCATATGAGGAGTTCTTAACTTGTTTATACTCTGAGCTAGACAGTAAAGTTGGCACGTATGTAAGTAAAACGAAAACGTCTAACAAGAAATCCCTCCGTAAACCTTATTGGTGTGCAGAGCTTTAGTCTGCCTTGGACCTAGTAGTTGATAGTGAACGTCTATGGCTCAGATGTAAGAATGTCTCTCAGGCATTAAAACACGTCTTTGTCTCTAATCGTAAATCTTTTGATAAGCTGCATAGAAAATTCAAACGCTCCTTTCAGTTAGAACGTCAGCAGCGACTGTTGCATAAATACAAAGCTAGATAGCAGAGATTTTTGGAAACTTATTGGTAGGATTGGCTTAGCTTCCGATCGGGATTCTGTCATTCCATGGGAGATAATCCAGGGAGACGCGGTTGTCACCGATAAGTCGCGGGTTTTAGATACATGGAAATGTGAGTATAGCTCGTTGTTTAACGCTGATCCAGTGGGTGTATTTGATGAATCTTTCTATGATCAGATCAAGGACGAGTTAAGCAACATGGTTGTTGACCCCCCCCCCCCCCCCCCCTCAGGTATAGATGTAGATGTAAACATTCTGCAGGCCCCTATATCACGCAATGAGGTAGTACGCTCTGTTAGCCGCTCTAAGTGTGGTAAGGCCGTAGGCTGTGACCATATACCTGCAGAGGCACTTAAGAATGATACTTGTGTTGACATTCTGCACCGGATTTTTACTTACTGCTTCGAGAATAATGTTTGTCCAGATATTTGGCATGAAAGTATAATAACGCCTATTAAGAAACCGGGTAGTGACCCCAGAGATCCCCTCGGCTATCGTGGTATATCACTACTTTCCATTCCCTGTAAGATATATTCAGATATACTAAACTCTCGTTTCACAAGTTGGCTAGAAGATAATGACATACTGGCTGAGGAGCAAAATGGATTTCGAAGTAAGGTAATACTATTGAGCACATATACACTTTGTTTTCAGTAATTAATAACAGGAAATCTTCTAAGTCCTCTACATTTGTCTGTTATATCCATGAAGGCCTTTGACCGTGTTAATCGAGACTGCTTATGGTACAAACTGATGAAGTTAGGAATTAATGGTAAATTTTATTCTGCTGTCCATAAAGTCTTTATATGACAACAGTGTATCCCGTGTATCGGTAAATGATCGGCTTACTGACGGGTTTGATATACAGAGCGGTGTCAGGCAGGGATGTGTCTTGTCTCCATCACTATTCTCAGTATTCATTAATGACCTGGCCCATGAGATAAACAATCTAAAATGCGGTGTAGATCTAGACATTGGTGGTAGTCTCCTCAGTCTGTTCATGTATGCTGATGACATAGCATTAATTGCGCCAAATGAACATTCATTACAATCAATGCTTCACTGTGTTGCTGATTGGTGTAAGAGATGGCGAATTCAAGTTAATACCAGCAAAACTAAAGTAACTGTACATTATCGGCCACCATCTGTGAAACGAACATCATTTAAGTTTCAGTGTGGCAATGACAACATTGACATATGTTCATCATACAAATATCTTGGTTTATGGCTAGAAGAACATATAAATTTGAATTCTACAGCCAAAGAAATCGCCAAATCCGCGAGTAGAGCTCTTGGTGTAATTATGAGTAAATTTAAACTATTTGGATGAATGCCATATGACGTATATAATACGCTATTTAATAATCTTGTTCAACCAATTTTATCATATGGCTCAGTTATTTTTGGCAATCGAGAATTCAGTTGTATAAACGCAGTTCAAAATAAAGCTTGTCGTTTCTTTCTCGGGGTGGGTAAATATACTCCAAATTTAGCTGTCCGGGGCGAGATGGGTTGGCCTGCTCAGCTTCCTAAACAGAAAATAGAAGTTTTCCGATTTTGGAGAAAGATAAACTCTGTTCCGCCATCTAGACTTCACCGATTCGAAATTGGTCTCTTACCTTCCGCAAATCATGTGATAAGACAGTTAATGCAATGTTTATATCACTACAACTTCCATCTATGGATTTGTTTAATTTCTCTATTTGTGAATTCCATCTAATCACACGCACAATAACTATTGGGGTAGGGGTTATTTTACCATTTCTGTTTGAAGTAATTCTGTGAGTGCTAGCGATTGTAGGTTGGGGGTACATGTCCTGATTTTCATTTGCCTCTTTAGTATATATTTTCAGGTCTTCGTTAGTTTCTTTAGGATTAACCCTAATTACTCCTCGGGTGAAGAGCTGCCACTTTGGGGTTTGGTGGGTTACTGTAAATTGAAATATTTGGGTGATTTTTTTAGCGGCGTTAAATGAGTCCTGGTTGGGGAAGATAATTTGGAATCCTTTATGTGCCTGTATGATTTTATCAAAGTGGATGTTTTGCTCCTTGAACCATATCCCTATTTTATTTGCTGTGAGTGATTTGGAGAGTACGTTTACGGGGCCGTCTGCGCAAAAGTAGAGAGAGCGATGGTAGTTAGGATGGATGCAGGAGAGATGGAGGGTGTGGTGTTGGAGGTGTCCAGTTTGCGTTTTTTTCCGGTTTATTGTTGGAGTGGGCGAATGGGCTGTTTTGGTGGGGGAGGCGACTGGTTTTTTTAGCCGTATTCGTCAGGTATGAGTGCGTCGAGTGCCCGCTCGAAAGTGTTATGTGCTTCCGAGGGTGTGGTGTGAGTCGGTTTGGTGGAAGTCTGACTGAATGATGTTGCGAATGTCGGACATGTTGATGCTGGTATTGAGTTTGGGTGAGAGGATGTAGTGAGTGAGTTTGTATGTGGTGAGTAGTGGTACGTGAGTGGTGTTTGGAGGGGTGTTTGAGCTTCCTCCTTTTGCTGGCTATCAGTGGAAACTGTGCTGGCTTGGGAGGCTTTGCTGGGTGTGGATGGCTTGGCGGCTGTAGCACTTGGGTGGCTTGGAAGGCTGGAGAGGTTTTGCTAGTTTGGAGTACAAACTGCTACTGGAAATTCAACCCTTGAAGTAATAATGATATAGCTTTCATCCTCTGTGCAATCCACTCTGTTGGCTTATCTGCGAAGCGCACGAGAGCATGTTACAAATCACATCGCGGCATCCCGTACAAACCAATCCAAGCTCAGCACAAATCGATTTCAACACTTTCAAGTGATTATGATAAAGAAGTCACCGCCAATGCAATCACCTCCGACTGCTAATCCGCTCTGTATATTTGACAATAAAGTCTACCCACATATCAAGCACCGCGCCAGGAAAAGTACCAGACGCCTCAATCGCTTACCCGTCCAATATCCTTGCAAGGAGAGTAAGGACTCCCGCTAACAGTGAGGAGTACTAATTAAACATCCCAATAATGTAACACGCCACTATATCAGTTTTATTTGTAATTTGCTAATAATATTGATCGGCATTTTGCACATACAAAATAATTATAGAACAATACACAATACTTCATTTTGCACATATACAATATATATACACGAATACATAACAATTATCTCCCTTTACTAATATATAAAAAAATAATTAATTTTTGGATATATCATATACTCACACGCAAAAGAAACGCAAGTGGTTTTAAGCAGATAGGTAACAAACACCGAACCATATATTGATACGAGCTTTAGCCTGTAGTGAAGCCTGATGGTGTTATCAATATTTTTGGTTGCATTTTGGAAGCCCCGATTAAAAACGAAACATAAAAATCGAATCGCCAAAACGCACCATTTCAATGAATAAGTGGGTATCATGCACCCATTTCTCGCGAAATCGAAAATGCACGAACTGTCACGAACTGTAGTTGGTATAAAACTGTGGCCGATTCTTGGACCTACCACTCCTTGGTCAACAATGCCACGCCTAACTCAAATTCAGAGAAACCAGGCTATCGGACGTTTGGAAGCTGGAGAGTCTGTCCAAGATGTTGCCCGTCATTTCAACGTTAACAAAACCACAATTTACCGTCTCCTGCATCGATACAATGCTACGCAGACCACAGATGACCTTCCTCGGAGCGGTCGTCCTAGGGTCACCACACCTCGACAATATCGGCAGATTACCCAACACCAGCGACATCCGTTTCTAACTGTAAAGTGCTCGACAGACCATAGGAACACATAATCGACACATTAGCCGGGACACTGTGATCCGACGTCTCCGTTCCAACAACCTCAGATGTCGCCGACCAGCACGTCGTCCTGTTCTCCAGCCACGGTATCGACAAGCACGACTTCAGTGGGCACAGGGTCATCGCAATTGGCGTCATCGTGAGTGGAGGCGTCTCTTCTTCTCTGATGAAAGTCGCTTTTCTGTCTCCCATGCAGACGGAAGAGTCAGAATTTGACGGCGTCGAGGTGATCGTTTCGCTGACAGAAACGTTGTGGAAAGGGATCCATGGGTTGGACCTAGCGTCATGATATGGGCAAGGATTGGACTTAATGCGAGACTTGGACCCATGTGCTTTCTGAATGTTGTCAAGGTCGGGGACACGGCGTCACTGCTCAGCGGTATATCGACCAAGTGATCAAACCCCACGTTGTTCCATTTTTTGCACAACATCAACAACACATTTTCCAGCAGGACAACGCTCGTCCCCATGTTGCCAGAGCTACCATGGCCTTTCTGCAACAACACAACATCCGTGTTCTACCGTGGCCGGCCCTCAGCCCTGATCTGAGCCCCATCGAACACTTGTTGGATGAGGTTGAAAGGCGTCTGCACAATGTGCGCCCAGCCCCTACAACTGCCGATGAACTACGCACAGCTGCTCTGGATGTGTGCAGGGGGATCCCTAGGGCCTTCACAAATCGTCTGATCCACTCAATGTACAGGAGATGTGTGGCAGTGATCAATGCTAATGGTGGTCACACCAGATATTGTCGGACATTTTGGGTATTGACCCGAAACTGTGTAAGCCCTTAACATTTGAAAAAAAACAATTATGTCATCTGCCTTTTAATCCATTTAAATGGCTTCAGTCAATGATTTTTCAATCCTGCCCTATTAGTATGTCTTGTCTTTACTGTTGAAAATAAATAACATGTATACTGCATACTCGACTTGCGTTTCTTTTGCGTGTGAGTATATATACATAATTGTATATTTTTGTATATGTCATAAATACAAACTTGTATATTTTGTATATCTCATCATTCCATCTTTCCACAGCATATACAAGCTTGTATTTGTGGATTGTTTTTGCAGTGTTTGTGCAAGTGGGCCCTGGTGTCAGAGACCATATAATAGATTATATGGTCTCTGCTGGTGTTCACAAAGAGTGTAAACAGGTTAATCCCCATCGGAAGCCCCTGTCACTCACACCATTTGCATAAACACATTATGCTCACATAAGTACATTGTATTGGCAGAATGGACAAACCCAACATGAACAAGTAGAAATTTGCAAAGGCCTAGGTTGGGAACCTGTTACGAGAACACACGTTTTGTACAGCTAGGCCCCTATGAACATTCGCTCAAACGCGCCAATACCATTAAAACCGGAGCGGAGATTGCCTGTAAAACACAGGTTGAGTCAAACGTGGCAACGGAGTTGCAACAATACCAGTTTGTCGTCATTTGAAGGCCAATACTTAGCCATGAAGAAAATCCAAATATGTGCTACTGTCTGTTTCATTATGACTGCACTTACCGTATATCTCCATTTGAACTGGAATACATTCAGACTTTCACAGTAAGTATCACTGCATTTGATTGTTATTCCGATCAAAGTATCTACCCACTAAGTTGGTTTTATCTCACCACGACTGACGGTCCTAGTGAGCTTAATTCCCCTGTCTGTTCTTCTGTCTGTCCGTCCGTATTTTATCTTTTGATTCAATGGACCAGCCGAAACATATAAAACAAGCGAGGAGCATTGTACAAAAACATTCAGTTACCTTAGTTATTTAAAATAAAGCAATTTGTGAAAATCCGTTTGTAATCTTCTTCTCAGAAACCACAATGTCTAGGATTGTGAAACACTGATACGCTGCAACGAAATACCATTGAATTAGTTCGTTGTTAGTCCTGGTGGTACATGTTTATGTGTTATGCAAGTGTCCGTGAATCTGATTTGCACATCTAATTTCTATATACATGTATATTATAATTTCTATGTACATGTACATGTATATTATACGTGATATCGATATTTGACTTATAGCCTGATGATATGCCCTTTAATAAACTTGTTTAAATTCTAAACATGTTTAAAGGTGTTTTAAACTCGAAACATGTTTTTTTGTTATTGGGATATTGTGTTAAGGGGATGTTTAGGCTAAGTATGTTACAAACTTTTATTAACAGACACACTTCCATTGCACTTTACCTGATAGACAACCACATTGAAAAAATATTTATTTACGGACATAAACAACCATTTATTTCCAAAGGCAATAACACTGTGTATATAACTGGCCAGTAGAGGGCCATAACACAAATGTTTTATATTTGCGATATTGTTAATGTCATCTTCATCTGGCCATGTGTTTCACGGTGCAATTAAATTCTCTGTAAATACATTTCCTCGCACCAAAGACGTCATCTTCTCAGAAACTATTGAACCAATGAAGCTAGAACTATACATGCCTGTTCGTACCAATGATTCCAATCCAATTTTGTTCCGATTTTCTTTGTGACGCCATATTAAAATAAACTTTTTGTGGTTATTTTTGTTCTATATTTAATGACCTTTTTTGTATGGTAAGTTAAAGGGACTCGACTAACACGGAATGTTGTTTCGCATTACTTTACATTTTGACCTTCGTCAACACACACAAATAGAGCAGATGAAAAAACACACAAATAGAACAGACGAAAACACACACAATTAAAACAGATGAAAATACACACAAATAGAACAGATGAAAAAACACACAAATAGATCAGATGAAAACACACACCAACAGAAAAGATGAAAACACAGACAAATAGAACAGATGAAAACACACATAAACAGAACAGATGAAAACATACACAAATAGATCTAGATCAGACGAAAATACACACAAATACTAGTAGATCAGATGAAAATACACACAAATAGAACAGATGAAAACACACAAATAGAGCATATGAAAGCACACACAAATAGATCAGATAAAAACACACACAAATAGAACAGATGAAAACACACACAAATAGAAAAGATGAAAATACCCACAAATAGAACAGATGAAAACACACAAATAGAACAGATGAAAACACACACAAATAGAACAGATGAAAATACACACAAATAGAACAGATGAAAATACACACAAATAGAACAGATGAAAACATACACAAATAGAAAAGATGAAAAAACACACAAATAGAAAAGATAAGAAAAACCCCACACAAATAGAACAGATGAAAACACACACAAATAGATCAGATGAAAACACACACATATAGAAAAGATGAAACACACACAAACAGAACAGAAACCTCTTTCAAAGTATAGATCTCCTTCATCTATGAAGCACTATTTTGACTTATATACAGTATTTATATCAGTATGGCGATTATCTGGATCTGCTAGATGATTGATGTATTGATGGTATGCCATTGATAATATTTCAGGGGCTACTTTCCAACAAGAGGAACGACCTATCTGACAGAGGAGGTAATGCGTTATGGACTGGTCATTGTGCCTTCATTATGTGCAAATGCGAACAAATCCCGTGTGTCGCTCAACCACGCCCATAAAGTCTACAGTTTAGGAGAGCAGATTCAAGTGCAAGTAGATCTGTATGATTTGTATGGTAACCGCAAGTTAACGGGAGGTGACTTTCTGAGAGTCTGGATGGAGAACCCAGAGACAGCAGCTTCCGTTTCCTGTCTGGTGTCGGACCACAATAACGGAAGTTACACTGCTCTGCTCAGAGCCGTATGGTCAGGAAGCGCTACAATTAAGGCATTCATTGCCACGAGGAGGGAGGAGGTAGTTCTCAACTATATGATATACCAACAGCATGGCAGTCTCTGGACGACTTTAGCTGAATTCCGGGCAAACAATCAAACAGATGCAACCGCGTGTTCAGTTAGACAAGAGAATTCCTTGAAGACAAACGAGTGGTGTAATTTCACGAATGAGAACAATGGCGACAGTTGGTACTGTAAGAAGTCCAAAATCAAGCAGTTAACATGTGATACGTGGTCGCATTCGTTTAGTGCAAATGGAATTAGCTTTCTTCTTAATGACACTGAGAGAAACATTATTGGTTTGTATGTATATTTATTTTTAACTATTTCTCTTTTAATACCATGGTATGATCGTTAGGTATAAAGCTGCTTTGAACGGTATGTTACATATTTTACTTACTATGAGAGGAAATCCCAGAAGTCGTTGATATGAAACTTGACATGTGCCATTTTTAATTATTACCTTATTTATAACATCTATGTTTTGTGACTGACAGAGTAACTTTAACCAAACAAATAAATATGTTTTATTCCTAATACAGGTCTGTGGCAGCTTTAAAACAAGATGTTTTACAGAGTTCAGTGAGGGTGTCAGTTAGAGGAGGTAAGCATGTGTTGCGTTTGAAATACCACTCACTGGACAAATCATTCATTCATAGTGTTGACAGGAGGCATACAATTGTATCACTCACTGGACAAATCACTCATTCATAGTGTTGACAGGAGGCATACAATTGTATCACTCACTGGACAGATCATTCATTCATAGTGTTGACAGGAGGCATACAGTTGTGTCACTCACTGGACAAATCATTCATTCATAGTGTTGACAGGAGGGATACAGTTGTGTCACTCACTTGACAAATCATTCATTCATAGGGTTGACAGGAGGCATACAGTTGTGTCACTCACTTGACAAATCATTCATTCATAGTGTTGACAGGAGGCATACAGTTGTGTCACTCACTGGACAAATCTTTCATTCATAGTGTTGACAGGAGGCATACAATTGTGTCACTCATTGGGCAAATCTTTCATTCATAGTGTTGACAGGAGGGATACAATTGTGTCACTCACTGGACAAAGCATTCCTTTATAGTGTTGACAGGAGGCATACAATTGTATCACTCACTGGACAAATCATTCATTCATAGTGTTGACAGGAGGGATACAATTGTATCACTCACTGGGCAAATCTTTCATTCATAGTGTTGACAGGAGGCATACAATTGTGTCACTCACTGGACAAATCTTTCATTCATAGTGTTGACAGGAGGCATACAATTGTGTCATTCACTTGACAAATCTTTCATTCATAGTGTTGACAGGAGGGATACAGTTGTGTCACTCACTGGACAAATCATTCATTCATAGTGTTGGCAAGAGGCATACAGTTGTGTCACTCACTGGACAAATCTTTCATTCATAGTGTTGACAGGAGGCATACAATTGTGTCACTCACTGGACAAATCTTTCATTCATAGTGTTGACAGGAGGCATACAATTGTGTCATTCACTTGACAAATCTTTCATTCATAGTGTTGACAGGAGGGATACAATTGTGTCACTCACTGGACAAATCATTCATTCATAGTGTTGACAGGAGGGATACAATTGTGTCACTCACTGGACAAATCATTCATTCATAGTGTTGACAGGAGGCATACAATTATATCACTCACTGGACAAATCTTTCATTCATAGTGTTGGCAAGAGGCATACAGTTGTGTCACTCACTGGGCAAATCTTTCATTCATAGTGTTGACAGGAGGCATACAGTTGTGTCACTCACTGGACAAATCATTCATTCATAGTGTTGACAGGAGGGATACAATTGTGTCACTCACTGGACAAATCATTCATTCATAGTGTGGACAGGAGGCATACAGTTGTGTCACTCATTGGACAAATCATTCATTCATAGTGTTGACAGGGGGCATACAATTGTGTCACTCACTGGACAAATCCCTCATTCATAGTGTTGACAGGAGGCATATAGTTGTGTCACTTACTAGACAACTCACTCATTCATAGTGTTGACAGGAGGCATATAGTTGTGTCACTTACTAGACAACTCACTGATCAGGTAATCAGGTGATTACATGAGATGAGTATCGTTCCACCAGTTCGGGACACAATGACACACAATCAGCAAGGTCACAAGTTGTGACTAACCGTCCCTGAGAAGCATTGCTCAATGATGACCTATTCTCACCTAGAACCTTCTGGCACCGCACTGCAAAGACAATACATTGTAACATGTATCCATATAGGACTCCGAGGACATAGAAACATAAGATATGATTAGGATCCGGACATGTACAATTATCTCCAAAGAAAACAAACACGAACTTGAAGTAATAATTTTCGCATCACTGGGTGGTAGATATATCCCTTTCATAAATGTGACCTAGGATTAATTGAGGACGAGTATCACTTTTTACTAGTATGTCCGCATTATGATGAACTAAGAAAAGTATATTTACCAAAATATTTTCATGTAAACCGTTGTACATTTAAGTTTAAACTATTACTGACCACTAGCAACACTGAAACCATAAGAAATCTTTCTATGTATATATATCATGCTTTTATAAAAAAAATAATCAAGTTTGGAAATTATATGATTGTACCAATTGCTCCTGTAATCATGATTGTACTATAGGCCTGTGGCCTCCTCAGTACGTTGAATAAAGAAATTGAAATTGAATCCCGTTCATAACCAACACTAGAAGCACGAATATGTACGTATCCAACATTGATTTCTTCATCGTTAACTCATTTCTTTTCACAGGTCCTAAGGGTGTAAAACTAGCATCTCTTTCAACTCCCTGCAATGCGCTTCCAGCGGAAATGACATGGCGACGAACGTCCCCGAATGGTTTCTTTCACCAGAACAAGTGGCATTCGCTGCTGTGTACTGACACACTGCCTCGCACCATTGATGCTTACAGACAGTGCTTGAAAGGAAGAACGCTCTGGCTTCATGGGGACTCGACAAGTAATCAGTTTAAAGGAGCTCTTCATTCAATTTTACGCTTTCCTTCCCATACAGATGCTCATGTACCTGTTACTGATACAGATTTGATACATAATTTTTCAATTTCCTGGCATGCTCACGAACTACCGTTCTATCATGGAGCTCGACACTATAAAAGGTCAACAAACCAGGCGCAGCACATCATGATGGACCGCCTCCCGAGCACCACCAAAGATATTGTAGTGTTATATATGTATGTTCATTTCCTGCTTGTCCATCCGGATGTGTTTAGGCGACATGTTCAAAGACTTGTTCCATCTGTCAGGAACCTCTTGGAACGCGCTCCTAATGTTACAATCGCAGTTCGTGGCCCACATGCATTTTTCAGATCGATGCATGGTATGTTATCTTACTGGGGTCATCTGTACATTGATATTTGGCATCAAGAATTTGCTTCAATGCAAGACAAAATTGTCTATGTAGATTTCTGGGACTTGACTATGGCAAAACCATCTCAGGATTTCCACCCACAAACTGACACAGTGAACGAGATGGTACACAACATGATGTCATTGTTGTGCTTTAGAAAGTGAAGGAATTGTTTTTTCATATGGATATATACTCAGTTGCCTGTATTGTAACATGAGGGTTGTATTTCTTCAGATAAACTGGTGTTCTGTCTTTGAATCGCGTTATTTCAATTTACATCTTGAAATTATTTGGAAATTTCACATTTAGGTCTTCATCACCCTCATAAAAATATTCTTGACCATGTTTATATCAGAATAATTGCTGCAGTTATTTGTAAATATATTGATTAATAAGTTTATACAACTGTAGATTCCTTTCATTTGACACCAAAGTATCAATTTGGTTTAAGGAAATAGTTTAGAAAAATCCACGAAATACATTTGAAACATTTGGTTAAACGAATGGTTTATGTTATATCACCAAAAAATAGTTTATATCTTATCGTTATTTAATCTGTATTCAGTACTTAGAAGGGGTAACTGTTGTTTCTCAAATAAATGATTAATATCAGAGTAAATAAGCGAGTTTTGTCCAGCTAATACATTGATTAACAGCATGAGCAATGATCACCGCCACCAAGGAACCCGTTCCACAGAGCGATCTTAGTGCTAAGTTGGCCGTAACTCCCATACGTTACCATAGGCTTGCGATCAACGTAGCACTAAGATCGCGTTATGGAACAAGGCCCAGGATTCACACATTCCAATCGGTTCGTGGGGATGATGGGAACTGGTGTATGTAATTCGCTGTATTCGTTTCCGTTCCATGTTAAAATAGAAGGTCGTGATAATCTTCATGTTGTAGTTTATCACCAGGAGTTTCGCTCGAATTGAATCTTTTTTCTCATTGAACTCCAGTTGATTGACACTTTCATTGGCTAGTATCCATCTCCTGGATACTATGAGTGAGTGAGTGAGTGAGTGAGTGAGTGAGTGAGTACGGTTTTACGCCGCTTTTAGCAACATTCCAGCAATATCACGGCAGGGGACACCAGAAATGGGCTTCACACATTGTACCCATGTCGGGAATCGAATCCTGGCCTTCGGCGTGACGAGCGAACACTCTAACCACTACCCTACCCCCACCGCTCAATCTTAAAAAATAATGTTACTCAGTATGAATGTGTACGAACCAATACATGTAACAACAGAGTAGGGGCACGGGTGGCCCAGACGTCTAAGGCGCTGCGATTCGCTGTGCAGAGTTGCGTCCCTTGGGCACGCCAGAAACCTATGATTGGATCAGGGCATCTTCAGGCTGGGATGAAGACAAATCGCGATTCTACTATTTAAATAAACACATGCAAACACTGGCATATCTAGATACGATCAGCCTATTAAAAAAAAGCTGCAGAAAAACTATTAAAATTACTATCTGTATGAACGTCTGATGAAACCTCATTCTGCAGTTATATGTAGCCGAAAGCGACTGACGCACCAGCAACTATCATTTTGGAGTTGACTGAACTGAACTGAACTTTTTTTACCCTCAGCCCGCTATCAGCGGCATTAGAGGTACAAAATTATTTCAACACCATGATACATATACATATAAATATAGAAAAGATACAAAAACATCTTTGGTGAGCATGGATGTAATGTATACAGATTCACAAGGGTAGCAATATATGTGCATCTCAACAAGAGGGAGAGTTACTTGGTACGTTTAAACAATGACATGATGACTTTACAGAATTAGAACAGTTTTCTCAATGTTCCTAAATCGTGAATTATTAAAAAGTTAATTCATTGTATGCATATTGGGTTTGATGTAGTATAATCTGTATACAAATTGTTTTCTTTCGTTTTCTAAAGATGGACAAATAAACAAATAATGGAATTCATCACCTATATCAGATAATTTACAAAGTATATAATAGATATAAAGTAGATAATCTTCCAGTTTCAATATGTAGATTATGGTTACAAGTTCTAAACTTAAGTAAGACTCGCGTAACGTAAAGTACATTGGACATACCTTGGAATTAGGTTGATACATTCCTGTAGGCATCGATCACCAGGGTTCACAAATACAGGCAACTCATTTACATTAAGTGCATTCATCATAAGAATTAGACCATAGCCCCAAGGTAAATATAAAGTTATCGGATACTTTCCACCAATCTGTTAATGCTTCAATGGATTTAGAGGCATAATCATTATACCTCGGGGAATATCCTTTTATCTAAAGAAGATCGTTTATTTATAAACATATAACAGTCACTGAATATTCCTCCTGAACGTTCCTCCGATACACTGAATTCACGTGCACCATAAACGTCATTCCGCGAAGTAAAAGACATTGTTGTATTTTTACTGCACAACCAACTATCCACAAACAGTTCTTCAGTCCAACTTTTGAGGCATAATCATTATGCCTCGGGGAATATCCTTTTATCTAAAGAAGATCGTTTATTTGTTATATATGTTTTTTTTATGAACTGATAAGTGACACATGAGCAGCGATGTAAAACTAATGTGTATATGGGTGAATGCTTTTGGCAGGTATATAACTTTTTCATCCAAAACTTGCTCCCACAGGAGATATCGCTTGGGTGAAATCTTTGCAGACCATTGTAACATCACTGGTTGCCATGACGTCACAAGCGAGCCTAGCTACCCCATCCCGTTAGCATCTTCCCGAGGCAAGTGAGTTAACTGACTTTAGCCACTAAGATTTCTCTTCATAGATTCTAACTATTACATAAAAGTCCAGTTTCCACCCTTGCCGAACTAGGCTGGTATTATGGAGTTAGATTTTGGCTGGACTAACGAGTCTATGCATAGTCCAATCCAAATCGCGCACCGAAATCGAAATCCGGTTCGTAGAGTGTCATGCAGATTTCGGTCGACTGCGGGATTTGCAAAGCATGTGCGTCGCTAACTCGTTGTCAACAGATATTTTCTAAATCTTTTCATGTTTTTGATCAAGATGCTCACGTGATTTGATGCACTTCGCGATGTAAGACTCGTTTTATCACAATATAGATCTTGATTATCGATTAGATCGTCTCGACTGGGCGCCACCGTTTTGTTTGAAGCAAATGCAAGTGATACGAGAGGTTGAATCTGATTGGTCAATAGGAGAGGAATAGAAAGGACATAACTCGTAATAGCCACTGGTGGCGCTACGATCGAGCCCAGGAATTCCAGCTTAGTTCGGCAAGGGTGGAAACTGGACTTTTAAAGTCTTTTGCCTCGGGAAGATGTCCCGTTAGTTGCCTCTTACGAAAAGCACAGTAGCCTTTGTCTCAGCTGCCACGGGGAAGAAGGAAAGTGGCCAACAGGAAATCGGCTTATGTTTAACTGGGATGATCCTCAATGTCAGTTCCTTCATTCAACTGTCGTCTAAGGCGCCGCGATTCGCTGTGCAGAGTTGCGTCCCTTTGAGCACGCCAGAAACCTATGATTGTGGGTTCGAATCCCGGTTCGCCCCGATTATGTTTCTAGGTTTGACAGCACCATACCCGTAATCGTGGGTATCACCGAAGTGGTAAAACTGGAATACTGTTTAAAGCGGCGTTAAACCCAACTCACTCACTCACTCATTCAACTATTACTACAGACATTTTTATTTAAGAAATAAACCACGAGCGCGAGTTGTTTATCGTACAATAAAACACAGAATAGAGAATAAACTCCCTGCAGTGTTTTACTGTACGATAAACAACGTCGTTTTTTTCTTATACGAGTCATCAACATAATGATGACTCCCTGAATGTACAAACTTTAACAATATTTACCCAAATTCGACCTCGGAAATATCGCAAAAGTCCATTTTAGGAACAGGCGGGTTAAGTTTGGTATTTCCCGCATATTCTCACAATCCTCACGTCGATTATCTGTAACTTTTCCCCCAATACCGATTGTCATAATTATGTCTCCCACTTTTGGTTACAATCGTTCTTGACGTCATTTCTGAAGATACGACCATACGCTCACAACTTGATGACGTCGTATACTGGACGACGTTATTTTTGAGAGGAGGTGTCCAGTGAGTTGGTCCCCACAGATGTAGCTAGGCGACGCAAAGAACGCAGTGGCCTAATAATCACACCCAAAAGTGGGCGAGATATGACAATCGGCATTGGGAGAAAAGGTGCAGATAATCGACGTGTAAATTGCGAGAATACCAAACGTAACCCCCCTGTACATAAAATGGAGTTGTTGGGCATTGCCGAGGTCGGATTGTATTCTGGGAGTCATCGTTATTTAAATACGGCTAAATGTTTTTAGAGCTTGTACAATTTATTGACATCCTTAAAAAGGCTGTACAAAATGTTGATATCTATGGTGGCCGAGAGGGGACATCGCTTTCTCGCTTTATCGCGGCATAGCAATATTCCCTCTTGGCCACTATAGGGGTCGCATGTGTTATGTGTTTCTATACGATAAAAAGTATATACGTAAAACAACATTAATGAATTGTTAAACCTGACCTCAGTGGACGGAGGCTGAGGTGGGTTTTTATCAAAAGATAGCTGAGATTTTTCAAGTCACATTTCAAATTATACATTTGGATGGAATGTTGAAATTTTCTCACTATTTGCTTAAGCATAGTAACACAGTACAGACGTAGGTGCTTTTATAACAATCCATGGATTTCTGCGTGAAAAAGAATTTGATTGATTTATGGCCCTATTTAGGAGTTTTATTGACCCCCCGCCCCCAGGCCAAGTTATCAAAACAAACAGCAAATAACACCGCTCATTAGCGCTGAGTAGTACGTACTTCCTAAAAAACAATAGTGTTTTCCTAAAAACAACACTCAGGTTATATCAATGTTTATTCTGTTTGCGAGTAGATGTCATCAAAGTGGAAGTCCTCACCCAAGCAATAGTAATACTACCGGATGTCCATTATGTAATTTCTAGTTTTTGGATGACATATTGTTCTCAGTAACCGTAATGTGGAAATTGATTGGTTTTATATTCAAGTTGGTATTTCCGCTATTCAAAGTGTGCAGTGAGGCCGTCTTATCAACAATCATTTCTGAGACATAAATGCAAAGTTTAATTAATTAAGTCTACTGATATTTTTTGCATTTATGATTAACTCTAACGTTAATTTAAAGATTTACAGTATATACTATTCAAAAGAAGTTAAAGAACACCCGATTCCTTCATATGACTATGGTTAGTCATTAGAGAAAGCGAGATAGAGCGAGAAAGCGATAGAGCGATAGAGCGAGAAAGCAATAGAGCGATAGAGCGAGAAAGCGAGAAAGCTATAGAACGATAGAGCGATAGAGCGATAGAGCGAGAAAGCGATATTTCCCAAAATGCCGTACATTAAAACGGTTTTTGCTGATATTTAGTGATCCATTCCTGTAATTCTCACCGCTATTTTGCCTTAACACACACACACACACACACACACACACACACACACACACACACACACACACACACACACACACACACACACACACACACACACACACACACATAATTGTCTCTCCATATGTGTAATTTACACAAGTACACATATCAACTGTGGTAACGCCACAGCAATGGGGGCAGTGGGGTAGCCTACTGGTTAAAGCGTTCGATCGTCACGCCGAAGACCCTGTTCGATTCCCCACATGGGTACAATGTGTGAAGCCCATTTCTGGTGTTCCCCGCCGTGATGGTACTGGATTATTGTTAAAAGCGACGTGAAACCATTCTCACTCACTCACAGCGGTGTTTATCAAATTACTATATGCAAGTACATATACTTGTAGATTTGCACAAGACAAGAAACACAATTCAAGTTAAACATACATCAAATGTCAAAAAGAATATTTACGGACAACAGTATGACACACTGTAACATCATATACTACCGAAAACAAGTGAAAGAACAGCCACAATTATAAGATTGTATTTTTGCAAAACAATCAGCCATGACTAATTAACCATAGTCTTCTGAAAATCTTTTGAAAAAAAAAATATATATAGATTTTAACCTGCTTTATTTAGAGCGTTTGCCGTGATCTGCCACGCGCTTTCGGCGTGAGGGTCATATGCAACTGAATAGGGCCGTAAATCAATCAATTACATTTTACGCAAAACTCTGTGCATTGTTTTAAAACCACCTACGTCTGTACAGTTAAATTAGGTTTAAATAAATAGTGAGAAAAGTGCAACATTCCCTCCCAATTGCAGCAGATATCACATGCGGCCCCTATAGTTTTGTGGTCAAGAAGGGATATTGCTTAACCGCGAGAAAGCGAGAAAGCGAGAAAGCGAGAAAGCGATAAAGCGATAGAGCGAGAAAGCGGGAAAGCGATAGAGCGAGAAAGCGAGAAAGTGACGTTCCTGTTTCGGCCTCCATAGATATCTCATATAAGAATAAACCACGCTTCGTTCTTCATTGTTCTTTGCGATTTATCGTGTAGCTATCTTATAGTTTATCATTCAAATCTCGTCTCGTGCTAGCTACTTGTGCAAACATCATAGCATAACAGAAACATCGGTAGCGTATTTGTACGTATTGTAAACACAATAACTGTCAAGAAGCGTCTGTAAAATCACTTATTAACCCTACCCTATTTTATTGTAGTAGTTGTCATCGAATAGCAATGGCAACTAATGAAATACCATTCCTATGTCCTGCTGCCTTCGTTTGTCATAACAATGCTACTAGTTTGGGCTGACTTGTTATACTGGGACCTGTGCACGCTGTGGTTTTATCATACATATGGCAAGATGATGCATATTATAGGCAAGATGTACACTCCACACATTCCCTAGCATTATCTCCTGTTACATCTGATCAGCACCAGACCAGCATCAGATTCCCCTGTGTCTCCCCCCTACCCCTGACTAGCACCAGACACCCTGTGTCTCCCTGTACCCCCTGACTAGCACCAGACTAGCACCAGACACCCTGTATCTCCCCGCTACCCCTGACTGGCACCAGACACCCTGTGTCTCCCTGTACCTCCTGACTAGCACCAGACCAGCACCACATTCCCCTGTGTCTTCCCGTACCCCCTGACTAGCACCAGACTAGCACCAGACACCCTGTATCTCCCCGCTACCCCTGACTAGCACCAGACACCCTGTGTCTCCCTGTACCTCCTGACTGGCACCAGACACCCTGTGTCTCCCTGTACCTCCTGACTGGCACCAGACATCCTGTGTCTCCCCGTACCTCCTGACTGGCACCAGACATCCTGTGTCTCCCCGTACCTCCTGACTGGCACCAGACATCCTGTGTCTCCCCGTACCTCCTGACTGGCACCAGACATCCTGTGTCTCCCCGTACCTCCTGACTGGCACCAGACATCCTGTGTCTCCCCGTACCTCCTGACTGGCACCAGACATCCTGTGTCTCCCCGTACCTCCTGACTAGCACCAGACACCCTGTGTCTCCCCGTACCTCCTGACTAGCACCAGACATCCTGTGTCTCCCCGTACCCCTGACTAGCACCAGACTAGCACCAGACACCCTGTGTCTCCCCGTACCCCTGACTAGCACCAGACTAGCACCAGACACCCTGTGTCTCCCTGTACCTCCTGACTGGCACCAGACATCCTGTGTCTCCCCGTACCTCCTGACTGGCACCAGACATCCTGTGTCTCCCCGTACCTCCTGACTGGCACCAGACATCCTGTGTCTCCCCGTACCTCCTGACTAGCACCAGACATCCTGTGTCTCCCCGTACCTCCTGACTGGCACCAGACATCCTGTGTCTCCCCGTACCTCCTGACTGGCACCAGACATCCTGTGTCTCCCCGTACCTCCTGACTAGCACCAGACACCCTGTGTCTCCCCGTACCTCCTGACTAGCACCAGACATCCTGTGTCTCCCCGTACCCCTGACTAGCACCAGACTAGCACCAGACACCCTGTGTCTCCCCGTACCCCTGACTAGCACCAGACTAGCACCAGACACCCTGTGTCTCCCCGTACCCCTGACAAGCACCAGACACCGCTGTGTCACCCCGTACCCCTGACTAGCACCAGACATCCTGTGTCTCCCCGTACCCCTGACTAGCACCAGACTAGCACTAGACACCCTGTGTCTCCCCGTACCCCTGACTAGCACCAGACACACTGTGTCTCCCTGCACCCCCTGACGAGCACCAGACTCCCCTGTGTCTCCCCGTACCTCCTGACTGGCACCAGACACCCTGTTTGCCCCGTACCTCCTGACGAGCACCAGATTCCCCTATGTCTCCCTCAACCGACTGACTAGCACCAGACTTCCCTGTGTCTCCCCGTACCAACTAACGAGCACCAGACCTCCCTGTGTCTCCCCGTATCCATTGACGAGCACCAGACTCCCCTATGTCTCCCTCAACCGACTGACTAGCACCAGACTCCCCTGTGTCTCCCCGTACCCCCTGACTAGCACCCGACATCCTGTGCCTCCCCGTACCTCCTGACTGGCACCAGACACCCTGTGTGTCCCCGTACCTCCTGACGAGCACCAGACTCCCCTGTGTCTCCCCGTACCCCCTGACTAGCACCAGACTTCCCTGTGTTTCCCCGTACCAACTGACGAGCACCAGACTCCCCTGTGTTTCCTCTACCCACTGACGAGCACCAGACTCCCCTGTGTCTCCCCGTACCAACTGACGAGCACCAGACCTCCCTGTGTCTCCCCGTATCCATTGACGAGCACCAGACTCCCCTGTGTCTCCCCGTACCCACTGACGAGCACCAGACCTCCCTGTGTCTCCCCGTACCAACTAACGAGCACCAGACCTCCCTGTGTCTCCCCGTACCAACTAACGAGCACCAGACCTCCCTGTGTCTCCCCGTACCAACTGACGAGCACCAGACCTCCCTGTGTCTCCCCGTACCAACTGACGAGCACCAGACCTCCCTGTGTCTCCTCTACCCACTGACTAACACCAGACCTCCCTGTGTCTCCCCGTACCAACTGACTAGCACCAGACCTCCCTGTGTCTCCCCGTACCCACTGACGATCACCAGACCTCCCTGTGTCTCCCCGTACCCACTGACGAGCACCAGACCTCCCTGTGTCTCCCCGTACCAACTGACGAGCACCAGACCTCCCTGTGTCTCCCCGTATCCATTGACGAGCACCAGATCTCCCTGTGTCTCCCCGTACCCACTGACGAGCACCAGACCTCCCTGTGTCTCCCCGTACCAACTGACGAGCACCAGACCTCCCTGTGTCTCCCCGTACCCACTGACGAGCACCAGACTCCCCTGTGTCTCCCCGTACCCACTGACGAGCACCAGACCTCCCTGTGTCTCCCCGTATCCATTGACGAGCACCAGATCTCCCTGTGTCTCCCCGTACCCACTGACGAGCACCAGACTTCCCTGTGTCTCCCCGTACCCACTGACGAGCACCAGACCTCCCTGTGTCTCCCCGTACCCACTGACGAGCACCAGACTCCCCTGTGTCTCCCCGTACCCACTGACGATCACCAGACTTCCCTGTGTCTCCCCGTACCCACTGACTAACACCAGACCTCCCTGTGTCTCCCCGTACCAACTGACGAGCACCAGACCTCCCTGTGTCTCCCCGTATCCATTGACGAGCACCAGATCTCCCTGTGTCTCCCCGTACCCACTGACGAGCACCAGACCTCCCTGTGTCTCCCCGTACCCACTGACGAGCACCAGACTCCCCTGTGTCTCCCCGTACCCACTGACGATCACCAGACTTCCCTGTGTCTCCCCGTACCCACTGACTAACACCAGACCTCCCTGTGTCTCCCCGTACCAACTGACGAGCACCAGACTTCCCTATACCACTCGTACATACCCACACCCACCATCCAAACCCCCGCAACAACTCCCCAACTAACACCATGTAGCATATATTCCCCCGTTAAGAGCGTCATAAATGTCAATGTGTCCTTGCAACGCCCCTTATTCCACCACAAATTAGTGAGTAGGATAATAAACCCCAAGTGCTTGCAGTGAGAGTGTTTAAATGAGGTGTATTAATACCATGTATCACATATCTTGTTAACAGCTTTCTATGGAGGCCAGTATAACCTGACTGGGTGCAATGTTCGGTCACTCAGATGGTTGTTGTGCCTCGCATTGTTCCTGTTACAGTCAATGGGCGACACGCTGAGATTAAATACAAGCAATCTGACAGCGACAATAAGTTTTATATCCAATATTGGCTGCTATTGAGAGCGCAAATTGCAACCTCTACACGTACCTAGAGAAACGCGTGACGATGTTGGTCAAGGCAGGAATACGCTGGACACCGAGGACAGATGTTTGATGACAAGGGTCGTGCATGCGCCTCTCGACAGACAAGTGTCATCACACCGTTTAACAGCAAAGAGAGCGACTTTTAAATCAGGATACACTTTTCATGCTGCTAGGCAACGTTTGACAGGGAATATATCGGCATAACGGTTAACACGCCAACATCGGGCGAGCAACATCTGCAACAACAATGTCGTCTGTGACGTCGACACCGCGAGATGGTAAGTCATAGCACCGATATAGGTTTCAACATAACGGAAAAGACAATCGTTTGCATTTTACCTTTCCCACAAGTTGTACCAATCGTTGACAAGACACATTACACGGGGAGTACCTTCCCTCTCCGGTTTCCGAGTTCTGAAACATGGGTAGATGTAGAGACCGACCACTTGATATTCTTGGGGGAGATGCTTGAAAAAAAAAATGAGCATCGGGTTTTACTCACGCAGTATTTTTGTTCAGTGGATGTTTTGAAAAAAGGGACACCCACTCACCCCGACCCCCACCCCTAAAAGAAAGACAAAGAAAGAAAACAAACTAAAACGTGTTTGCCTCTTGTGGTGACAGCATCTTTTCTTCAGGCCAATTTTCATTAAAATATTGTTTTTTAATATATTTATGTTTAGCATTATTACCCATGGATATCTATTTTATTCAATCACTTAGAAAGCGAGAAATTTGAAACAAATCTAGAAACTTGTGTCTTGTTGTCGAAAAACCAATATCTCCGGAAATGTCACTTGTCATGTTGTTGAAGTATTTGATGAAGATGTGGATTACTAGTAATTACATACTTACATGCTTACAGGCTGCATTTGAACCAAATACACATTCAGGATCAACCAGGCAGCACATTTATGCAGGCATAAAAGTGACTAGGTACTGCCTATTGACAAAACATATAAAATACAGTACGTTTAGAAATATATGATATGCCCCTATATAGTGGAGTGATCTCCCCATCTCGCCATAGCAACATGTAGGCTTTGTCTCATATCGACAAAGCAACATGTAGGCTTTGTCTCATATCGACATAGCAACATGAATGCCTTGTCTCGTATCGACATAGCAACATGTAGATCTGGTCTCATATCGACATAGCAACATGAAGGTCTTGTCTCATATCGCTATAGCAACATGAATGCCTTGTCTCGTATCGACATAGCAACATGTAGATCTGGTCTCATATCGACATAGCAACATGAAGGTCTTGTCTCATATCGACATAGCAACATGTAGGTCTTGTCTCATATCAACATAGCAACATGTAGGTCTTGTCTCATATCGACATAGCAACATGTAGGTCTTGTCTCATATCGACATAGCAACATGTAGGTCTTGTCTCGTATCGACATAGCAACATGTAGATCTGGTCTCATATCGACATAGCAACATGTAGGTCTTGTCTCATATCGACATAGCAACATGTAGGTCTTGTCTCGTATCGACATAACAACATGTAGATCTGGTCTCATATCGACATAGCAACATGTAGATCTGGTCTCATATCGACATAGCAACATGTAGGTCTTGTCTCATATCGACATAGCAACATGTAGATCTGGTCTCATATCGACATAGCAACATGTAGGTCTTGTCTCATATCGACATAGCAACATGTAGGTCTTGTCTCATATCGACATATCAACATGTAGGTCCTGTCTCATATCGACAGAGCAGCATGTCGGCCTTGTCTCATATTGACATAGCAACATGTAGGTCTTGTCTCATATCGACATAGCAACATGTAGGTCTTGTCTCATATCGACATAGCAACGTGTAGATCTGGCCTCTTCTCACCATAGCAACATGGTGGTATTATCGCATCTTCCCATTTTAACATTTTAGCCTAGTCAAACATCATTTTATCAACACGAAAGAAACAATAACAATTTAAGGTATGTGTGTCTTGCAGGTGATGCGTCTCAATCATTTCACTATTTTGCCCAGCCTACAATTGGTTTACTTATCAATCACCATTCCGTCTAGTCTGTGGATAGTCTGCACAATGTTTTCCTCGACCCGAGCACGTAATCACACTGCCTTCTGTTACCCCCTAATACTACTTTTCCTATGTGTACAAGTAGGTACAAAGTTTACACACATTACACATCTACCCTGACACACATTACACATCTACCCAGACACACATTACACATCTACCCTGACACATATTACACATCTACTCTGACACACATTACACATCTACCCTGACAAACATTACACATCTACCCTGACAAATATTACACATCTACCCTGACACACATTACACATCTACCCTGACAAACATTACACATCTACCCTGACACATATATTACACATCTACCCTGACACACATAACACTACATCTACCCTGACACACATTACACATCTACCCTGAAACACATTACACATCTACCCTGACACACATTACACATCTACCCTGACACACATTACACTACATCTATCCTGACACACATTCCACTACATCAACCCTTACACATATTACACATCTATCCTGACACACATTACACTACATCTACCCAGACAGACATAACTTTACAACATTACTACATCTACCCTGAACACACGCCCAACATTACTATATCTACCCTGAACACACGCCCAACATTACAACATCTACCCTGAACACACGCCCAACATTACTATATCTACCCTGAACACACGCCCAACATTACTATATCTACCCTGAACACACGCCCAACATTACTATATCTACCCTGAACACACGTCTCACATTACTACATCTACCCTGACACACGTCTCACATTACTACATCTACCCTGAGCACACGCCAAACATTACTTCATCTACCCTGAACACAAGTCCAACATTACTACATCTACCCTGACACACGTCCAACATTACTACATCTACCCTGACACACGTCCAACATTACTACATCTACCCTGACACACGTCCAACATTACTACATCTACCCTGAACACAAGTCCAACATTACTACATCTACCCTGAACACAAGTCCAACATTGCTACATCTACCCTGAACACACGCCCAACATTACTACATCTATCCTGAACACACGCCCAACATTACTACATCTATCCCGACACACGTCTCACATTACTACATCTACCCTGAACACACGCCCAACATCACTACATCTACCCTGAACACAAGTCCAACATTACTACATCTACCCTGAACACAAGTCCAACATTACTACATCTACCCTGAACACAAGTCCAACATTACTACATCTACCCTGAACACAAGTCCAACATTACTACATCTACCCTGAACACACGCCCAACATTACTACATCTACCCTGAACACACGCCCAACATTACTACATCTACCCTGAACACAAGTCCAACATTACTACATCTACCCTGAACACAAGTCCAACATTACTACATCTACCCTGAACACAAGTCCAACATTACTACATCTACCCTGAACACACGCCCAACATTACTACATCTACCCTGAACACACGCCCAACATTACTACATCTATCCTGAACACAAGTCCAACATTACTACATCTACCCTGAACACAAGTCCAACATTACTACATCTACCCTGAACACACGCCCAACATTACTACATCTACCCTGAACACACGCCCAACATTACTACATCTACCCTGAACACACGCCCAACATTACTACATCTACCCTGAACACAAGTCCAACATTACTACATCTACCCTGGACACAAGTCCAACATTACTACATCTACCCTGAACACACGCCCAACATTACTACATCTACCCTGAACACACGCCCAACATTACTACATCTACCCTGAACACACGCCCAACATTACTACATCTACCCTGAACACAAGTCCAACATTACTACATCTACCCTGAACACACGCCCAACATTACTACATCTACCCTGAACACACGCCCAACATTACTACATCTACCCTGAACACACGCCCAACATTACTACATCTACCCTGAACACAAGTCCAACATTACTACATCTACCCTGAACACACGCCCAACATTACTACATCTACCCTGAACACACGCCCAACATTACTACATCTACCCTGAACACACGCCCAACATTACTACATCTACCCTGAACACAAGTCCAACATTACTACATCTACCCTGAACACACGCCCAACATTACTACATCTATCCTGAACACACGCCCAACATTACTACATCTATCCTGAACACACGCCAAACATTACTACATCTACCCTGAACACACGCCAAACATTACTACATCTATCCCGACACACGTCTCATATTACTACATCTACCCTGAACACACGCCCAACATTACTATATCTATCCTGAACACACGCCCAACATTACTACATCTATCCCGACACACGTCTCACATTACTACATCTACCCTGAACACACGCCCAACACACGTAGAACATTTCTTTATCTACCCTTCACAATTCCTCGCCCCACCCCTTGGGGTCAGATCGATCAGCCCCCGGCTTCACACTTCACCGCCCAGCGTTCACTTGACGATCAGTAAGTCAGTGAGTGCTGGGTCGCCTCAGATCAGCGACACATCGATTACACCAGAACACACTGTCGGGTGCAGGGGGAGATAGGACACTATGCGTGACAATAGATAGACACTGTCTCCGACTGTGATAGTGTGTCATATTGGATACTGTGTGGGATACTCTGTACTCGGGCTAGCCACTGGGACACGAGCAAAAGTAAGTTGAATCGTATTTAGAAGGACCTGGGGGCCGACTGATTGATATTCTGTGCGGGGGAAGGGGTTTAAATGGGTTTAAATGGGTTTAAATGGGATTTTAGTAAACACCTTGTTTTAGATGTTTTTTCAAGCACATTATGGGACAGAATGGTCATATGGTCGGATGCTTACGCATAGATCAAAGCCGAGTTTCACAAATCTCTCTATTTTATAAATAGGTTTAAGAACAACCCTATTTTAAAGAATCGCCTTGTATTATATGATTGTTTGATTTCGAATTGAAATAGAAACCCATTTCCTATTTAATAGACTGTTATATCTAGTAATCATTTTAATTTGGAATGGCCTTATGTATATTTTATTATTAAAAATAATTATTTTCTGTCAATATATTTTTACATAATGTAGTCATGATCCGAGCAAATATTTGGTAATTACAAATAAAACAGAGGTCTTTCAATCGGTCCATATACTTCACCAACACTGTACACAAGATCCATATACTTCACCAACCCTGTACACAAGAGCCATATACTTCACCAACCCTGTA